CATTTATCGGCTTAAGGTCTTTAGACAAAGACTAATTTGAGACTAACTATTTCTAACTTCCTCAGGTATGTGCTTCAGAAGGTGCTCAAATTGTTAGAGACTCCAAGGAGATTTCAAATGTAGAAGACTTCTTTGACAGGTATGTTTGTTTTCTCAAACTTTTTTTATAAATTATTGATACAACTGTGAAACTCACAAGAACGAGACAAATGCGTTGAATAAATACTAAATTTGATTTGTTCAGGTATACACTTTTAAAACTTGTTTGTAATTTAACTGAAACGACTTACTGTGATGAATCTCACAATAAGGAGACGGATACGTGAAGTAAAGACTAATTTTGATTTCCTGTGGTATGTGCTTTTTAAACTTGTGTGTAATTTAGTTAATAATTATGAAAATCACAAGTACGAGACACATACATGAAGTAAAGACTAATTGTTGTTTTGTTCAGGTATATGCTACAAAAGGTGTTCATATTCTCATTGATTTTTATAGACTTTTCTGCTTCTCAAACAGAGAGACCTCACAGGTATTTTCTAGATTTCTGTACTAAATTGATATTATTAAATCTGAAAATCAAAAACTAAGTCAAGTTATATATGAGAGACCTTACATACAAAATTAAGACTTTTCTGCTTCTCAGATGGAGAAACCTCACAAGTATTTCTAAGGCTAATTTTACGAAAAATCTGATCTAAGCCATTTAAATCTTTCTTAAATATATAGATGCCTTGATTATACTACTATCCTTGATCTAGTTTTTCTTTATCTACTATTATGAGATTCTAAAAACTCATATCCATTGATAAAAATGTAGATTTAATTTTTGGTATTGGAACATTAGATTGTGTGTTTACTGTGTGAGTATTAAGTAACCTCTGTCTTGGTTTTCTATGCTTGATTTGGTACTTGTATGTAAGGTCACTCATTTTATGAAATGGATGTATCTTGGTATCTCTTGTAGATATATATCTGATACTATATCCATTGATAAAATGGTTAAAAACCTTATATTGGGTATTGGAACATTTCATTGTGTGTTGACAATTTAAGAAATCTCTATCTTTTTCTTTTCTTTTTGCTAGAGATAAATACTTAGTATCTCTCTTTGGTGCATGTATGTATCGTTAGGTCTCTCATATTGAGAAATAGATGTAATTTGGAGTCTCGTGAAGATATTTAGTTTGAACATTTGTGAGGCTCATGCATATTATATTAGTAGTTTCCTTGAATTTTTTGCATTACGCTCTAAATAATTGGTGATCATTCTTAACATGCGAGATGACATCCTCACATTCTAACACTTGCATCTGTTTGTTTCTTTGTTTATAATGAACAATTTTAGTTTCGATTAGTTTTGTTGTGTGTTAAATTATAAGCTCTGTTTTGTGAACACAGTTCTTGTATATTGGTTGGTTGTTGTGTGTTTGCTTATTGTTCATTCTTTGTTAAGACCGATTGTGGATTGTGGTCCGGGTCTGATGATACCATTTTGATAGTTGCTTCTTGGTTGGTTCTTGGAATAGTTAGTGTGGTAAACTGATTAACCTTTCTTGGATATACCTATTCTTGTATGTTTATCCTAAATTATACTAAATTAAAGGTCCATCAATGCTTATGCTTGTTTTGCGTTATGGATCTGATCAGTTGATAATCATTCGAAACTTTTGAAATGACATCCTTGCAATTTTGAAGTTTTGTATATTCTGAAATTCTGCATCTTATCTTACGTTGATGATTATAATTGTGCTAGATTATATTTTTCTCGTTGACTTTAGTTTGTCTAGTAAATAACTGAAGATATCTCTGTTATGGTAGTTTTTTATATCCATTGGTCTCTTAGTCTTACATACTCGATGGAGCTTGAATTTTCTTGATATCCTTTTTTGTGTAATGGTAACATTTTTCTGTGATTGATGTCAAAAATCAAGAATTTTGCAGTACATAAAACCTAAATTTGTCATTCTCATTGTAGGCATGTGGAATAAGTGCATTGGTCTTCTATGTTCTTTAGGGGGGGAATTGCCAAATATAGTGCACAATTTGATTTGAAATGCAAAACTAGACCCTATATTGCATTTAGAGCAAAACTAGTCTTTTGGGCATGTAAAATTACAAACCACGCCCTTATGAACAAAGAAAAAAACGCTAGCACAATGTCTGTTTTACCCTGTTTAAAGTCTATTCATGAAGTCTACTGCGTATTAGACTTCATGATGAAGTCTAATTCCTAATCACAACTCAAATTTAAATTATAAAATTATAGGAAATTGATTTGATCAAAAAAATTATACATAAATAAGATTAGAACATTTGACATCCAAGAAAAATAAAATTGCATAAAAATGAATCATTTAACTCAAGTAAGAGAAATTATGTTTGTAACCTATAAACTGCGTGAAGTCTACTTAGAAGTCTACTATATAGCAAAATCGTAAATTTAAAGTTTAAAATCTATTAAAAATATTTTGATCAAGGTATTTACACATAATTTTAAAAGACAAGTACTATCCATGAAAAATAAATTTGCATATAAATTGATCAATTTAAATCGGTAATACAAATTATGGTATAATCCAAAAAAAATTGTGTGAAGTCTACTGAAGAAGTCTACTAAATAACAAAATCTTAAATTTAAAGTTTAAAATCAAAAAAAATTTAGGCTTCAAAATTATAAATAATCTAAATGAAGACAAATCCTATCTATGTAAAATAAAATTTTCATGGAAATGAATCAATTTATAAGTTTCATGAGTAAACCAATCATCAAGCTTAGTGTTTGAGGTATAATGTATAGGGTTTATGAGTGTATTGTTAGGGTTTAGAGAATTTTGACATAAAAAAATGTTTGCGGTTTGTTTAACGATTTAAAGCTAATGAATTCATAGTTTATAATGTAAATTGTGATTATGTATACGTAATTGATGTTTTCTATAGCTTTGATCTCAAAAATTCGATTTAGGGTTTAGGGTAAGTCAGACTTCATCCGTAGACTTCATTGTTAGACTTTCTTAAGTCTGTTATTCAAAAAAACTGAGCGGAAACGAAATATTTTGGAAAATTTGGCGGGAGCCACAAATCTGAAATATTTTTGTTCATTATAATCATAATTGATTTGTATAACTTTGTAGGTAGTTCATTTGTAAACTTGATGATGAAAGTCTATTTAACGGTAGATAACCGAAATTTTCTTTCATCTAACCAGAAATTTTGACCTGATATATAAACGGGAAACCCTTATTTTGCCAAAAAAATTATGTTTCTGAAACGGCGTTCCTCTCTCTCTCTCTCCCACCGTTCTCTCTCCCACCGTTGATTTCTTCTTCCTCTTCTTCTCCGTTTTGGCCATCTTTTTTTCTTCTTGCAGCATTTAAAGATCAATCAAAGGGAAATGAAGTCTTTTCTTCTCCAACTTCACCACTTTCACCGGCAACGTTGCCTTCGGCGACGCTTCTCTCTTCTTCTCCAACCTTTCCTTCCGGAGACTATGGCGACACTTCTCTCTACCTTTCTCAACTTCAGCTCCATCAGATCTAAAGCTTTACTGTTCTCCTTTCCCGGATCTACTCTCAAATCCTCCGGATCTAAAGCTTTACTGTTGTGGCGTGGCGGTTTCCGGTGCTGCTGCGGCGGTCGAGGCTACAGCGGCCGTTTCTGCGTAGGAAGGTACGACGTCTCTGTTTCCCTGATACATTTGCAGGTTTTCTAATGTCTCATGAGCTTTCTTTACCTAGTGAGCTCATCAATTTCCTTCTCGTTGATTATATGCACTTATAATCTCTCTGTGTTATTTCGTTTTATTCATTCGAATTTGTGGGTGTCGCAGTTCAACGTAGCAAATCCAACCACTGGTTGCCAGAAGAAGCTCCAGATCGATGACGACCAAAAGCTCATTTTCATGTTAAATGTTTCTTAGGCTTCGTGTCTTAAGCAATCCTTATGCTTTACTTGTTCTCTCCTCTCTTTGTTTCCAGGAAGGTGCGAAGATGAAGGAGGCTATTGTTAGTCTAAGCAGCAGCGAAATTGAAGGTCTGATGAAGAAGAAAGTGAGTCGGTGAGCGAACCAGAGAGGTGTTGCTAATCCTCTTGGAATCAAGGTTTGTTTCTCCATCTTGTATCAGGTTTTGATTTGATCCCCAATGAAACTGATTGAGATCTTTGTGTGTGAGATTTTGATTTCACTTCATTTTAATTTTTCTTATCAAATATCTTGTTTCTTGCTTTTCTCCAAGTAATTTTGACTCCATGACATTTTCTGTTATAATTCCATAATCCATGACATTTTCAGTTATAATTCCGGTTTCATACATGTTATTTTGGCTTTAGAAACACTAATCTTGTTGGGTGCTGATTCTCTTTAGTTTATTTGGCTTTGGTGATAACGACTTAGACTTGTCTTAGCAGCTAATATTAGCATTATATTACAGTCTTGAGTTTGCGTTTGCATTTCCATGTTATAATGCTTCTTTAGGCTGAAACAAGTGAGAAGATCTCTGAGCTTTGTTTTCGATTGTTGTTGCTGTGATCTAGTTGACTTTCTGAAATTATCTCTTCAAGTAAGTTTGAGATTGGGATTGTTCATGTCTTATTGTTTGTCCTCCATTTTCCTGGCCTCATGATATTGGGATTTTTTTTTCAGGAACTTGGAGAGAAAAAAAGAAGATGAGGACGAAAAGAAGGAGAAAGAAGAAGCTGAACAAAAGGCGTTTGTAGAAGAGGCATCAAAACTCAAATTCAAACATTTTTGATGCATTCTACTTAGCTAAACAGACCAAATTCAATCATATAGTTAAACTTTTTGTATAGATTTCAGTAGTAGACTTCACATAGCAGTCTATTTGGTAATGTCTAAGTGCTAATCAAACATAAAACTGTTTTCACTTTGTATATAACGAATAAGCATGTTAAACTAACAAACAAGCAACTAAAAAGACTAATACAACTATGGTTTCCAAAAAATCTCAAAATTCATCATTATACATTTTCCAAAAATACGTTTAAAAAAAAAACATATTATAGTAATCTTCATCCAATTCTTCATGCAAAGGTCCATCTACGTTGTCTTCATCCTTTCCTTTGCTAGAGACACAAAGTCGTAGAACATGAGTTCTACTTAGCTCGATCAAGCTTTCAGACTTGTATGTCGTTTGTGACAAACATGGGCGGAGAATCAATACGCATTTGCTGAACGCTTCTGGTAATGGATATGATAATTCCATACGGTGTCCGATCTTGATCACCGAATAATCATCTAAAGCCATTTGAATAAGCTCATCATGTGTACAACCATCCCTCAACGAGAACATTCTACCTCCTTTCCGATAATCAACCTCAAAATGCCAAGACAAATTGTCCTTTCTCACCCATTCTCCATAAACAGATGCAATGTAAACCATTTTCTGCAAGTAAACAAAAACCAACCACATTAGACTTCATTATAGACTTCAGTGGTAGACTTCACCTAGAAGTCTACCTAGTATTGTCTAATATTCAATTTTGACAAGAAAACCGTTTTCACGAAATATACAACGAATAAGCATGTCAAACTAACACACAAGCAACTAAACAGACTAACTCAACTAATTGTTCAAAAAATCTTAAAAATTCGTTATATATTTTCCAAAAAAGCGTTTTCAAATAAAACATTAAATAGTAGACTTCACGAGGAAGTCTATTTAGTAGACTTCCTGTGAAGTCTAATAGACTAGTTTTGCAATTTTTCAAATTACGAATTTTTTATGAAGTCTACACGTGAAGTCTACCGAAAAAAAAAGACTAGTTTTGCAATTGACCAAGCTTTGACTTTTTCAAATAGACTTCATTATCGTGAATAGGCTTAAAAATGAAGTCTAACTAAAATGAAGTCTACCGTGAAGTCTACAACAGGAATTAGACTTCATAGGATTAGTTTTGCAATTGATCGAATTTTTGAATTTAGAAAATAGACTTCATCGTGAAGTCTACTCCGATAAACGTTGACTATTAGACTTCACCAGAAGTCTATCAAGAATTAGGCTTCGAAATGAAGTCTAACCCTTTATTAGACTTCACAATGAAGTCTAACTATTAGACTTTGAATGAAGTCTAATACAACATTAATAGACTTCAGGGGTAGACTTCACGATAAAACAAACTACTAAAGTTTGCAAAACTAGTCTTTTTTAAGCAGACTTCACGATAGACTTCTCATAAAAAGTTTTTATTCTGTCAATTGCAAAACTAATCTGTTTCGAGTAGACTTCATTCTGAAGTCTACGCCATATTTTTTTGTTTTCAAAGGAATATGGGTAGACTTCATTGTGAAGTCTACTCCAAATTTTTTGAAAACTCAATTGCAAAACTAGTTTGTTAGACTTCGCTATGAAGTCTAAGGACCTGCAAAAATATGAAATTCACTCAGATCTACCGGAATTTTACCTTGCCGTGATCTTAAGTTTCGTTGACGGCCTATAACTTCGATTTAGAGCTTCAGCAAACTTCCCCAACCGTTATAATGATCTCCCACACCAAAAATGGGAAGATCTAAGAACATAAACTTTGAAAAGATGAAAATGTGTGTTCTTGGGGTGAAAATGAGAAGAAATTGAAGAATACAAGTTTATGAGATGATATAATGAGTTTGTATATATGTTTGAAGAGTAAATCATGCATTCAAAGCTTGATTTCGGTTGAGAATGGTTGTTGGACGAATTGATGGTGATGGCATTTTCGTGAATAAATGAAGAAGATGAGGTTTCTTTGGACTTTTATTTTCGTATTAGACTTCACGGTTAGACTTCAAGGACGAAAGTAATGGCATTTTCGTTATTATCACAAATATGTGAGGATAAAAAGGAAAGAAAAAAGAGGAACTACTTTTGCATTTGACTCAATTTTTGTACTACTTTTGAAAACAGCCCTTCTTTAGGTCGTCGACTTAATGTTTATTATTTTGTAAACCGTACTTTGCTATACTAGTTGTTAGACATGTAATTTTTTTTTGTTACTTTCTACGTTTATGTACATAATCTAGTTTTCTGTTTGATATTAGGCAAAGTAGCGCATTAAGTTACTGTTCTAGTGAATATTATTAGAGTTTTCTGTATGAATTTCAATGTTTTTATGTTTTAGATTATATAAAGATCAATTTGGTCTACACATTATTTTGCAGTTTGATTGGTTGTCCAATCATCTATTGTTCACTCTTTGTTAAGACCAACATAGTTGAAGTCCTTAAACAATAGGAAAAGAGAACAATACTGACTCAGAACAAACCAACTTGAAGTCCTCTTGTAAGCGCACGTCCAACTCCATTAGAAAGCAAGCTGCTGAAGTCGAGTTTACAGATTTGATGGTAAGATCATCTAAGATCATGTATGTTGGCCATCTATTCACAAAGCCACTGAGATCATTAGGTGTCCGTTCGGGATCAGAACTTCCGAGCAACGATTTCTGGAAGCTATACTCCAGAGGAAGCATACATGTGCAAACTACATCTCCGGTAGAGAACAAGGTCTTCATGCTTGTACAAAAGTTGTCAAGGCGTCCCGGTACGGTACTGCTTGGAGTTATATTAATTCCAACACAGACTCCCAAGAGACAACAAAGAAAGTGAAAAGTAGATCAACAAACTCAGGTCCGCTTGCAGCACAAATAACCTTCCTGTCCTGAACAAATACAGTGAGTGACACAACTTCATTTGGTTCTGCTTCACATCTAGCTTGCATGGAAGTGAGGGTTGGCATGTCACCAGTCAATCTTGTCATCATACCACAAGAGCTATGATTGTTCAAGAAGACATTAGTCAAAGGAGTCTCTGAATAGAGCAAGCAATGAAGCAAAGATAGAGCCTCTTTTTTCACCAACGTCTACATACATCCTCTCCAGCTTGTCAAGATTTTCATAACCAAGTCCTCTAACAAGCTACGCTCATGAAATCATAAAAGGGCAAATCAGAGACAGTTTTGTAGAGATTGTTAAAACAGCCTATTTGAGACTTTTGGTTCGGCTTATATTTCTCCAGCAATATCACAATGGTACCCAGTGGCAGCACCATAAAACTACATGAAAAAAATCCTTACCAGCCTCGGCCTAGACAACCTTGTCCTTCTCCCTGTCGACAAGAAGTTCCAGCTTGAAATTTGGTCTCTCTGAAACATCAGTTCCGGTCATTGCAAGTCACGCCCAAACAGTACGAAGAGATCTGAGAAATTGAGACACAAATGAGTCTAGGGTTTTAGACTCTAAACTTCTATAACAAGTTTTATTAAAAAAAAAATTAATCCAACAAATTCGAAAGGTTAAAGTATTAAGGCAAAACGTTTAATAAAGTAAACTAGTGGTGTTAAAGAAATCTAATCTAACTGAAGAGGTTATTATGAATAAAACATACATTATTTACCGCAAATTCAATAAATTAGATTAGGTAAATATCAATTGTTTTAGTATGACTTTACTTAAGAAAATATATAATCTTATAAACAATTACAGCAGGAGTAGATAAGACATCATTTCTTAACTACATTTTTATCAGAAGAAAATTTTGGTAAATCCATTATGATTTGATAACTTGAAAATTATTAAAAAAAAAATGAAAATCGTGATGCAAACTGAAGTAGTAAATGAACAATAAGATAACGGTTAGTTCACCGTTGTTTATTGTTGCTGGCTAAAGCAAAAGGGTAAAAAACTCAGGGTTGTGCGGCTAATCACCAAACTCTGTTGCCCGAAACTGAATCAGTTTAGCCGTAATGTGAACCGCGTCTCCAGATTCCGTCTCGATCAAAGGGGCAGAAAGTAACTCTGGGACACTCATAGGTTTCAAAGAATGCCATTTTTGGGAAGTAGGTTCCCATCAGCTCTCTCCATTCCACTTTTAGCTTTTGCAAGCATGTGAGACGTAGAACCTTAACAGAATATTCGGTTGGCTTTTCCGGTAGTGAGCCGCCGAATCTTTTGAGGCGTCTAGAGCTTCCGAGATGAAGCTTTTCCAAGGAAAGGATATTCTGTGGCTGAAGACAATCCGGAAGTTCACTATCAGGAAAACGCTGCAGGTCCAGTTTCTTCAACTTTTTAGGAAGATGATGCTTAAAACTCTTGGAAACACTTTCTTCAATGCCTTCCTGCTTCTCGATGGTCCTTCCTGCATCATTTTCTTGTTGCTTCTTGCTTAGGGAAAATCCGCTTCCCCACCGCACTTTCAACCTTTCCAGGGCATCAAACGATTCTATCGCCACTATCAACTCATGTAAACCAAAGTCCCCTCGGTCTATGGTCAGACTAAGCTTCCTCAGCTTCACCAAGCGCTTCAATGTAGTCAGTTTACATGCAATCTCACTGTCGTCACTGACCACAAAGCCCTTGAGAACCTCCAAACGCGATAGCCTAGTCAATCTCATTGGAATGCTCTCTAATGCATCACAGCCGGTCATATCCAAGTAGACTAGATCCTTGAGCTTGTCTATGTCGTTGGGAAGTTGCTCCAGGTTATAGCAACCCCTGAGGTCTAAGACGATCAGCCTGGAAAGCTTGCAAGCAGAACGGCTAAAGTTTTGAATGGTTGAGATACCTTGAAAACTCAGAAACCTTAACCTAGTCATGGAACTCAAATTCTTCATAACTCGACGGCTATCCACTTCAACCTCGCGTTCGCTTCTCTCCCACCTACCCAGATAAAGAACTTTCATCGAATTACCCATTGAGAACCACTTGAATATGAAATCCGGGTACCTCTCAGAAACATTGAACACAGTCTCGATGCGTTCTGCTTTGTACATTTTCTTGTCTTTTGCTTCCGCCTGGCTTGACGACCCTTCCACAAGGCAGACTTTGTTCAGTTCTGACTGTCTCATGCTTGGCTTCTCCCCTCTACGATACATATCAAAAAGTCCCATCTCCTTTGATAGAAGAACCACCGAAGAATGCACAAAAGGTGTCATCTTATAGCTGTTTGGCTCCACTTTGCGTTTGTTTGCAACAGGCTCGATCAACTTTTGCATCAAAAACTCATCGAGAATGTATTTCACAGAATCTTCTGGTTTGAATTCAGCAGGCAGATCGCCCCTTTGGACTCCAAGAATGCCCTCCCCGATCCACCAATACATGAGCATCGTTCTATTCACCTCTTGATTCTCCGGGAACACGGCGAAGCTCAGCAGGCAGATCTGCATTTCATTACTAAGCTTCATGAATTTGCCTCGTACATATCTAAAAACAGGGAGTCGTTTGAGATCTTCTTCATTCTCATGGATGCCGGGCAAGCAAATAATGCCTCTATGACCCCCATCGCTGTCTTGATAATCTGGTGACGGTTTCTTCTTCTGCTTATCACGCGGCACACGGACCTTGCTCATCAAGCCCAACAGTTTCTTGGTGACATCTTCCAAGTTGTTCCTAATCCAAATGGATAAACTTGGATGCAGAGTTCCAGAGGGCTCCACCTCCATGACAACCTTGGAAAGAAAATCAACTTGTTTATTCAGCTCTGCCTCCACATCTGACTGAAGGCTCTTTACGTACTTTTGATGACGTTTTAGCCGAGAGAGAGTACCCTGTAGCTTGCGTATCAGATTCACAGGTTCAGGATCAGAGAGGTTCATAAGATACGGAGAAGGCAAACTTATAGCTGTAACTGGTAGGGTCACAGGCGTTATTTCCTGCATCGTTTCACCACCAGTGCTCCTTGAGGTTAGCAACACAGGCAGTTCCGGAGTATGTTCTTCCATGGGACCTTCATCAGTTGTTTGATATGAATCCCGAAGGTGAATAACTTTATATAGTTGATTCACACTTTTGATCATCGAATCAATTGTATTTCCATCCATAGCTGACTTCGTTACTCGCTGGCAAAAGTGACTCAAGCCCTCAAAGACCCGATCTGCAAATCCTGAAAGCAGCCGAAATTGCAATGTTAAAGAAATTGCAGAGCTACAATCACACAAAAAAAGTGTAAACTGCGAATATTTGATTAAACTGCGCATTTACTTCGATTTTCCCTTTCAGAATTTACATAATGCGATCCCAAGATCCAAAAAGAAGCCGATTGGACAACAAAAAACTGGTCAAAGCCATGAAAATGTTGATAAAATAAGCTGTAATCGCAGCAACAATCTTTGTACCCTTCACTTGTTGATCAAGTCTCTATACATCCCTCTAAGAATTCAAAGATCAGACTGTAATCGACTCTTACCGATTAGAAGCGATTCTGGAAACTTTCGGCCGGAATGGAGGAATGGGACGCCTTCCAATTGCTATTGATGTGTGATAGGAGAAAAAGCAAGCCCAGTGACAAGTGTTGTAATGTTTTCTTTTTCTTTTTAGAGATTACTTTTTATTTTGAGTGATTTTGGTAACTAACATATTTTTGGCCCAATATTAAGTAATCGACATTATAAATCGTTAGTAGTAAACAACATAAGGGTACCCGAAAAATATGGTAAAGGAAACGCGTTAGACAAAATGAAGGAGAAGTGCGCGTGGGAAAATAAAAAGCTGTTGATGAAGTGCATTAAATGATGCGTTTTATACTCATCTCATTTTTCCAAACCTTTTCCTATTTTTCTATCATCTTTGTGGAGAAAACGCCCAAAAAATTCATGAACTTTATAAAATTTCACGTTTTATTCCCCAACTCTTGATTGCACAAATAATTCCTCAAAGTATGTTTGACTTGACCAAATTAGGTTTCAATTAGTCAACATTTAATATGGAAATTGTATCCGTCGGGATTTTCAGTTTCAAGTTCAAAATTTCCAAACTGAAAAACATTAAGGGAATTTTCCGGCAAATTTCGACGATATTTAGCAAATTCCAACATATTTTAGTGATTGTATCAATTCAAAATTTGAGCTCCGAAATTAGTTGAAAATTGCTAAAAAATTTCGGAAAAAGCAGGAAATTCCCTTACAGTTTTTAGGTTTGGAAATTCTGAATTTAGAACTGAAAATCCCGACGGATAATGTTACAAATTTAAAAGAATCAATTTCCATGTTAAATGTTGACTAATTGAAACCCAATTTGGTAAAGTCAACCATACTTTGAGGAATTATTTGTGCAATTAAGAGTCGGGGAATAAAATGTGAAATTTCATAAAGTTCAGGAATTTTTTGGGCGTTTTCCCATCTTTGTGTTATTTACTTCTCTTTTCTGCAAACTATTAATCTTTATAATGATCGCTGAATTTTAAATAAAGCTAAAATTACAAATATCCCAAAACATATGATATATTCATCACTAAATACAGAGAGTCCAGACGACGGATGCACTTACTGGCTTGGCAGAGAGTTTGTCGTCCGAAAGGAGATGGTGGCTTGGGGATCGTCGCCTCTGCAGAAATGAACACATCACTTGTAGCTAAAGTGGGTTGGCGTCTTTTGCACGACGAAACGAGCTTATGGGCACAGGTGGTGCGGCACAAGTACAAGGTCGGTGATGTTCATGACAGCTCTTGGTTGAGAGTCAAGAGCAACTGGTCGGTGGTATGGAAGAGTATGATTACAGGCTTGAGGGAAGTGGTGTTTCAAGGCCAGAGCTGGGTCGCGGGAGATGGTCGGCGGATCTGTTTTTGGACTGATAAGTGGCTCACGGATCAGCCTTTGGAGGCTTTCGCTGTTTCAGAGTTGCCTGCGAATTATGAATTGTGCACGGCCAGAGACCTCTGGAGTCATGAGACAGGATGGCGTTTTGATCATATCGCCCCATATGTTCCGGAAAATATTTGTCTGGAGTTGAGAGCCATAGTGTTGGACTGTGATACAGGGGCGAAGGACCGGCTATCGTGGAGCGCTAGTGCGGATGGCCAATTCTCAGTCAAGTCAGCGTTCTCACTATTAACCAATGACGCAACACCTAGGCCGGATATGGAGGTGTTCTTTAGGCGGGTATGGAAGATTCGGGTTCCTGAGAGGGTCAAAGTTTTTCTTTGGTTAGTGAGCCACCAAGTGATAATGACAAACGTGGAGAGGAAGAGAAGGCACCTCTGTGACTCGGAAGTGTGCTCGGTATGCAGAGGAGGTTTTGAAACAATAATACATGTTCTGCGTGACTGTCCGTCGATTTTGGGGATCTGGAACAGAATAGTTCCAGCGCTGGTAAGGCGAGATTTCTTCTTTAAATCGCTGCTGGAATGGTTGTTTGACAATTTACAGGAGGATCCTGCGGATAATGTAACCCCATGGACAATCACCTTTGCCATGGCATGCTGGTGGGCTTGGAAGTGGAGGTGTGGGAACGTGTTTGGTGAAAATAGGAGATGCCCAGACCGAGTGCAGTTTATCAAAGATTTCGCGAGAGAAGTGTGGACGGCGAACAAGAGGGTTGCGAACCAGAGTAGCGGAGCAGCACGTGAGGAAAGACAGATAGGTTGGCTTCCACCACCAGGTGATTGGTTTAAACTCAACACTGATGGGGCATCTCGGGGAAATCCTGGCCTAGCTACAGCGGGTGGAGTGTTAAGAGACGCTGAGGGACGCTGGTGTAGAGGTTTTATACTCAACATTGGTCGTTGCTCGGCACCATTGGCAGAGTTGTGGGGTGTGTACTATGGCTTGGTCATGGCCTGGGAACAAAGGTGTTTGAGAGTTGAGTTGGAGGTTGATTCAGAGCTGGTAGTAGGTTTTCTTCAGACAGGGATAAGTGACACACATCCCCTGTTCTTCCTGGTACGACTGTGCCATGGCTTGATCGCAAAGGACTGGTTAGTCCGAGTCTCACACGTGTATAGGGAGGCCAATTGTCTTGCGGATGGATTGGCGAACTATGCATTTTCGTTTCCTCTAGGTTTTTCATATTTTGATGTTGTTCCTTTTGAAGTTGCTTCTTTGTTTGAGGCGGATGTACTTGGGTCGACAAGACCAAGAAGAGTTCGCATGTAGTTTTTGAACTTTCTTTTTAATAAATCTCTGGGAGGCATTGTCTCCCGGTGCATGACCAAAAAAAATACACATTTATATAGATACATAGATAACCATATAATATTATATTGAAACATAAGCATATATTGATAACAAAATATATTACTTTATAAAATTTAGATAACCATATAAAAGTATAGACAACCATAACAAAGTATAAACTACTATTTTACAATATAACAAAACAGAAGCATATATTAAAGTATATGTTAGCAACTAAATACATTTTTATATACATTTATAAACAAATATGGATCACCATATAAAAATTTACAGAACTACATAAAAGAATATAAAAATGTATGGAAAAATATGGATAACCATATAAAACTTTAAATAACTATATAAAAAAGAATAAAAATATATGCAAATGGTAATGACTAAATACATCTTATTATATAAAGCTGGATGCGCGCGACGTGGTTGCGACACATAGGATTTTTATAAAATTCAGGATCGCGACATGTGTCACTTTTAATGTTATATCCGTCAAGATCGTGACACGTGTATTTGGGGAAAAAAGTAAAATTTTAAAAATTTCTAGAAAAAGGATAATTTACAAAAAAAACGAAATTTAATCTATTATATTAAAAAGGAAAAAATAATATTTGTTATATCCTAACAGAAAAAAGTTTTCTATTCAACAAATTTATATTATCCAAACACATATAATTTTCTAAATCCTATTAGTACATGGAATATGTACTTAAACTAAAATTCCTATAGCAGCATGGAATATGTTATATGAACACCTATAAATACAAAGTTACAGTAGTCTTTTTTTTTCTCATTCACAATCACATCCAAGCAAATTCATCAAATTTCTCTGATTCTCTTTCTCTAATTTAAAAGTTGTCTTTGAAAATTCAAGAAAACAGTGGAGATTATTTGACTCTAGGTCAATTGAATCGAAATCGAGATTTTCGCCGTACTATAGTACATGTTATTCGAAAGTGGGAAGCTAGAAATCCTAAAGAAAATAATATTCTTATGGGAGTTGAGCTTCTACTACTCGATGAAAAGGTTAGTAACATATTATTTTATTTTATATATATATATCTAGTTATATAAAGCTGGATGCGCGCAACGTGGTTGCGACTCGTAAGATTTTTATAAAATATAGGATCGCGACATGTGTCACTTTTAATGTTATGTCCGTTAAGATTGTGACATGTTTCTTGGGAGAAAAATTTTTTTTTTTTAAAAAGATGTTAGAAAAAGGAATTTGTTTTAAAAAAAAAAGTAATTTATTACATTAGAAAGGAAAATTTTATATTTGTCAATATCCTAATAGAAAAAGGTTTCCCATTTACCAAATTTATATTATCCAAACACATATTAAAATGAAAATAATGTAAAAGATAAAATCATATTATTACTTGAAATATGTATGTAAATTAAATTTCCTATAAGTGCATGGAATATGTTACATGAACCCCCTATAAGAAGATAGTTACAATAGTCTTTTTTTTTTCTTATTCACAAACTCATCAAAGAAAATTCATCAAATCTCTTTGATTCTCATTCTCTAATTTAAAAATCATGTCTTTGAAAGTACAAAAAACAATTGAGATTATTTCACTCTAGGTCAATTGGATCAAAATCGAAATTATCGCCGTACTATATGTGTTTAGAAATCCTAAAGCACAGAAAAAAAAACGAAAATCAGAAAAATAGAAAAATAAAAGTTGTTACATCCATTACGAAAAGGAAAAGTAAAATATATTCCTAATACGAAAAGGAAAAAAAAAACAATATATAGTAAGCTATAGCCATCATGATTTAATTGTGTGATTCCAGCTTTTGTTTAAACTTCTCTCCCATTAAGATGTAAAAAATAATATATATTTGAAAGAATATTTAACTCTAGATCAGTTGGATCCAAATCAAAATTATTGTTGCTACTTATTTATAAATTTTTTTTGGTAAGTACTTATTTATAATATTTGATCACGTGAATACATGTGTTAACACAAGAAAATTGGAAAAATGTATAAAATAAAGAAAAACTAACAAAATAATTGAAAAACAATTAACTAATAATGAAAAAAATCTTTTATAATGGTTTGAGGCAAAACAAAACTGAAAAAAACAATATAAATAGAAAATTAACAAAATAATCATCAAGGAACTAAGTAATTAATATTAAAAAGAAACTTTTATAATGAACTGATATTCTAATTTTAATAGTTTAATTTATATTTTTTTTTTGTTAGGTAAAACAATATCAAAAAAATGATTTCATCAACTGAAATCTCTTGAATGGAATAATAAATTTTCACGAATTTATCAATCGATCAGACTTACTCATGTGTAAGTCTTTCTATTTTAGATAAAAATTAAAATATAACAAATTATTTTATTTTTCGTATCATGAAATCACAAAATGTGTCAATTATAATAAAACGTAAGAGAATTATCAATCTTATTTTATTTAGAGATTTGTTATCGGGTTTTTAATATTAATTTACTTAATTTTAAAGTGTCAAATTTCATTTCGTATTTTTCTATGATTTATTTCAAAAATGGTATAATAAACCCGCGTATACGCGGGGCCTAATCTAGTTGTTATATAAATATGTAGACAGTTATATCAATATATATCAAAATGTAAGTATTTGTATAACATTAAAATGTACTTTTATAACCAACCATATCAATATATCAAAACAATGTAACATATTAATAAGAATAAAATCAAAGACTTGGCTAAGTATACACACGCTATATGACTATTCGACAATAGACACCAATGATTTCAAGAGAAAAATAAGCAAATACAAAGAATCAGATTTACGACTTACCAAGAGCAAATAAAATGTGACTCAAAATGGATAATTGATGAATCTTTGGAAAATAATAAATGAAAATACTTGAGTAAGTAATATTCATAGATCATTAAATGTTATCTAGATTATTGGTCATCGAATTCTGGGTTATTGAATTCAGTGGTAATGAATTCATAACTGAATTTTGGGTTCGTAGGATGCTTTAGAAGTGTGGGGTTAAAGTAGGTACAAAGTGGACCAAAATATTTTCTTGATTCAAGCCAAGAAACCTCATATGTTGAATATTTAATAAGGTCAATTCGTATGGCTACTGGATGCAATTACTCTAAAGTAAAATAGACAAGTTTTGAGTTAAAATTAGATACTCCATCTATTTTATACTACAATAGAAATTATATAAACTAATAATATCGGGACTTTGATATTTTATTAATTTATAGAGTTATTAATATATAGATTTTTACTAAATTTTTTTTTCATAAAATAAAATTCAATAATGATAATCTTTTAAAGTTTATTCAAATTAAATAAAACTTTCCTTTATACATATATTTTCTTAAATTTTTGATGATGTTTCTATATTTACTTTTTTTTTTTTCATACTTGCCATATTTTTGAAAGTTGATTTTTTCTTTTAATTTATATATATGTTTGGTGTGTGAGAGATTCAATTTTTAGTAGTTAGATATCTTAGTTATATATATACATATAATATATACCTATTCTATATATATATATAAGTTTTTATATGATAATTATTAATTTGTGATATTATTGGGACCATATTTTACATAGGAGTTTTAAAAAGGTTATTATCTTATTATCTTATTGAATTGTGTTATATTTTACACTGGCCCAATTCGGGACCGGGGAAATTTATTAATTTATCGTGTTTATTAATTTATCGAGTATTAATTTATAGAGTTTCTACTGTACTATTTTCCTTATTATTATTTTGATGTTTTGTAATTTTCACATGGATTAAGAAACAATTAATTTTTAAATGTTAATGTATTACTTTTTCATATAAGTAATTATTGACCAATAAAAATTATAAAATAATTTTCAAGTTAACATTTTTATTGCATTAATTAACCAAAATTTTATTTAATAGTGTAAAACATCAAATAATAAGGAACAAGTAAGAAAAATTAAAACATCATATAATAAAAAACATAAGAAGTAGTTGTTATCTTATAAATGTATTAGATGTACTTAGAGTTTTTTTTTTTTTTTTTTTTTTTTTTTTTTTTTTTTTTTTTTTTTTTGTCAACAGCCTCTGGTCCTAAACCGATTCGAGAAGCGAGATCGGGGGAACCGAGTTTACATAATACACATCGTAAGGCTGATCTCGAGCACGTCGTGCTAGCTTGTCTGCCTTTGTGTTCTTCGTTCGTGGGATATGAGTCAAGGAGAATGTCTGGAAACTCCTTCTACACTTGTCCACCTCTTCAAGTAGAATTTCGAACGCCGGCCACTCGTCGGGTTTAGATACCATCTTCACCAAATCAGCGCAGTCCGTTTGAAAATTCATTCGTCTTTTGTTATGAACCAGCATACATTGCATGGCCCAAACCAAAGCTTCCAATTCTGTCTGTAAAGGGGATAATCCCCGTCTTAAATTGGTGGCCCCAACCAGAGTGGAACCCGAATCCGGATCAAATTATACCATCCTAACCCTGCCAGACTCTCAGTCGCCTTCCATGCCCCGTCCACCTGGCACCAACAACTAGGGCGTAAATTATTTAAATGTTGTTTCACACATTTTTTATTTTATTATATGGTTAAATTAGATTTATCCAGCAGGGTTTGGAGCACTCTTTATGGTGATAGAATATGTTGAACCGTTTTATCACAAAAGTTATTTAAGGATATATTCTTGTGGGTTTCGAAAGATAAATCTTTATTAATCAATGAGCTCATTAATGTGCGTGGAATTGCAACTTGAAACTTGTCTAACAAAACAAACGAACGAGCACAAATGAAAAATTTGGAGGGGTATTGGTGGGAGTTGGAAACTCGTCTCAAAATTAACAATCTTGAATACGAAACAGTAATTACAGGAAGGCTTATACATAAAGAAAGACTTGGTTAAAGGCCGCAGACCGAACAATAGCTCAAGTCATATTTTAGTGCTAAGTGGAACTGGTAGCAATTAACAGCTGTAGAATCCCGCATTATTGCTGTCTTGTCTCCTCTCGAGTCTCGACTTACTTAAAAGTTAAAACACCCCCACACGTTATCACTAGCTCTCATAGTCGTTCAAATTTTATATACATTCCATATATTAAAAAAATGTCAGTGGTCAGTGGTCAATCAGAATTACATAAACAACTCTCACAGTGCACATAGTTAGATATTTTAAAATGTTCAATTTGCTGTTTAATGAGTTTTTTTCGTCCCATTTGCTAAATGAATTATATCAAATACCCTTTATTGATTTATTTGTTAAGGCATAACAATTACTTTAGTTCTAAATGGCTATAGACAAGCTATAACGGATTGTATATCCGTACCTCAAATCTGGAGCAGAAAAAACAAATTGTGATATTCTCGGTGTGGAGTGGAAGAATAGACGACTAATCTTTTTTTTTTTTTGGTCAAACATCTACACTTAGATCGGGCCGGAAATCCAGACCGGTGGAATAAAGTTTACATAATAGACGTTGTGAAAGAGATTTCGTGCATTTCATACTAGCTTGTCTGTCTTGTATTTTTTGTCCTAGGTATATGATAGATAGAGAAAGCAGTGAACATCCTCTTGCATTTGTCTATCTTTTCAAGAAGAATCGAAAAAATTGGCCATTCTGCAGGTTCAGACACCATCTGCACCACGTCCGAGCAGTCGGTCTTGAATACCACCTCTTGTTTGTTGTATTGAATCATGCACTACATAGCCCAAATAAAAACCTCCACTTCCATCTGGAGTGGCGTAAGGCCGCGCCTCACGTTACTTGACCCCATTAGTTTTTCTCCCGTATTTGTATTGTGAAAAAAACATCCCTGACCAGAGTGTGGTTCCATCGCTTTCCATGCTCCATCAAACTGGCAACAAGCAGTATGTGTCCTTGGGGCTACCGAAATTCTCCCAGCTGGACATGCCATTTCCTGGCGTTGCTGGGCATTCTCCCATGCCACAGTTTTCGCCTCCACTAAAACCACATATTCTCAAGGTCCTTGTCTCTATCTGAGAAAAGGTCATTCTTCATTAATTTCCAGATGGACCAAAGTAGCCATGTAAAAGAGATTTTTTATATGTTATTTGCAATTAAAACCCTTTTAACCAATTGTAGTATAGCTTAGGATTCTTTGTCAAATTCAAAGGGTCAAGATAGAGGCACTAAGAATGCAAGAAACTATGTGAGCTAAGCAAATTCGAAATGGATTTTGAAGTAACAATTTAGGTGAAATAAAGAAACATAAAGCATTAAACAAAATAAAATAAAACACAACAAGATAAGCAATGAGTTTAAGGATGGAATCTTATATATAATTAGGGAGTTGCTCTCTCCATTTAGAGTGTCCACATCAGCACAAAAATTAAATTGTATTTAAAATATTTATTAAATATATGACTATTCATATTTCTTTACATTTATTCATATTTAATAAAAATATACAAATAAATTAATTAATTAATAGAAAGTATGTGATAATTTGATGTTAAAAGTTATCAAAAAGTTGGAATATAAAATAGAGATGGAGTAAAGAAATATTTAACTTCAAATAGTATATATTTACCTTTTTATTCAAAGGATTATCCTATTTAAAAATGTTATAATGTGTTTACAAGTTAAAAAGTTGAATATAAATTAATTAAGATAATAGAAAGCTAATGAAAATTAGAGTTAGAGTTTGTTTTTCTAAACAAATAGAAATGAGTTTTATATGTAAATTTAATTGTAGTGAAAAACAAGAATATGTTTACAAATTTTAACCTTCAGTCAAATGCATATACATATTTATAAATTTTAACCTTCAATCAAATACATATACATGTTTACAGTCTAATAGAAGTAAAAAATAAAATAAACATAATATTTATAACATGATAAAATTTTAGAAATAGAAAACTCGAGATAAAGCGGGGTGTTAATATCCTAATAAATTAAAATAAAAAAAAATTATTCATATTTTTTAGTGTTAGTGGTTGAGTTAACTCAAAACATAACAAAAACATGAAAGTTAACACAAAACCATCATTAACGAGTATAAATAAAATTAAACAGAAAAACTATCGTAAACAACCCCGCGCTTGCGCGGGGCTTCAAACCTAGTTTATTAAACTAGAGAGACTCTTTGACTAATCTATGATGCTCAAACAATTGAGAGAATGCTAATCCGTAGACAAAGAACTCTTAAACAAGTTTAATCCACTTTCATGATATTAATCACTTTGTCAATTACCAATTTCAAGAACTAATCATCATTAGTGAAATTCGAATTTAGCAAGCATCATAAACAAATTCTATCAAGCCAATAAACATCTTAAACAGTCATTATCATGAGCTAAGAATGTAAATCTCTTGATTTAGTTGGTTGGGACATTTCATCAAACACCTTGTGGGTGGGAAATGTTCTATGCTCTAAATCATTTTTCTCAAAGCTAATCTAGTATTAAGATCACTAAACAATAAATGATATAAGCAATCTAAGCCTAAGCATCAAGGATTAACCATTAAATCTCTCTAAACTAACCCATCCCTAAGCCATAAAAGAACTACGACTCCCTAATCATGAAGAATTCAACAAATATCATGTGAGAAGTGTTAAGGAGCGTATTATATAATTTCTTCAAAGAATCTTGCAAAATGTTTAAGAACCAAAGGGGAAAAGGTTTTTAGGTTCTCAAAAAGAAATTACAAGATGCCTAATAAATTAGGTCTTTAACGTATTTATAGTGGAGACACAAAACCCTTGGTCAACTCATTAATCTTGATTTTTCTTTTGGTTAGGTTTTCCAAATGGATTTGGGCCTCTTTCCTAGTGGTTTAGTCTTGGTTCGTGACAGCTGGTCAAGACTCAGTCAAAGCGTGGTCAACGGGGTCAACGCACACAAGTCTGATTAACAAAAGGCAATCAAATTGTCCTGGAAAAGAAACCTAATTGACATCGTGGTTGTCGCTCTCTGGAAAAACAGAGGAACTCTCATTGCTTTTTGCTTCTATCCTCTTCGATCTTGGCTCAATCCATCACTCCCTCATCATCCAAATGTATCTCAAATCATCCAAAAGCACATGTTTACCCACTCCAAATACTTCATGTATGCAATACCTAAGCTAGAACTCACTAAGTGTGCAATATGAGTAAAAATGACTATGAATAATATATGCAAGGTATGAAACAAGACTAAAATGATGAAAAATAAATGCTTAAAACATGTAAAATATGTGTATATCACCATGGATATACCAACATTCAATCATCACTTGGCAAATGCCTTAAAAGATGCGTCATATGTTTTTTTATTGTTTTTTGTTTCAAAGCTCTCACAAACATGGATCCTTTAACAAGTGCCAACAGTTTTTCTAAAGTTTATAAAATGGGACTATTTTTTATTTTTGTACCTATATATCAATTCTTAACTATTTGAAATTTTTATTTTAAAATTTTTATTTTAAAAATAAATATAACATAAATTATTATGAATCACATTTAACCCGGTCGAACCAAATTGAACCATGATCTGGATGCTTATCCGGTTCGCCTTCCGGTCCGGTTTTTTAAAAAATGGTTTAAAGAATCAGTACCAGAAGAATATCAATTGAGCTGCTAGTTTTCTTAAAAATGTTTTAAATTTAAATTTATATTATATGACTTGGATCGCCCACTAAAATATTGATCTTTCGTATTTATTTGACTTATTTTATTCTCTTTTATTATATTCTAGTTGTCATAATAGTTATCATGAATTAATGTATTAGTTTTAACAAAAATTTTTTTTTTTTATAAAACAAAAAATCTTATATAATGACATACAAAAACTAAAACTGAAAGATTTTAGTTTTTTTTTTTCAAATTAAATTATATAATTTTATAATATTTATACAATGAGATGGGATGAGAGATAAAAGAACATGACGAAAAAGAACATGAAAAGACGGGATGAGACGAGAAGGAATATGATGGGACGGAGGAAAACAAGAAGTAATGAGACGATACATGAAGGAACGGGACATGACAAGACAAAATGTGATGAAACGGGACAGGATGGGAAGAAGCAAGACAAGACAAAACATAACAAAACAAATGGAAACGAACAAAACCAGACTTATTCCGATAATTTTTTTTTAATTATTCTGCATATAATATTTTTAAACACAAAACTAAATTACATAACTTGATATATTCAAAATTTCTTTAAACACATTAGCAATACTAATAGAAAATTTCGCCTGAAGCGTGGATAATCCTCTAATTACATAATTAATAAGACTTGGACACTCTCCAATTCGGGACACGTGGCACCTTCTTCTTTTTTTCCTTCCAAACGCCAAAACGACGTCGTTTGGCGTTCTCACATTTTTTTTTCTTCGTGTAACACCAAAAGACGAAAATTAAAAAAAAAAGTTACATCGTTTTGCGTTTTGCCTTCTTTCCTTTTTTTTTTTCCCTGGGACCAACACGACGTCGTCTCCGCTTTCACTTCGACGGTATCGCTCCGTCCCACCTCCTCCCCTCATCCGCATCCGCCTACGGCGAGACTGTTCGGATTTCCTCTTCCGTTTCGGTTTGAAATCGTTTCAATGCTGTGCATTCAAAGCCCTGATTTCCCGATAGACTCCCCCAAATCGAATCTCATTATAAAAACCCCCCTTCGAGCTCCTAAAATATTTTTTCCTCTCATTTCCTTTCCGATTTCCGATCCGCTGTCTTCGGCGCTCTTTCGTTTCCCCCAATTTCGCCGTCTTTCATCATGGTTTCACCACCGCCCTCCCGCTCCTTCGAAGATTTGGTCGTTTACCACCTCTGCCTTCCAGTTTCTCGAATTAACTCGGGCATCACTGTTCATCTCCAGGAATCCCTCATAGAAGCTGTTCTTCCGGGAAGCTGGATCCGAGGACGCCGTCTACGTAGTCGAAGATTTCATGAGTATGTAAATAAGTAAATTTTCAAACCTTTCATCTGTTTCGGCTTTTATATATATCCGATGATTTGATCTTCTTTTTGTTATTGTCATCTGTTTGGTTATGGTCCTATCTCGATATTGTAGAGTTGGAAGACTTTCACTAGGATTATCATTAAAACATGGGGTTTTACTGTTTATGGTGATTTCGGATTGCATTTTGGGTTAAAAATTGATGTTTTGTTAGGCTAATGTTGAATGTTTTCTCTGCCTCTAATATGAAAGTTTAGGTTTTTAATTTGGTTTTGAGTTTTTTTTTTCCTCTGTGTTTATGTAATGACAGCTGAAAAGGTAGTGAAGAGTGACAAGAGAGACAGATCTTATGAAAGGATCAAGATGTTGAGGATAAGACGAGACAGAGGGATATTTGATCTTTGTCTCTCTGTTTTAATTTAGCTTATGGATGATTTTTCAAGATGTAATAACACGAAGTTATGTTTGTGTGTTTTGTTAGAATGCGGCGTATTTCCAGAGCCTTGCTGTGATGAGGAAAGCTAAAGAATTGGCTGCGTCTGGAAACGTTAGAGATCTTGAAGTGTTTGCCAGCTCTGAGGTTTGTATCAAATTTATCCGATGACTGACTCCGGTTACGAAATGGATGGCATTTCTTCGCTGATGCGAGACAGGCTTGGTTACATTGATTTTCAGTACTATGAATCAGCTAAACCGCACTTGCGGGTTCCTCTTACCTCCAAGGTTCTCATTCACTTCATTTCTTGTGATCGATCACATTCTCTTTATAGTCTTGCTCAAAGAAACTTAGAGAAGTCTCTGATCTTTTGGTTTATTTTTAGGTAAATGAATTGGCTGAGAAGTATTCAGGACTGATGACTTTAAGGAGTGTTGATTGTCTCCGGCAAGTTGGATGGCCATTGCTTGGTAAGTATAGAATTCGTCTGCTTATATAATCTGCAAGCGTTTTCTGTTTCGATGATGATAAAGGTCTTTGCGAATGATAATCGAAAGATTACTTGCCGTAAGTTTATCTATCTAACACACTGCGGTTTCGCTAAATCTGAAACATTATAAATTTATAAAAGTTCTTGTCATACGTAACAGTAATCCTCTTTCATTTTTACAGATCCAGAGGTGGAGAGCCATATAGAGAAGGCTCTTCGTAGTGGTCATGTTTCATACAAATTATCCATTGCGGTATAACATTTTCCATTTCAACTCCTATGTTTTGCTTATGTAGATTCTCTTACTTTTCTTGGATTAATCCTTCACTCGCGTGTGGCTTTGAACAGACTGGTTTCCTGGATATATGGGAAGAAGCTACGTTGTCTATTAAGAGAGAAGGTTACAGCATCAACTTTAATAACGATCTCATAGTTGCAGAAAAGTTCTCAGCTTCTACTGCTGTAAGACTTATGCCTTATTTGGTTATCCACAAATTCTACGAGATTTGAATAAACATTAAAATCCTTCTTCTGATGCCTCTCTAGGTAACAATTCCGTTTGGGCAGCCTGCAGAATTTGTTATAAATTGTTCAGATGGTAGCGAACGTTCCTTACGAGCAGATAATGGATCAACAGACCTTAGCTGGTAAGTAGGCTTAACTTTCTTACTAAAAGGGAAGTATACCATATGAAATGCTTCGAGTTTGATGAGCTTGACGAATTTCATTTAGGTTCAAAGTAGTTAGTGAGTTTAAAAGCCGATTTGTATTAATCAGCATATGCATCTCAGCTTGGCCCATTGGTTCTGAGCTTTGTCAGAAACTTGATCTGGATAATTTGGCATATGATTAAACATAAGTGTAGGGGATATATCACACTTCGATCCAATAATGATATGGTCTTAGTTATATATCTGTTTGATGAGATACAATAGTACTCATCCTGAGATTTTTATCACGAGGGTAATGTTCTTCAAAGCATAAGTTCATTTTCTCTCTTCAGTTACAGTTTAGGAAAGAACATTAAGTAGATGCAAAGACTTAAAGCTTCAATTTTGGAGAAGCAATGCTTATGGTTTGCTAATTCATTGCAGGCTCTGCAGAGAAAGAAGGGAAAAGAAGAGAGTATTTTGTTTAGCAAATGAGACTTTTCGTATATAATATTTTTGGCTCTCTAGCTTTTTGTGAGCTGCAAAAGATTGCCCCCCATGTTTTGTAGTTATATGGCCCTATGAGACAATTCATTTGTGAGAAAAATCACATCTTTTTTATATATAAAAAAATCTGCTCGAGTTTCATTTTGATCACTCCAAGTAACACATTACCTTTTATTTAAATTGAACTGTGTGCTTACACTAAATAATTAGCCACAAGGACTATGTTACAAAGAAGAATGATAAATCTTAAAAGAGATATGATACAACAACAATAAAACTAAATCGATAAGTAAATAACAATAATTGTATAATATATATTTTATGGATTATCTCAGATAAAATTGTTTATATAACATGTGTTGAGAAATCGTGAAATTGGTTTAATAATATTTTTAATGTATCTCAAACAATAGTACTTATATAAAATATTTTTAAAAATTTAATATTGTTATCCATAAAGCCAAAGTTATAACAATTTAAAAATACAAGAATAACCTTCAAATTTGAAAAAAGTGTAAAAATACATATAAATTTTTTTGAACTTTTTAGAGAAATTTTATGAAATACACCTCTTGAGGTGCAAATTTTCAAAACTACACTTATAGTGTGGAAATTTTCAAAAATACACATTTTCCCAATTTTAATATATATGTTTGGGTTCACTAATCCTAAATTAGGGTTTAGATTTTGGGGTTTAGGGTTTAGATTTAAGAGTTCAATGTTAGATTTTAGTGTTTTGGATTTATATTTTAGGGTTTAGAGTTCTTTTAATTAATGAAAAAAGTGTAGTTTTGAAAATAGACACCATAGAGGTGTATTTTTGAAAATTGACACCTCAAAAGGTGTAGTTTTGAAATTTCCTTAACTTTTTATTACAAAATTTTCATTTTCGTTTTATGTGAGTTAAACTTTTATTATTATTTAATAGAAATTTGAGATTCTACTAAAAAAAAAATGTATAATCACACTTCAAAAAAAATTACAAATTGATATTGTAAACAACAATAAAAAGGTCAAAATAAATAAATTTATAAAATAAATTTAATCGCAATGTGCGGGCACTCTACTAATTCAACATAAAAGTGATTCAAAATTATTTTTTATATATAAAAGTTTAAATCCTAAATCCAAAAATATAAATTATAAATTTAAACACTAAATTGGGGGGGGGAGAAGGAAGATAATGTTTTATATGGCATTTATTGTTTTTCACATTAAAATGTCAAAATATACTTAGTGGAGTCCATTTTGATCCATTTTATATAAAAGGATCATTTTAGTTTATTCTTCTAAAATTTGAACAAAGTAGTGGAGTCGAGCTCAGAGGCAATGTATGTCGAATCGTGCTTCCCAACTAGATCTGCTGAACAATAAAGAAAAACTGTAAAATGTTATAGCAAGTGAGAGACGGCGCGCGATCAAAATCAAGCCTCCGCTAAGCGATCTGACCCACGGTGGTTGTCGGATTGGCTTCACCAAGGTTAGCTTCAGATTTTCATCTTATTTGTCTCGAATTAAGGACTCTAAACAGAGAAATCATCTTTAGTTTCAATTTCTAGGGTTGCTATATAGACTAGAGTATCATTAGATCAGATGCTACTTATTTTGGGAAAGGATTATTCTCATCATTTATATTGGTAATAGTATAAATCTAATTCATCAGTACTTCAACTTTTTCGATTCTTGATGATGGTGTTGACTTTGCTTATTTCGTTAATATTTCTGTTCTACCAGTGATGGGTTCACATTACCAGGAGTGGGTAGATAAAGCGTGCAAACAAATTATGGATTCATTAGAAGTGGATGGTGTTTCGAGAGTCATACTTGTTGGTGAAGCTGGAATAGGTAAGACATGGCTGGCTCGCGAGATATGCGAGCGTGCTACTGAAAAGACGGGCTCATGTTACATGGCCCTCTGGTTGAATCTGAACAAAGAGCTGGATGAAAGGTCGCTTTACAAGAATATAGCTTCTCAGCTGTCCATATTTCTGGAGAAGGAAGGGAGTGAAGAGGATGATAGCGACAACGAAGATGATGAGGAGCAGAAAAATCGAGACTTGATGAGGTTGAAAGATGGCATACTTCAAAAGCTCAGGAGAAAGAAGCTTAAGCGTGAAGGAAAGAAGAATCTCCTGTTGGTTTTGGATGATGAAGGAAGTGTGACCAATGAAGAAAAAGTGATGGAAGCGTTGCACCTTCGAGATTTTCTTGTTCGTGGGAAGGACAGGCCTCTAAAAATTCTTCTCACAAGAAGGAAAGAAGAAGCCGTTACAAATCCCTATATCACGGTCGAGTCACATTTCGAAAAGTCAAAAGACTTTTGACAGCACCCTTCTTACTGATGGGTTTTTGCGGGGTCTATTCGAGTGCCTTATCAAAGGTGGATCAGCTGTGGAGACAAATCATGAGATATGGATACTTGATATCCTGAGAATGAGCATGCGTTTGCCAGCTGCACTCGTTGTTCTAGTCAAGTCTCTAAACTGCATTTCTGTAAACGATCATTTTCAGCGTCCTCGATATCTTCTGGAGATTCTCTCCTCTCTTGGATCTGATACAACTATTGGTTGTGAGAATCCAATTCTACGTCTCTCTTATGAGTTATTGTGCAAAGCGAGTACCAGGACTCTTGTTGACTGCTTCTGGCATAGCCTGAGCCTCTTTGAAAACTGTGGGTGCATCTATTACCAGGAGTTAATCACACACTGGATTCTCGAAGGCTACTTCGATCCGGTTAGATCGGTTACAAAGGCATATCAGGATGGTCACTTTATCTTGATGGAGCTTATGAACCGTGGTTTTCTGAAGGTACAAGAGGACAATATGGTTATGCCAGAGGTTGCAATCAAGAACTTAATTGATACCAGTCGTCGTGGCTTCTTAGGGAGATCTCGACTTAGACTTTCCAGAGTTTATGGTGGTAACAAGAAAGATGGTCTAGGGAAAATCAACCAGGTGGATGACATAATAGAAGCAGGCCGAGTGACTAGGAACAGAGAGAAAATCACTACAATTCTGGTTGGTGGAAACGATCTGCGCCACGAATCTCTTGAGAAGTTCTTTGAAAAGCTCAAGGATCTTGAAATACTTGGCCTTTTCGGACCCAGACTGGCCTCGTTTGTCCCGTCTTTATCAAAACTAACGAAACTCCGGGTTCTTGTGATCAGGGATTGTGATCTACTGAAAAATATAGAGGAGCTTAAGGCCCTTCAAGGGCTTCATGTTCTTGAAGTTTCTGGCGCTAGCTTCTTGAAGGAAATCCCTGATGACTTCTTTACAGCAATGCCTGATCTTCAAAGTCTTCACCTCTCTGTACTTCAGATCAAATCTTCCCCTTCCAGCATTTCTAAGCTGAAGGGACTTCGTTGTCTCATAATTAGGGATTGTCCGGTATTGGAAGATTTGCCAGAGATACATGAACTAGTGAATCTTGAGGCTGTTGATGTTTCTGGTGCTCGTGGACTTCAAACTTGTTTTGACAAAGCAAAAGGCGAAAAGAAAAACAAAAGCAAAAATAGAAACTTTTATCATCTCCAACAACTTCAGCTCCTTGACTTATCAGAAAGCCAAATAGAAAGATTACCACTATTCCATGATGCTGCGGTAGGCGACAAGCTTCACTCCGTGACTCGGCTCTTGTTGCGCAACTGTAGGAAGTTGATAAAATTGCCCAGTCTGAAGCCTTTGTCTGGTCTCCAAATTCTTGATCTTTCTGGCACTTCTAGCTTAGCGAAAATGCTGGACGTATGTTTCGAGGATAAGAGGGAGCTCAGAGTTCTTAACCTGTCAGGCACTAATCTTGGCCAGTTGCCTTCCACCATTGAGGAGCTTTCTAGTCTCAACAAACTCCTCCTAAAGGATAGCAAGAACCTAGAAGTTATCCCAAATATCTCAAAACTCATAAATCTCGAGGTCATCGATGTTTCCGGCTGTACCAAGTTGCAGACGATTGAGGGATCATTTGAGGACATGCATTACCTGCGTGAAATAGATCTCACTGACACCAAAGTGATGACCCTGCCGGAGTTGCCAACGGAGACCAAAGTCATTTGTCCAAAGCGTATTACTCTGGCAGATGGAAGTGTTTTTAAAGGTGAGAAATGGAGCGAAATAACGGACACGATTAAAAGTAAGAGATCTGACAAGGCCAGCTCCTCTAAAGAAGTTGTTAAATTCCAAGAAATCTCAGAAACGGAGTCTGAAAAAACAAGTGAGATTCAACCGCATGAACCTCACGCCAGTGAATGTACTGGTAAGGGAGATGACAGCAAGGAACGTTTCTGCCAGGTTCTTATAGACATGGCTCTGTATACAACGAATCTATCATCTTTTGATTCTGAAAGTCACACGGAAGTCCTGGAGATAACTAACGGCGAAGGTGGTTTCACTGGTCAAGACAAAGAAGCCCTAGCTAATGTGGAGTTTGTGTCTTTTGTGGACAGTAGTTCCACAAGGCTGGCATCTATCTTTAACGAGATAAGATTAGTGAAGGGTTGTTGGCTAAAGATGTGCAAGGACATAGAATACCTTTTCTCTGGCGTGGAGGAGGAACGTTTAGGATCACTGGAGATTTTGTCTATTACAAACCTTCGATTGTTGGATAGCATATGTAGCAGGGGATTCAAGAATCTGAAGAAGCTAAGCATAGACTGCTGCCCAAATATCAAAATGCTTTTCCCATACGCCTCTCAGCTACCTAGCAGCCTAGAGGTCCTGCATATAAAGTTTTGCGTGAAGCTGGAGAAAGTGTTTAAAGAAGGCGAGGTGTCAACTCTCACTACCCTATGTCTTCATGAGTTGCCTGTGTTATCAGCTGTTGGGGCCAAACTACCTAATCTTAAGACATTCAAAGTTAGAAATTGCCCGAAGCTGGAGAACTTGTTTAAAGAAGATGGCGACGTGTCAACTCTTACTACCCTGTGCCTTTATGATTTGCCTCTGTTATCAGTCATTGGAACCAAACTACCTAATCTCAAGACACTCAAAGTCAGGAATTGCCCGAAGTTGGAGAACGTGTTTGAAGAAGAAGGTGAAGTCTCAACTCTCACTACCCTGTGCCTCTTAGAGTTGCCTATGCTAACAACTATCGGAGCCAAACTACCTAATCTCAAGAAATTCAAAGTGAGGAATTGCCCGAATCTTAATTTGAATGGCTTGGTAAGTGCAACTTTCTACTCTTATCACATACCCACTTTAATGCTGCTCTTCCTGTTCTTTTTTTTTTTTTCTTGCTCTTATAGGCAGAGAAGAACTTAAGTTTTTCTTTTGCTTATCTAACGTTTTATCAGTCTTCCTAACTCATCAGGAGAGAAACACTTCTGAATCCAAATTGTTGAAAATCAATTGCATCATAGTTTTTTTTTTTTTTCTCTTTTGTAGCAGGTAGCTATCTGAGTCGTCTTGCAAGATATCTTGTCTCGTTTCAGGTCCATCTTTAGGATTTTAAGCTGCTTGTGTTTGTAGGACTGGGTTATGGTAAATCCATAAGATCAGTAGAAGTGGCCGGATACTTGTGTATTACTTACTCTATTATGCGTGTTTGAAACTTTGATACAGTTAGCATCTGTGATTCTGTGGTGTTGTCCGTTTTCATTTATTTGCTCTTGCTTATGCTTTCGGATTAAAATGTTGGTAAGTATCTTGTTTATTTTTCTAAAAAAAAATCACAGGTATAGAAAAAATGGTTGTTGCTTGAAGATTCAAAATGTGATAAGAAAAAATTGAAACGTGGACAAAATTAAAGGATATAACTAAGTCGAATTTTAACTTCTTTTTGTTCAAATTTACTAATTTCACATGTTATTTTTATCCTCAAACGGTCAAACCTATGAATCCACCTAAGTCTTCTATATTTTATCATGTGAGGTTATTAATTTGTTTAAAGTAAGCTCTACAATCAAGAATTTTAAAATACGGCTTATTGACGATTTATCGTGCTGTTAACGTTTAAACCAATTAGGCAATTAACCCCGCTGTATAAAAGCTCAGACAGACTGTATAAAGGAAAACAAAGGTTAATAGTTTTGCAGTTGAAGTGTTTTTTTTTTTTTTTTTTTTTTTTTGTTAATGATAATTGAAGTGTTCTTTCTGATCTCTCTTCTTCTTCAACGTTTTGGTTCATGTTCTTTGCGAAAAAGCAAAAACTTGGTGTTGACTTCAACTGCGGGTGTTTTTTTATATAGCTTTTGCTTGAAAATGGCTTTCAATATCGGATTAACAAGTAGAAGCAGATTTGACTTCACCGTACGCTTCGCTAAGAAATCTTTTCTTTTTTCTACTAAAGTCTTCGCTGAGAAATTTCATAAATGGGAATGCACAAAGGACACAGAAACGACAGAGAGGGATGAGGAAGATCGTGTAGAAACGAATTCTTCACTTCCGGGCAATGAAATCCATGGTTTCAAGAACGAGATTGAGTCATTGAAGAACTTCTTGTTAGATCAAAAGGTATACGATGAGTTCAAGAGTCTTGTGGTTGTCGGAGAATACGGTGTGGGGAAGACAGCGTTATGCAAGACGATCTTCAACGATGATGAAGTGAAGAGTGTTTATGCCCCCAGGATCTGGATATCTATGCACAGCAAGAAATCTAAAGAGGGTCTTGATAAGAAGATATATGTGATGAAGAAGATATTGAAGGTTCTTTTACTTGAGGATGACTTGTTGAAATCCTTCCGTATAGAGGCATCAGAAGAAGCTAGAGCCAAGTTGGAAGCTGGAGAAAGTGATGGAGATACGGCGAAAGAGAAGGAGCTTTCTGATCTTCTGTATGCACTTCACTTGAACCTGAGGTGGAAGAAGTATCTGGTTGTGTTTGATGATGTGCGAGAAGAAGACAATTGGAACGAAATGCTTCAAGATGATGAGTTTAAACTTAACAAGGATAAACAATGGGGAAAGCATCTCTCAGGTGGATTCCCTAAAGGGTCTGGTGGAAGAGTCATATACACGACAAGGGATGTAAGGATGGCGATGAAGCTAGTCGCAGAAGAACATGAGATACATCGTCTTTGGCCGCTGTCTGATCCTGAGAGTGTCTGGAAGATATATAAGGCAGTCATAGAGAAGATTTATACTGAAATCCCAAGGAACAACAAGAAATGCATAGAGGAGCTGATGAACAAGTCTCGTGGTCTTCCTCTAGCTGTTAGATCGATGGCCACGCTTAACCCTGTTTTTATCGACGACTTTCAAAACCCAAGGTTAAGCGAGTCAACCTCCCCTGAAGATGATAAACTTCCTTCAACCTCTAGCTAGAGCCTAGAGATCGGAAATCCATTTCATTGTGTTATAAAGCTTTCTTATTTTACCTTTCTCGTTTGTATTTCTCTGGTATGAGGTTGTCTGTTTGTCGTTCTGTAATATAATAAATGCAACAATTTTTTCTTCGAGCTAAGTGTCTGCAAAAGTGTTGATTATCTGAAGAAAATATAAGAGACAGTTCCTCATCTCTTGTATTTAATCAGAGTTCATTATATTGTTCGCCTATGTGCACTAGTAGATTTAGAGATTGTAGACATTCTCAGTAAAACAAAATACATTTCCTTTTCCTTTATAGCTTCTTTTAAGACACATGGAACTGTCCTCTAAGCAAGATTTGTAGCAAACACTCCAACACTTGAGGGCATTTGAAAACAACCGAAGAAAGTCACTCGTTTTCTCCTCTTGGTTTCCTTATTTTGATCTTCAGGCTTATCTGAATGACGTCTCTTCGTCTAATTGAAGAGTCTCTAAGAGCATGTCCATCGGGGTCTCATAAGGATCTCTCAACATTAAAAGAAAAAGAAAAATAAATGAAAAAGAGGAAAGAGAAGGTAAGACGTCTCGTGATAGAGAGACTGTGAAGCAAAATATGAGAGACCTTGAATGATGTGGTATCATATAATTGGTTAGGTTTTCATTTTTTTTAAATTTAATTATTTTTTAAAATTATATTAATTTAATATGTAATATGAGATTCAATATAGAATATCACTGATGGATATGCTCTAATCTAAATTCTAAAGTAAGGTCTGGCTTTTCGAAATAAAATAATAACTATACAAGATCATTTTTTTTCTATAAAAGATATATAATCAGATGTGACCACCATAATCTAATACTTTAAGTGCTAATTTCGAGGAAAAGTAAACGACAAAAGAAAATGCTAAATAAAGACCAGAGGTTGGTAAACCGTAAATTCGTCGATATGAAAGCTGGAATTTGAAGTTTTCTTCTACCCAATCAAATGAAATATATAAAGACCAGAGGACTTGTGGTAAAATAAAAAGTCAACGATTGGGGGACTTGTATATATAGACATTGTAACTCTTCTCGCTTAATCTTAAGACAATTCTTATTCCTTCATAAATTCATAAAGAACTTATGTACTGTGTCCTGTGAGCACTTTCTCATTTATAGCTTAAGCGAGCATTAGCAATCTATTATATAATGAGAGTCCAGTGTCCGCCACGTCAGCTTTTTCCTTTTATCAAAAAGATGCCACGTGGCAACCTCTCATTTATTAAAAAAGAAAAAGAAAAATTAAAGACACAGAAACCACCACCTCACACCCACCGTCGCTTTTCGTCGCCGCCGGTGAGAAATACTTCCGCTCCAAACCCATCCCTCCTCTATTTTCCGGCCTCGATCCCCATCCAAACTCCCACTGTCTCTGTTTGGATCGCCGGCGTCAACAAACTCTCATTTGGATTTAGGTTTCCTTCTTGCTTTGGGGATCCTACCTTCGCCATCAGACCCAATGGCCTATTCTCCAATCTCGGCGTCTCAATTCGTCACTCCGACGACCAGCCGGTGAGAAATACGTCCCCTCCACACCCAGCCATCTCCACTACTCCTCCTGTCTCGGTTTCAGTCCAAACCCTCGTAATCTCCGTTCCGATTGCCACATTGTCGCTTATTCCGTGTACTTCTATTTTTTTTTTTTAAACTCCATTGATTTATTTGATAAAGCCACCTTTGATTAAAAAAAGTCATTGATGCGATTCAATTTCTTTTCATCTTCATCGTCAGCCCTTTCGCCTTCTCTACCTCCGTTTATCTCCATCTATAATCTCTTTGTAACTCCCACATCCAACTATCTTCCCTCTTCCATGTCTTTAAAAATGAAGAACAACTCACGGTCATCTCCTCGAGGAGAACTTAAACAATTTTCTATCCGCAATTCTCTCTTTCTCTTCTTCCGACCGCCGCAGCCTCATCACCTCTTATCAACAGTTTTGTTCCTTCCATCCTCCGCCCTTTACATTCGTCACCCCTTTTCCATCCTTACATTTGGCGTTGGAACCGTCTCCCACGAGATGATGCCTCTTCGTAAGCCTCTACAAGCGATTTAGTTCTCCTGGGACAAATATTTTGGTGACTTTGATTTCAGAAAACTGAGGAAAGAAAAAACTTCTTTTTATTTTGAAACTTTATTCATCGGATTCCATTTTTGTGCAAACACACACACACACTTAGACCATCTCTCACATTCTTTTAAGAAACTTAGATTATTTGGGTGGGTAGAGATTTTGTAAGAGGATGTTGGCAGGTTGTTCAAGCTCTTCATTGTTGTCACCGACTCGAAGATTATGGAGCGAAGCAGTAGCAGCACCAACAACAGGACCCGTAGCAGCACATTTTCCCATGAACACACAGAGACTGGACTTACCATGCGGTAGTAGCTTCACTCGCAAGGAAACTCCATCGACCCGACCACTCGGAAGAAGCATCTCACTCGACAACAACAACAGCAAACCGATCGAGCGCAAGACCAAGGCCAGTTTGAGCAGAGTGAAGAGGAAAAGAGCCGGCGAAACAGAGGATGATCACAACAGAGGTTACTGGTTTGAGCATTTCACAACGCAGAATCCATCTCCAGCGTTAATTATCGTTTTCTTTGACTTGCTCACCTGATGATGATGATGAATTGATGACCATGATGAGGAAAAAGGTATGCTTTGAGCCGAGCGAAGTGATCTCTCAGCCGTTACCGACTAATTCAAATTGGGTTCACTCGGAGTTAGCTGGTTTAGGCGATAAGGACACTGTTCCCGCAGCGGTTAAAGAAGCTTCAGGATCATCAACAAGCGCATCGTCAGAGACTCATAGCTTAAGCCACAAAGTAACAGTACCAGAGCCTACAAATGGTTCTTCAAGAAGCCCCTATTCACAACACCGAGGCAAAACAGAGGAAAGAGCAATCGAAAACAACAATCACAGAGAACTATGGTGTTCTCTCACCAAAATATGTAGTCTCCAAGGTAAGTATTCCGTTTTTGACTTTTGAGTCTCTAATACCTCTTTATTTGGGTTGATAGTGTTTTGACTGAGAGTGCTGGATTACGGGAGCCTTTTTAAATTTCATTTTTGTTGCTAAGATTTGCAGAAGAAACTCATATGCTTGCAAGGATCAAAGACCGATGAAGAAAATTCAGGAATTGCGGATGGGGAAGATATTGAGCATCATAGGAAGAGCTAAAACGGGGGTGCAACCTGAAGAAGGAGCTTAGAAATGTATAATTTCAGTCAACTAAGTTTAAGCTTCTCCTTCGTTGATTCAACATATTGACCATTTTTGTTTTTACTTGGTTTATGTCAAACACATCATCGCTGGTGAACTCAATGCCTAACGTAAATTTTTCTAAAATGCTTTGGTGTGTAGCTCAATCCCAAAACTAATTTTGGCAGCCAAGAATAACATTTTGAGAAGTGCAGTGGAGAGAAGGAAGATGAAGCGTGAAGTCTATCTATACCCAGTTTCATCTATGGTGTATTAAAGTTTATTAACATATATGTACACGCCTATGTATATTAATATTATCAAACATTTCCTGCAACGATGATTTTATTATGACTCTATGTATAACCTCCGCTGTTATGGACTTATGGGTATAGATATTATGTCTAATTGTCCTGGCATTTTCTTTTTGCCATATTGTTTCATTGAAACTTGCAAATCAGTAAAGTTCACGGATGATATCTTCTAATTAGTTAATTAGTCTTCAACTTTAATCCAGTAACACCTTTTAAAAAAATATTAATTAGTCTTTAGTATGAAATTGAAGACAAAAGGGAATATTGATGAACGTTTGTAAAATATGTTTGACACGAAATTGTAAAAAACAAAAAAAAACTTATAGATAGGAAAGAATTTGAGTAAATTCATTGAGAAAAGGGAATCATCTAAAGTTTAGTGTTCAACTCAAACCTTCTTTGTTAAAGATTTATAGTTCCTAAGATATGTTTAAACTTTCAAGGTTAGTCATATTTTCTCAGTACTTGCCAAAGGTTAGTCCTATTTACTCAATTTTATTGTATATCTTTGTTATCTTGATTTCAATGTCTTATTTTTAATAATCGTGGTCTACTATCTGTTATTGATTTTTACCCAACCAGTTTCTAACCTATGTGATCGTACTAATCACTAATATGTGAGGTGAGAATGTTATCTCTCTCATGACCGGGTTTTCAATAATCTTAATTTATAATTTTATAAATTTTATATCAACTATTTAATCATTCGAATGTAACTTTTATATTAATGTAGAGTGTAGACCTTCTTAATTTTTCTTCTTTAAAATTCACATAATGAAAAAAATACAAATGACAAGCTAAATTCATTGAATTTATGAGAGGTTTGAAAATTTCCAGTGGGGAATCAAAATCTGAAGAAGACAATGAGGTGATCAACATTGTGTACAAGGAAAATTTTAACAACATACATCAGCAATGAAAGTTATGAGAGGTATGTGAGATTACCTAACATTAGGAATTACAAAAATTTGCATCCACAAATCAAACTAATGAGCATATGTGAAATTAATTGTTTTATGGATATGGGATGAGACAAAAACAGCAGATGATATACACGAAGATAGAAGATATGTAAGAGTTCTGATAAGAAACAAACAATATTTTTATTTTACATCTACAACATTATTATTCATATATAATACAAATGTAAAATACATTCTTATATTTATAAGGTTGTATAGTGAAATAGAAAGCGTGACCAAATTTAGGGATAAGAAGGAGAGATTTCATTTTGAGTAGCTGTTGGATATGGATGTTGTAAAAGTTGATTGGAAAAATTAGTTTTTTACATGCATGTTGTTTAAAACAATAGCATTAACAGTTCATCATTTATTCAATCTTAAAACAACAAATTTCATTTACCTTTTATTTATGCTTTTCTTTACATGATATTAATGATATTAGATTATATGCATAGTGTTTAAAAAGTAACTATGTATATATAAACATAAATAAATGTAAGAATTATGATATAATTGGCAAAAAAGTTTTTAATACTCACAACCCGCGCATCGCGGGCTAAGCCCTAGTTAGTTTAACAAAACAAACAAACGCTGCATACTCCTTAATCAAAGGTTAACAGCAAGCTTGATAGCCATAGCAAGACTGAAAGTGGAGTGGAGGGAGTCGGAAGAGGTGTCCTTTCCACAGCTGAACTTTTTGGAAAAGCATCAATGCCCACAAACTAGTTAGTTTCTGCCCCTGACGTGTAATTGGAATCTGCGGCAAACCCTGAGAACATCAAGTATTGTATTGTTTGTGAACATTGTTTGTGAACATTTGAATATATAAGTTTGGAGTGTTGCTGCCTATTAAGTGATACTTGTACACAATCAATGGTTCTTTACTATCTAAAAGTGTTGAGCTTTATCTGAAGAAATATAAGAGATAGTTCCTTGTGTACCTCTTTCGTTGCCTCATCTCTTGTTTCTGCAGTCTACCAGAGTTCCTTATTCTGAGCCTCTGTGCAATTGTTTTTAGATGTAGCGTTGTAGATCTTCTCAGTTAAGAATAATACTATGCTTATTCTTTCATAACTGATGTACTGTCTAGTGACTCAAGCAGATCAAGTAGTATCACAGAGCAAGAAAACACAAAGATTGCTAGCCAAACCGGCAAGACTTCAATGGGAAACGAGGAAGCAAAACACTGATAAAAATGGACGAAAAATCAATGTTTCCTTATCTCATCTCAAGCGTGATTGTGAAGTTCTTGCACCTTAATCAGTCGTTCATCCAGCAATCTGAAACTGCGTTGCAGCTTAGGAATCCCATTCTCTGACTTACTGGCCATTTTAAAAAAAAAAAAAAGCAGGTGCACTTGACATTCAAGTCTCTTGTTTTTGCTTACTGAGTTCAGCAACAGAGCTCCTAGACGTCGTAAGTATCTGAGATGGAAGAAGCTTTGTATGCAATTGGTCCACAATCTTGAGGATCTCCTGGATTGTTTGTAGCCTTTGGGTAATCTTTTGGATTTGACTCTTGTGGTGGGAGTTCTTGGAAGCCATGATCACTCAGTGGTCAACTTCTTTTTTCTCAGCTCCAAAAGATACATAAATGACACTCAAGAATCCATCTGCAAAATCTTGAAAGGAACGGGAACAAATTGCCACCTAACTAAACAACTAAAATGGGACATCTTCTTTCCAAGAGAAGCAAATTACACAGCTCATAACTCAGGATGATGCAAAAACAAACCAACTATGTACAGAGTGTAGACAACCACGGACCAGCGACATGAAATTATGTCTCTTTGTTCGGTTTCTTGTGAAAGAGGATGAAAGCTGCCACAAGGGTACCAGAAGCAACAACCCTTGACACACTTCCAATGTCTGTTTGCTGGCTGATAAATGTCTACTCAATACATGGCTTCTCTCGGAACACACACTCCACCTGGTTTCATCCGACATGTTGGGGCATATAGCATCATTCCGGAGTTCATGCCTACTGATCTTCAGCGTATTGAGTAGACATTTATCAGCCAGCAAACAGACAATATCCTCATCAGTGGCATCACTAACCACAAAGCCACGACATACTCTTGGGCATGCGATCCATCATGTAGACCAAAGCCTTGGGGTCTCTTCTGTCAGCCTTCTGCATCTTTCATATAGATCCAAGAAGAGCCATGAGTTTCATGGAGCCGATATAGTGATCACCTACACTCTCTTTTTCGTTGGAATAGCTCTGGACGTCGCGTCTCTCCTCATGGTCATGCCCTCATAATGGACATTTGCTATCTTATGTAGGCTAAACAAAGACGGGACCAACAGAGGCTCACGGATATACCCCGCACTCAAATGTTTTCTTCGTTTAAAGAAGCTGCACTGGAAGAGTCAAAGATGCGAGGGTTTCATGCACGAGGTGCTTAACACGCCCTATATATCAGATGTTGATTACGACCGGAGCCTTATCATGTGGCACATAGCCAGAGCCGTGCTTATGCACAATAAAAAAGTGCATTTGCACTGAGCCCCTAAAATATATAATTTATAGAGGCCCCCACTTTTTTTTGTGTGGTAAAAATGTTAAGATTTTATACATTTTTCAAGTTTTACATGTTGCAAAGCCCCCAATTTATTAAAATTTATTGTATCATAGTAGTTTTGGAATGTCAATTATATCCTTTTCTGTTTGTTTTTTCGTTTGTGTCCTTTCATAACATTTAATAAAAAAAAAAAGTTATATTAAAAAGGCCCCCATTTTTAAATTTGCCATGAGCCCCGATTAACCTTCGCACGACACTGCACATAGCCACTGAGCTGTGTTACAGAGAAGAAGCTATCATCGCAGAGAATCATGACATACGTGAGCAGAACTTGATCTGCATTTTAGTCTGTTGAGTTGGCACATTTGATTACTTTGTGCCGAACTTGAGGTATCTGATCTGTTTCGTGAAGCAAGCGCCCGCAAACAAGTATGAAGTATAAAAATGTCCCATCTCTCTCAAAAACATCTGTGAAATGAAACTGATAGAAACATGAAGATACACTGAGATGTGTAAACTTAAAATGCAAATCTAAGAATATATCTTAAACTTGATCCCACTGAAAAAAAAAATGCAACAGAGAACATTGGTGATAGCATACGAATAGGAGAAGTATGCTGCTACCGATCAACATCAAGCCTAATATTCATGTATGATCATCAAGACTCACGACTACTAATATAAACAACTTACCAAATATTTGAAAATAACTTATAAACATTTCAAATTTAATTGAACGAAATCATTGGAGATAAAGTCTTAGACCACAAATCCTGCATGTTTCTATCGTGCTTAAACTCACTTTTTCAGCAGCCAAGCAAACACTCAGTAGAGCTTCAAAACGAAGAGAAATCACACAGACATCAAATCAACCATAGAAAAAAACCAGTAAGATGTTCATTGAAATCATGACACTAAATCGTCGTGAACAATTCAAACTTTCGCCACAGCTTTAAAATCAAACTGGAGAACAATAAATTCATCGAATTTCAGAACATCGGAAGAGTTTACCTTTAATTGACTATTCTGTTGGTGGAGGGGATTCCCAACACTCTCGATTCTTCCGGCGTTTTCCTCCTATCGGCCGACGAAACGGAGATAACGGGAGAACCACCGTGACTAAAGAAACACAGAGGAGAACCACTCATTAGTCTCATTAGGTGATTGATTCGGTTACGGTTTCGGTTTAGAAAAGTTTTAGCTTTCATATTTTGTTTCTGGTTAATGCAACCTTAGTTCTTGAGTTTTCAGAGTATTTCAGATGGTTTTGTCAATCAGATATTTTATTTTCATCTACTTATAGACCTTAATGAACCATCTCTCGATCTTGAAATGCTTTATCAGCCCTAAAAAGTATATGACTCTCCCACCAGACCCTTTAGGAAATCCATCTGAAAGATGAGCTCCCCATTTCATTCCCTCGAGTTGCTCCTCATCGATCCCGATCTTCTCGTCCCAGTTGTCTTCTTCTCGCACATCATCAAACACAATCAGATACTTTTTCCACCTCAGATCCGAGTGAAGTGCATAGAGCAGAGCAGAGAGCTCCTTCTCTTCCGCTGTCTCTCCATCACTTTCTCCAGCTTCCTGCTTGTTCCTGCACTCTTCTTCCGCCTCTGTTTTGATCGACCCCAGCATGGAATCTTCAACTCCAAGACCCTTCAAGATCTTCTTCAGGACACATATCTTCCCACCTAAGCCCTCTTTAGGTTCATCGCTGTGCATAGACACCCAAATCATCGGAGCATAAGTTCTCCTCACTTCTTCTTTGTTGAATATCATTTGGCACGATGTTGTCTTCCCCACACCATATTCTCCGACAACCACAAGACTCTTAACTCTCTGTAAACCTTCTGATCCAGCAAGAAGTTCTCCAATGACCTGATCTCGTTTTTAAAACCGAAGATATCATGCTTTGGAACTGCAGGTTTGGTTTCTGCACGAATATCCTCCTCCTTCAAGACTACTGCAGAAGAATGTTTACTTTCTTTAAGAACTTGATTTTGTGCAATCCATTCATCACATCTGGCACGGAAGCGTTCTCTGAAACCGTGTTTGCCAGATCCGTGTAATGCCCTTTCTAGAGACATACTCTCAAGCAAAAGCTAAGTAATATCAGAACACCAACTCTTTTTATTTTTTGCCAGGAAAAGAGATGAAAAGAAATAGACACAGACAAAAGGAAAACAGGAGAAGGAAGAGAGGAGAGAGGTTTGACTAGAGTTGCTTGGTTACGTTGATATAGTCAATGTGAAATCATATATTTACATTGAGTAATAAACAATATATTTAACGAAAAATCTTAACATTTTTTTTTTCTTTTATATTCTCAACTAGATCAAACAGCCAAAGCTGATGTCAGAGGCTGAAGGCATAGGGAAGATAAAATTTGAGATGCGCTGAAAAAATATTAACAGAGATTGTTCAGTTAAGAAATACTATCGATTAGCATCAAGCCCTGCCCAGTATCCATTTAAACAACCATCATATGAAATCCTGGAACTCAGACAAAGGAAAAAGCTATGGAAAGTGAATTATCGAGATACAGTGTCGTGAACCAGAAAGATTGATTTAAACTTACACCGCACTATCACTCCCCAAGCCACTTTCAAAATTTCCAGCTTTTTAAAATCCATAATATCTTTGATCAGTTGATACACACCAAAACTCGATTTGCATATTGTGATGCTTAGCTTTCTCAGCTTTTTCATGTTCAGTAGATATATGTCTACTCAATACTCTGAAAATCAGTAGGCATGAACTCTAGAATGATGCTATATGCCCTAACATGTCGGATGAAACCAGGCGGAGGGTGTGTTCCCAGAGAAGCCATGTTCCCAGAGAAGACAGCTAACGAACGTCTCAACAACAACATGGCTTCTCTCAGAACACACCCTCGGCCTGGTTTCATCCGACATGTTAGGGCATATAGCATCATCCCGGAGTTCATGCCTACTGATCTTCAGCGTATTCAGTAGGCTTTTATCAGCCAGCAAACAGACAGTATCCTCATCAGTGGCATCACTACCACAAGGCCCTTCAGAACCTCCAAGTTATCCAGCCACGACATCCTCTTGGGCATGTGATCCATCATGTAGACCATAGCCTTGGGGTCTCTTGAAGTATCTGATCTGTTTCGTGAAGCAAGTGTCCGCAAACAAGTAACAACATCAGTGAAATGAAACTGATGTAAACATGAAGATACACTGAGATGTGTAAACGTAAAATGCAAATCTACGCATATATATTAAACTTGATCCCACTGAAAAAACAAAAGAAAAATGCAACACAGAACATTGGTGATAGCATACGAATAGGAGAAGTATACTGTTACCGATCAACATCAAGCCTAATATTCATGTATGATCATCAAGATTCACGACTACTAATATAAACAACTTACCAAAGATTTGAAAATAACTTAAAACATTTCAAATTTAACTGAACAAAATTATTGGAGATAAAGTCTTAAACCACAATGCTCACTTTTTCAGCAGCCGAGCTTCTAAACGAAGGAAAATCACATAGACATCAAATCAACCCTAAAATAAACCAGTAAGATGTTCATATGAAATCATGGCACTAAATCGTCGTGAACAATTCAAACTTTCACCACATCTTTAAAATAAAACTCGAGAACAATAAATTCATCGAATTTCACATCGGAAGAGTTTACCTTTAACTGACTATTGTGTTGGTGGAGGGGATTTTCAACACTCTCGATTCTTCCGGCGTTTTCCTCCTATCGGCCGACGAAACGGAGATAACGGGAGTACCACCGTGACTAAAGAAACACGGAGGAGAACCACTCATCAGTCGAAGAAAAAAAAAAAGGCGGAAGAAAAAAAAGACAGATTATTGGTCTAAAGGTGGCTAGGGCATGTCCAGCAGTATCTCATCTTATTTTTTGCGGATGATATATAATTTATTTTTCTACTGAATTACAAAGGAGGAAAGCGAGGTCTTATTGGGCTTACTCAACAATATGAAAGTGTATCCGGACAACAAATAATTTCATAAATCCTCAATACAGTTTGGTCACAAGGTGAAAGCGGGTTTACGGGCTGAAATCCATCAAGTTCTCGGTATAAAAAATATATGAAGAATGGGCAACTATTTCATCTTCAATTTTCTTGTGGATACCAAAATCAACGAGAATATATGGATGGACCTCTAGATTATTATCCAGAGGTGGGAAGGAGGTTCTCATTAGATATGTAGTATCATCACTCTTAACATATGTTATGTCATGTTTTTGGTTATCCAAAGGAGTGATCAATAAACTAACTAGTGCGGTCGCAAATTTCTGGTGGAGTAATAATGGGCAAACTTGAAGAATGCACTGGTTATCTTAGAAAAAACTCTGTCGTCATAAGACAGACAAAGGACTGGGTTTTCGTGACATATAAGATTTTAATTCGGCATTATTGGCAAAACAACTGTGGTGGTTAATGGATACGCCACAGTCTCTCTTAGCAAAAGTTTTCAAAGGACGTTATTATCGAAACGACAGTCTTTGGATCCTATTTGTTCATACTCCCCGTCTATGGATGGAGAAATATAGTTTCGGTTCGGCCTTTGATCCACAAAGAGCTCATTAAAAGAGTTGGATCGGGTCATTCTATCTCTGTTTGGAATGACCCATAGATTCCAGAATCTTGCCCAAGGTCAGCCTCATACAGCGGTTTCAGTTATTATCCTTACCTCAAGGTGAGCGAATTAATGGATCTGGTAACTTTAACGTGGAAACTTCCACTATTACATCAATTTTTAGTGAGTACGTATGTGACCTTTATTCATGGGATTACAACTATGAACCTCTAAAGACAGGATTCACTGGGATGACACTTTACTAAAACGGGGAAGTATATGGTCAATGGGATATCAAACGGCACAAGAATACCCAGAGTCGGGGGAAACTTGTCCAAGGTTTGGTCCTGATGTTTGGAGACTCCAAGCGTATGCATGGAAGGTTCAATGCCCGCCAAAGATTAATCACTTTGTCTGGCACGTTATAATTGGTTGTATCTCGGTCAATGGTCGATTACACAGTCGAGTCTGTGTTTCACCTGCAACACTCAGTAGCTTAATATGACAAAAACAAAAAGGTCAATGAGATGGAATAAAAGAAAGACTCAAAAGTTTATAAGCTTTCAAAATTCAAGAAATTCAATACTTAATTCGATATACAGTAAAACTCTAAAATATGACTTTATACTATTTATCTACTTTAAAATATGGACTGTAAATAGGCTATAATTTTGGAAAAAAAAGCCTTTAAAAAAGAGTTCATATGAACAAAATAAGAAAGTTGGACAGTGAGACTTTTAAAGAAAAATGTCTACTCTAATTTTGACAAAAAAAAAAAGGTAGAACAAAATATGGTTTACGCTATTTTTATTTTGTTTTTAAAATATAAAAATTCAGTAATAGAGAAGATGTTTACTCCAATGATTTACGTTTACTAAATAAAATATTTTAATTATGGACAATTTTATTTAATTATTAATTGCTTACAAGATCTTTTACTTCTTAAATATACCATTTCACTGAAGATGCTCTTAGATTTTTAATACTCACAAATATGATTTAATAATTTAAGATTTTAAAAAAACTTATTTCAAAAGCCAAAGATTTAAAGAAGTCGCCTCAAGGCCCTCAACAACGAACAAACACAAAATTAGACTATTTAGAAAGGGAAAGGACAGTGAAACCCAATAAAAAATTAAAGAAAAAAAATGTCCAAAATTGAAATTGAAGAATCGCACAGAGAAGGAAAGATCCTAGATCAAAGATCCAGCCCTAGAAGAAACGGTTCGATGTCCCTGAAAGAATCAGTGGGAAATTGAAAAACTTTTTGAAGTATCGATGTGTTCTGGGGTTTAGATTTCACTGGATTTGATAGTGTGCGTTTGTTGTCTTCTTCTTTCTTCAGTTTTAGTGAAGATCAACAGAGTGATGTCTGTGCATTACTGTGCCGTTGGTTTCAATGGCGGCGGAAAGGTTTCTTCTTGAGGTTTCTTACAAGAGATATTATCCTTCGCTCTCACAGATTCTCGAGTTTTGGTCAGAAAAGCCCTCATATCTCCATGTTTACATCCGCTACACTGGAACATCTCTCTTCTTTCGCAGGTTCGAAAGATCCATCAGGTATTTGTGTAATCTAGATTCGGTCAGGTTGATCTTAGAGCATACAAATGTGGCAAGCCCTTATTGGAATGTATGAGCACGAAAGATATTTGGCAAAAGGTGAAAACAGACATGAGAAAGTTCCACCACAAAAGCATACAGTCTCATCCTCTCTGTGCAGAAAAGAGAGTTCATGGTTTTGAGCAGAAAGCAGAAGAAGAAAGACTTTCATGGTTGAGCAAACGGTTCAAAAGACATCAGAAGATTCCATCACAAAGCATACAAATGTCACTACTTCTATGCAGAAAAGAGTTCATGGTTTTAAGCAGAAAGTAGAAGAAATACAATGCAGAGAATGCACCAATGAAGATGCAACAAGTTATGCAGCAATGTTCCTTTTATATATCACTTGCCTATGATAAGCTTGGCCCTGGCATCTCCTTTGTTGATCTGGAACTGATCTGTGAGTCCAAAGTGAGCCATCAAAAGCCAAACGAAGTTGATAAACTCACCTCCTCTGCTGAGCTGCTCCACATGAGCTGTTGCATCGCAATGACACGCCGCATAACAGAGCAACTCCACCCACACTTTGCCCACTATCTCCCACTTGTCTTTCCCATACGTCTCCTCCAGCTGCATAAGGTCTTTAGCCAGCCTGCTCGCTTCAAACAACACAGACTTGCTTCGATCTCCCTTGACTCCCATCGGATCAATCCCACTCTCCACGTTGAGAATCGTGTCAGTGGCAATCTTGACGCTTCTATCGTCCTCAATGTGCCTCCTGTGGAAGAACTTGTCAGCTTCAGCCAACGTGTCTCTGAACCTGATCTTCCCGATTCCAGCAACCTCGGACATGAGACTAGGTTGCATGATCAGCAGATACATCATGTAGTCTGAGATGATTTTGCTGAACTCTCGGTTACTGTAGTGCTCATACTCATCAAAATCTTTAGAGATGGTCTCCTTCTGCTGGTAACAGAGCTCGGTTGCGATGTGCCACATCAAAAGACTCTGATCATAGTCAACTTTCGTGACGTAACGCACCAGCTTCTCGCGGTCTGCTTTCATTGGAAGGTTGTCTCGTAAAGTCCATTCTCCTCGAGTCAACGATATCCTTTTGGCATTCTCAGGACTGTCTCCAAACTTTGACTTGTATTTCAGCTCATTGAACACGAACGTCCACAGCTCTTTGGTCATGGGCTCTCCGTGTACGAACAGCGTCTTGGAGACCTTATCAATCGTATCCGCGATGTCGAAGAAGTCGCTGAAGAGATCCCACGCAAGCTTGATGAAATGAGGGATCTGGGACAGGAAACTGAAGTAGAAAGGGAAGAGAGTGCTACGAGCGAAACGATGTTTTCTTGAATATTCAGTCACTCCCTGACTGATCCACTTGTGCACATGATTGATCAACCTGCCGATCCATTTAAAAAGCTTCTGCATGTAGTGGTTGATAATCTCACTGGGGACAGCTACGAGGCTCCACATGAATCGGCGGAAACTACCTCTTGCGTCGTGAATCCTCGTCACTTTTGCCTTTGTCGCGTACGCTAGAAAGTTGAATACGTTGATGCTTCCACACCATCTCCGGAGGAAGAATTGCGTGGTGAGCACTTCATGCTTCTCTACCGTTTTACAGTCCTTAGCCCTACCTTCCTTGCATACTTTACACTTCTCCGTGCCTTCCTTGCAATCTGCACACGTATGCGTACCTTTCTTGAACTCTGTACACGTGTGCGTACCTGTCTTGCCGCATTCTTGCATCTTCCAACGCAGCTGTCTGAAACTGAGCAACCAGTTAAAGAGTTGGTCTTTGTATGATAGAGGCTCGTCTGGATCGTCCTTCAAGCTACTTAGGGAAGCGCATGTCCAGTCAGAGAACACAAACAGGAGGATGGAGATGAGATCCAAAGCTAAGCCAACTATGAAGAGAGTGTATGTGACAGCGACATCAGCTGGGTCAAACTCTCGGCCTTTGTTTGGTTTCCTGTGGAAGATGACGAAGGCTGCGATAAGGGTACCAGAAGCAACGAAGCGTGAGATGGTTCCGAAGATGGTGTGAAGAACGGCGATCTTGGTGAAGAGAGTGTCGTAGAGGAAACCAAGCTCGATCTCAATGATCCTCAAGGCTTCCACGGGATCAACCAGATTCTCAAAGATCTCTAGGCTCTCGTCACGCTCCCTGAAGCTGAAGATTAAGTTGACCACAAGGCCCTTGAATGTGTTGAAGAACTTGTAAGCGTACTGCACAATCTCAAGCTCGTGCAGCTCTTTCCTTCCTCCTTCTTTATCTTTTTCTTTCCCACGCGAGGAAGCGTTTGCTTGATTCTGCGACCGTGACTGCGACTGCGACGGATCTTTGCGTTCTTTGGTTTCTACAGAATAAGCCTTTGATGGATGCACTAGCTTCTTAGGCCTATGTTCCTTGTCAGGCTCATCAATCAGAATGATCTTTGTAGGTAGTCTTGCCTCTTTCTTGGCCTTGTACTCCTCCATGAGCTTGGCGTAGTTTGGTCCTGGATCTGGTGCTTGAACCATAGAATCTCTAAACTTGTCCAGACTCGCACTATACAAAGCCGTTGTCCGCTCAAGATACTTGATAGTGCCAGAAGCGAAGACTAAGACTATAATCAACAGAAGGCTGTTGGGGAGAGACTGGAGAACCACGTAGACACCAGCAATTGCCTGAAAGACAAGGCCAAAGACATGTCGGAGCCAAAGAGCGTTATCTTCGAGCGCAAAAGCTGTGATTGTGTCTGGTCCACCAAGATGCAAGAGCAAGAATGGTGCCCATAAAGCCATGAGCTTTTTGTCCTGTGGAGGGTCTTTGGGTTTGGGATCTTTACCTTGATTCTTGGAGATGAGACCAACAGCGAAGTTAGCAGACCAGTCTGCTAAGAGGTAAGAGGACCAGACGAGCATGATCAAGAGTCTTCTTGGTGTGCGTTTCCTTAGAGGAGAGAAGCAAATGAGAATTGCTTGAAGGGTTAGACTCAGGATGATTGCTCCTCTGATGTTCCATCTATCCCACACATCTTTGATGTGTTCTGGTATCACTTCCACCATTTTTGTTGCTCTCTAAAGACAAAGAAAAAGCTTCAATTCCTTTTCTCTCCTTTCTTTCTCTTCTAGTTATTGAGATGTTTTTTTCTCAGATTTACCTGAGAAACTTGGGGTTTGTGGAATGGTTTTCGGAAGCCATTGATGTTCTTTTTTCTTATTTTTTTATTAATGTTTTACCAGAAGCTCACTCGGGAGAGAGAGACGACTCGGGCTCAGGTCTAGCTGTACTTTGTTTATGATTTTAAAATTAAGAATTATTTTGCATTTTCATCAATTATTCTCTCTTTTTTCATTATCAATGCGTCCATTATTTATTTTTGGCGGGGGTTGAGACTTTGAGAGACGACTTAGCTATTGGTATTTTTTATAATGTAAAAATATGATGAAAGTAATTACAATTAATTAAAGTTCAAGTGTTATTAGTTGAGCTCGCGTCGTTTGATAAAATATGCATTGATCCACTAAACCCGGATTTGAATTGTTAGACTAAAGATTTTTATGTTTGCTTCTACTTTAATAGTTAGACTATGACAAACATTTATTTTGTTAATATAGTATGATTGCTATGGTTATTATAAACTTTGTTGTCATGGCTATTTTATTATATAAAGCTGGATGCGCACGACGTGGTTGCGACACGTAGGATTTTTATAAAATTCAGGATCGCGACATGTGTCACTTTTAAGTTTATGTCCGTTAAGATCGTGACACGTGTCTTAGGAAAAAAGAGAACTTAAAAAAAAAATTCCAGAAAAATGTTAATAAAAAAAACGAAAAAGGTTTCTCATTCATCAAATTTTTTATTATATAAAGTTGGATGCGCACGACGTGGTTGCGACACATAGGATTTTTATAATTTATAAGATCGCGACATGTGTCACTTTTAATGTTACGTCCGTTAAGATCGTGACACATGTCTTAGAGAAAAAAAAAAAAAATAATAATAATAAAAATTTAGATAAAGGAAATTTTTTAAAAAAATTAATCCATTACAGTTAAAAGAAATAAAAATATATTTGTCATATCCTAATAGAGAAAGGTTTCCCATTCATCAAATTAATATTATCCAAACAAATAATAAAATCAAAATAATGTAATAAATAAAATCCTATTTGTACATGGAATATGTTATGTAAACTAAATTTCCTATAACTGCATGTAATAGGTTACTTGAACCCCTATAAAAGAGAGTCAAGTTTCTCAATCATAAATTCATCAAAGCAAATTCATCAAATCCCTTTGATTCTATTTCTCCAATTTAAAAATCATGTTTTTGAAAGTTTTGCGATACATAGGATTTTTATAACTGACAAAATTGCGACATGTGTTTTAGAAAAAAAAAATTCTGGAAGTATGAAGATCGTAACATGTGTCATGGAATAAAAATAATAAAAAATTTAATATGTATAAGACTAACTAAAAATTAGAAAAACAGATAACAAATAATTAAAATGAAAAAATAATACATCCATTAAAAGTAATAAAAAAACAGGAAACAAATAATTTAAATTCTTTTGTTACATCTATTAAGAAAAGGAAAAAAATCCATTTCGAAAAGGAAAAATACCAATATATAGTATTTATAATGGTCGAGGCAAAAAAAAATTGAGAAAGAAAAAATATAAATAGAAAACTAACAAAATAATTATCAAGCAATTAACTAATATTAAAAAATTATAATTGATATTCTAATTTTAAATAGTTTGATTTTCAATTTTTGTTAGGTAAAAAAATTGAAATAAAGATTTCATCAATTAAAATCTCTTGAATGGAATAATAAAAGTTTGATTAATTAATCAGTTGATCAGATTTAGACATGTGTAAGTCTTTCTGTATTGGATAAAAATAATAGTAAAACAAATTAATTCATTTTGTCATATCATAAATTCAAAAGAAAAATCAATTACAATAAAAATGTAAAAGTATTACCAATCTTATTTTATTTAAATATTTTTATCGGGTTTTCAATATTATTTTGTTTACGTTTAAAAATGATCAAATTTTGTTTAATATTTTCCATGCTTTTATTATAAAATCTTAAAATATACCCGCGTATACGCGGGCCTTAATCTAGTATAAACTTATAATAAGACAACCATAGTTGTCACTGTATTGTTTAAAAGACTGTTTCGGGTTTAGTCTTTGTTATTTTTTTAAATCTAGTAAATATCTACTGACCCATTGACCAAAACAAAAATATCCAATTCAAAAATTATTGCTCAATATATTTTAATAAGTGCTTCATACCCAAATTATAGCAAACCAAAAGACGACTTGCATAAGTCATACTCATATGATACGACCCCAAAAAAAACACAAAAATTCTACATGAACTAGAATTATAGTGCCGAAATTCGTATTGACCTAAATGATGTGATTTTAATGTGTATGAATAAATTCCGTGGCTGCGGGCAGGCAGGGTATGCAGATAACGGAAAAAAGAGAGAATATGAGAACGAAATTTGAAGGGAATACGATTGGGGGAAAGAACGGATTATTGGAGAAAATTTTATCTGGAAGGTTCGTGGAAACGATTCACGATCTTTATTATCTGAAATTAGCTCGTAATTTTATACGAATTTGATGTTTTCGTACTCTTCAATAGTGTTTAAGCGTAAAAAAATCGCTGTTAGGGTAGATATTATCACGAATTTGAACACTGCGATCGTGATTCTCGGAACGCATTCTGAGATTCCAAAATTTTCTCTGACTGGATGATATACAATACGATTGCTTCATCAATTTCTGTGAAAACTTGTCAACAAACATGTAGAGAGGATTCAAACATGGAGAGAGAGAGCTTATATCCTTGTTCCATTTCTTCTTAATTGGAATTTTGAAGCTCCTTGTTTACTGATTTCGCAGGATGAAAAGGAAGAGCCTTTTGTGGAGAGCTCTGTTTTGGATTCATAGAGTATCACAGGAATCAACCAAGCTCACATAAATGAATGTATCAGCCAAACAGTAGATAAACAACAAGGACATGGTTTACAATGCAGATGATTCAAGAACAGATAATTGCTCGTAATGGATATGATAGCAAAAAAAAGAAGCAAATGGAGGAAGCTAATATTGCTGCTACTTTTGTGAATATGTATTCGATGATCACTTGCCTATGATCAGTTTGGCTCTGGCATCTCCCTGGTTGATCTGGAACTGGTCTCCTAATCCCAAATGAGCCATCAATAGCCAAACAAAGCTGATGAGCTCTCCGCCTTTGCTCAGCTGAGCCGCGTGTTCGATAGCGCCACAGTTAGTTGCTGCATAAGAAAGCAACTCAACCCACACTTGGCTCACCACTTTCCACATGTATGTCTCTCCCTTGACCTCCTTTAAGCCATGAAGCTCCTTCAGGCCTTGAAGCTCTTTTAAACCCTTTAGCTCTTTCGCCAGCATGCTCCCATCAAACAGCACTGACTTGCTTCTGTCACCTTTCACGTCGATAGGTTCGGCTTTTGCAGGAGCCGTCACTGATAGAATGGCAATGCTGGCTTTCACTATCTCTTCGGATTTGATATGCCTCCTTCTGAAGAACCTAGTAGCCTCCTCGCAAGTGTCCCTGAATCTTATCTTTCCGATACCGGCAACAGCTGACATGAGAGTTGGCTGCATCATCATGAGGTACATCATGTAGTCTGAGAGGATTTTGCTGAATTCACGGTCACTGTGGCTGTCTTCGGTGCCTAGCTCTGTTCGGTATAAGAGCTCAGTGGCGATATGCCACACAAGAAGGCTCTGATCGTAGTCCATTTCCATCACATAGCGTAGAAGCTTCTCGCGCTTTCTCTCTGTTTCTTTGCCTTCTTCGCCTTGTATGTCCCGCAGAGTCCAGTCACCTCTAGCTGAAGACACCCTCGTGGCGCTCTCTGAGTCGTCAGCGAAACGGGATTTTCTCAAAACCTCTGTGAATATGTGTTCCCACATCTCCAAGGTGAGACGATCGCTGGATGTGTAGATCACCTCATCTAGCTGAGCTTGGATCCCGAAGAAGTCCATGAATCTTTTTATCAGGTATCCAAGAAAGTGAGGGATGCAAAATGACCAGTAGATGCACCACCTAATACGATCTTCATGCAGCCATCTTCTGTTCTTGCACAAGAGACTTATGTTATGGTCGATCCACTTGTAAAGCTTACCGATTCCCTTCTTTATGCCGTTGAAAATGGAAGCAATCACTATTCCAATTCCTTTCAAGGCGGGTCCAATGAGAGAGAATTTGATAAGCCAGCCGAAGCAAATGTGTATCAAACCCTTGGTGTGGTGGATTCGCTGCGGCTTTATGGATAGGCAGTATTCGATCAAGTTGTGTGCATGCACGTACTCAGACCACCTCCGTGTCATGAAAAAAGTGTCGAGCACTTTATGACACGTTTTGTCGCCGTCCTGTTCCTTCTTCCTCTGCAACCCCATAGAACTGAGGATCTTGTCGTACCAGATAACTAGAATAGAAATACCCTCCTCCTTCTTGGTACTCTTGCTACCCTCCTCGGTACCCTTACTACTCTTCCCGTTGCTCTTGCTGCCTTCCTCCTTGCTAGTCTCCTCGGTACTCTTGCTACCTTCCTCCTTGCTAATCATCTCGGTACCCTCGGAGCTTGTGAGTTTCTTCTTCTCCAACCCCATGGAACTGAGAATCTTGTCGAACCAGCTTGTGGGCTCACTGTCCACTTCACGAGACGTTTTGTCCTTGGTACTCTTGGAGCTTGTGGGTTCATTTTTCTTCAATGTCAAGAATACGAGGACCCGGTTTAGAATCTTGACGAACCAGTTAGGTTCCTTGACTGGTTTACCCTCCTTTCTCTTGTAGCATTTGTACACCTCCGTCTTCAACCCCCTGAATCCGAGAAACCAGTTGAGAGTTTTGTCTTCCCAGGTGTCTTCATCTTCTATCTCGTCCTTCATTTCCCTCAATCTGACAAAAGTCCAGTCAGATAGACAGAACATGATAAGAGCAATGGAATCCAGAGCTATTCCTCCTATCAGCAACGCATAAGTAAGGCCAACATCAAAGTCACCGTAGTCATCCTTCTTCTTGTATTGGAAAATGCGGAGGGCTGCGATAAGGCATCCCAGGGCAATGAACCTGAAGATGACTCCAATCCAGTTATGTAGAATCTCCGCTTTCGTGTAAAGAGCTTCGTAGATGAAGTTGAGCTCAACCTCTAAGATTCTTAGAGCTTCTTTTGCTGTCAGCGCGCTAAAGAACCGCTTGCTCTCAGCTCGTTGTTGAAATGTGAAGATGAGATCAACCACAAGACCTTTGAAGATATTGAAGTACTTATAAGCGTACTGGAGAATATTGAGTTCAGTTAGAAACTCAGGCTTAACCTTAGCATTGTCTTTTGGGTCTTTCTCAGACTCTTCGATCTTGATAATCTGTGTAGGCATCTTCATACCTTTCTTGGCGGCATATTCCTCCATGAGCTTAGCGTAGTTTGGTCCAGGATCAGGCCGCTGAATCATGGAATCCTTGAACTTGTCAAGACTCGCCAGGTACAAGGCTAATGTCCTCTCGACATACTTGATCACACCTGTCGTAAACACCAGCACAGTGGGTTTCCAAAGACCGTTGGGTAACGACTGCAGAAGCACATATATGGTTGCAATTGCTTGAAAGGCAAGACCCAACAAGTGCCTGAGCCATAGCTCGTTATCTTCTAGAGCAAGAGCAGTGATTGTGTCTGGACCACCGAGATGCAAGAGCAAGAAAGGAACCCAGAAAGCTAACAACTCGCCGTTCTTTTTCGGGTCTCCGGGCTCTGGATCGTCTCCTTGACTATCTGAGATCTGTCCGACGGCGAAATTGGCTGACCAGTCAGCTAGAAGATAAGCTGACCAGATGAGAGAGAGTAGAACTTTCCTGGATGTGCGTTTTCTTTGAGGTGCAAAGAAAATGAGAAATGTTTGAAGGCTGAGACTGAAGATTAAGGTACTTCGGATACTCCATGCGTCCCAGATGTCCTTGATAGGCTTTGGGATTGCGTCCACCATCTTGAAACTGTATTATTTCCTGAATTTTTGCAACAGCCGAGAAATGATGGTTTTTGAGACAAAACACAGATGCATCTAAAGAGGTTTGACTTTCTTTCTTTTCCTGAATAACTATGTGGTTTTACTTCGGGACCTTTTTCTGGTTTTTTTTTTGTGTGAAGGTTTGAGTTGTTCTGGAAGACAGCCATTGGAGGCACCTTGAGGTTAGTCAAACATTTTCTCAAGTCTTTTTTATTTAGTTTTTTCTTTTAATATGAATTTTAAAAAGTTGTATGATTTGTCTGCTGTTACATTTGTAAAAAAGTTAAAAACACTCGTTCAAAGCTCCAACTGGTTCTTTACCAAAAACATAAAAAAACAAAAATATCATGTTATCTTTTGATAATGAAATGAGACTGCAAATATATGCTATATATATGTATATATTTGTCGTCTTTGCTATAATTATCTTATAAGCTTGTTTGAGGGTTTATGGAATTTGAAAACACTTTAATGATTCTTTACCAAGCATAATCCAAAACTATCTTCTCCTTTTCCTTTTAATTCGTCAAAATACATGCTTAAAAGGAATCGCTAATTAAAAATACGAGGTTATATCGAATGGGCATAGTCCATAGAAATTGGAATGGGAGACAAGACAACTGACAGAATTTGCCCATGTGAACACTTGGTTACTTCTCCAAGAAACCTGTTAAAGCAAGTAAGGACATTTATTTATAATATTCCTAATTATCATTACTTAGTTAATATTATCTTTAAACCTTTACCCTGCTTAACGTTCGTATAAACCCTGCTTAAAGTTCGTATAAGTAATTTATTAAGGCTAAAATACGGCATTTGACAATAAATATACTTACAACCAAAAGTGGAATCTAATATCGAATTATTTATTTGTAATGAACATAAAATCCCTTTGTCATTTTTCTAGTTACAATCACTTTTTTTTTTCTCCTGGACCCTACTTGGTAGCAATATACTATATTGGTTTAAACATAATCCGAATAAGGCTGTATATTTATTTAGAAAAATTAATAGATAGTTTATTCGAAATTCCAAATAATTGAATTGACTGACCAAAATAAAAACTTTCCATGCCAAAAAGAAAATACAACAGAATTTCCCACGTCTTCATGTCAGTGTGAGGACAAATTTTCCGGAAACCAAGTTGGCATGTATTTATAACCAGTACAGCTGGACAAATAAGCTATAGAAAAAAAATTACAGTTGGGTTGGATGTACATGTATTAATAATGGTATAGCTGGCCAGTTGGAGTTGGCATTGTCCGAACTCCGAAGCTATGAAAATATACTATTACGAATTTACGATGACTTTTTCGTGCCAATATTACGACGACTTTATATTGGGTCTTTTAATTATATTTTCCTGTAAATCAACATCGGGACAGCTTGCCTTTTGTATTTTATTTTGATAGAGACCAGTTGTGCTTATCCCTCGCTGTTGAAAGATAGTGCTTGCAGTAATTAAACACGTAATTTTAGCACACAAAAAAAAATATATATATTAAATAAACAAACTCGTAGTTGTAGAAAAGAACGTCAATATGTTTTATAAATGTTTTTATATGCATCATTGATCATAATCGATAAAATACAGAGCTCAAAGCTAACTCTTACCTATGTTCTTTTTTTCACAACTTTTGCCTGCATTTCTACTGAGTTCACACGCAAGCTCTATATAATACAGGAGTAAATTTACTTTTACTAAAGTTACATACTATAGTTTTCAATATTCATTTTTTGGAAAAAAAAAAAAAATATATATATATATATTTATCTCTAGACCAATTAATCGGCCAATTACTTTTCAGTTGATCAATTCTTTTACTGATTTGATCGAAATATGACTGTCTAATTAATTCTTTGGCTTATCTAATTTTCTTTTTGTGTCCAAACCTCAAATGAATAGTAATTAAAGTGTTTCTTAAGTAACTCTCTCTCTCTCTCTCTCTCTCTGTCTCTCTCTCCTTTGCGCACTTCATCTTCTTTCCTGCATATTTCTCTTTTTCCTAGCTTGTGTTGAATATGGCTTTAGATATAGCAAAGCAAGCAGAAGGCAAAGGCAACTTCATCACCCGCTTCACTGAAAAATATAATCAATGGGCCACGAAAGGCAACGCCGAAAGTCAAAGAATACCCAAAACAGAGCATCTTTCTGCAGGAACCTTGGAGAAGAGGGAAGAGCACGATGAGGAGGATCGAGTGGAAACCAATTCGACACTTCCGGGTCATGACCTTCACGGTTTTAAAAACGAGATCAAGTCCTTGAAGAACTTCTTGCTGGATCAGAAGGTCTACAATGACTTCAAGAGTCTTGTGGTTGTAGGAGAGTATGGTGTTGGGAAGACAGCATTATGCCAGACCATCTTCAATGATGAAAAGGTGAAGAGTGTTTATGCCCCAAGGATTTGGGTTTCTATGCATAGCAATGAATTCGAGGAAGGCCTTGATGGGAAGATATGTGTCTTGAAGAAGCTCTTGAAGGGTCTTGGTGTTGAAGCTCCGATGCTCAATACCATCCATAAAAATGCAGTAGACGAAGCTAAAGACAATCAAGAACTTGCTAACAATCAGGTTGCTGGAGAAATTGATAGAGAGACGGCGGAAGAGAAGGAGCTCGCTGCTCTGCTCTATGCACTTCACTTGAATCTGAGGTGGAAGAAGTATCTGATTGTGTTTGATGACGTGCGAGAAGAAGACAACTGGAACGAGATGCTTCAAGATGATGAGGAGAAACTCAAGAAGGATAAGAAATGGGGAAAGTATCTTTCGGATGGATTCCCTAAAGGGTCTGGTGGAAGAGTCATATACACAACCAGGGATGAGAAAAAGAATCTGGCGAAGAGGCTAGTCGCAGAGGAACATGAGATCCATCGTCTTTGGCCGCTGTCTGATACTGAGAGCGTCTGGGATATATATGAAGCAGCGCTCAAAGATAATAAGGAAAAAGATCCTCCAAGGAACGACAAGAAATGCATAGATGAGCTGATGAACAAGTCTCGTGGTCTTCCTCTAGCTGTTAGACAGCTGGCCACTCTTCTTCCCGTGTTTCTCGACAATGAAAAGACTGACGAGAAAGATGCTTCTAACAAGGGACCAGATGGATCTAACAAGGGACCAGATGGTGCTAACAAGGGACCAGACGGCTCAGCCGACAACGGCACTCCTGAAGAGAATGGAACTACTCCACCTGCGCAGGCTTGAGAAGATTGGAAAAGCCATTTTTTCATTGTGTTATCACGCTTGCTTTATGTTTTCTTCGTTTCTTGTTTGTGTTTTCTCTGGTTTGATGTTGTCTGTTTGTCTTTCTGTTGTTTTCAATAATCCAGAATCTCTAACTAGAGTTTCTTCAATGCCACAATATGTTTCTTGAGTTTAGTTTCTTAAAGTGTTAAGAGTTCCTTGTGTGCCTTCTCTTTTGCATGTGCAGTTTTTACTCCTAGCATCTCTTGCTATAGAAGACAATGTAGACCTTCTCAGTTAATCATAGCAATACATTTCTTATTCCATAGCAAACACTTTTATTCAACTGTTCACAAACAACAACAGCACTTGAAAGCAAACCAGCAAGATATCAAATGTGAAATGAGGAAGCAAACACACAACAACAACAACAACAACAACAACAAGAATGAAAAGGAAAGAAAAAGAACTTGGAAAAACGGAGAAACTCTCAGTTCAGAGTTCCTTAGACTTGACGGTTTTTGCGCCAGATTCCGATACCGTCGCAGGGGCAGAAACTAACTTGAGGGCATTGATACTTATCCAAGAATACCACTTTTGGAAAGTACGTTTCGCTCAGCTCCCTCCACTCTACTTTCAGCCTTGGAAGAAACTTGAGACGTAAAACCTTGACATTGCATTCCGTTGCCTTATCCGGTAACTTTTTAAATCCGGTAAGTTCTTTCCCTCCTTTAATGTAGAGTTTTTCAAGACCACCAAGGTTTTGGGGCTGAAGCCACAGAGGAAGTTCCCGATCAGGAAAACACTGCAGGTCCAGTTTCTTCAGTTTCTTGGGAAGATGCTTTGGAGCCCTCTGCTTCTTTATTTCTTCGGAAATATCGATCTGAGAACGAAATGTCACCGCTCTGATAAATCTATTGGCTCCCCCACCAGAAGTCTCCTCTTTCTTGTGATCATTAATACCTCCCCACGCCACTTTCAACTTCTCCAGATTGTCGAAATCCTCAATGTCCACAAACAGTTTGGTTACAGTGAACAGTCCACCTTTGTTTATTGTGATGCTTAGCTTTCTCAGCTTTGTCAAGTTCTTCAACTCATCCAGCAAACAGACCTTCTCATCATCAGTGGCATCACTAACCACAAAGCCCTTGAGAACCTCCAAGTTCTCCAGCCACGACATCCTCTTGGGCATGCGATCTATCATGTAGCAATCCGTGATGTCCAAGTAGATCAGCTTCTTGAGTGAGTCTATCTTCTCTGGAAGTTTCTCCAGATTGTAGCAAGCTCTGAGGTCCAAGATGATCAGGTCATGAAGCTTACAGACAGCATCGTCGAGTCTCTCAATTCTTGATATCCCTTGGAAACTCAGAAGTCTGAGTTTAGTCATATGCTTCAAGTGCTTCATAAGCTCAGGATTCTCTACCTCGATGTGGCGCTTTGCAGTTCTCTCCCATCTTCCCAGATAAAACACCATGAGGTTCTTATACACAGTTGTCGATAGACGAACCAACGACTTGTTCCCTGATGATGCTTGATCGTCCGAGAACCACTTGAATGCGAAATCCGGAAACCTCTCAGAGACATTGAACACTGTCTCGATGAGTTTCACTTCTGGCATTTTTTTAGCCTTTGCTTCTGTTTGGCTTGAAGACCCTTCCACAAGGCAGACCTTGTTCAGCTCTGACTTGTGCATGCTTGGCTTCTCCCCTTTTTTATACATGCTAAAAAGTCCCATCTCCTGCGTGATAAGAACCAGTGAAGAATGCACGAAAGGGGCCATCTTGTAGCTATTCGGCTCCACTTTGCGTTTGTTCTCAACAGCTTCAATCAACTTTTCCTCCACGAACTCGTCAAGAATGGCCTTGACAACATCTTCACGTCTGTCTTTTTCACAAGGCTTTTCTTTACTAGCAAGTCTAAACACCCTCTTGGGTTTGACGCTATCAGGCGCCGTGCTCTCGTCTGGTTTGATCTTATCAGGCAGAAAGCCCTCTCCGATCCACCAGTACATGAGCATCGTTCTGTTCACCTCTTGGTTCTCAGGGAACACAGCAAAGCTCAGCAGGCAGATCTTGCGGTCGATACTAAGCTTCTCAAACTTCTCACTTACTTTTCTGAAAACAGCGAGTCGTCTGAGATCCTCTTCATTTGCATGGATGCCTGGCAAGCATTCGATACCTTTGCCGTCATTCTCCAGATCGCCACCCTCAGCGTCTAGCTCTCCACGTTTCTTGAGTTTCTTGGGCAGCAAAGGGACCTGACACATGAGGTTGAATATCTTCTTGTTGATGTCCTCCAGATCTTTCTTCATACCCTTGGTCAAAGCTGTAGAGGAACCCTTGTCCACTTTCTTGAGCAGTTTTTCAAGTGGGGTAATATGTTTGGCCACCTCATCTGCAACTTCGAGGCGAAGATCTTGAAGCTTTACCACGTCTTCCCTGAGCAGATGCAGATTACGTCTCAGCTTAGGTATGTATTGCTCAGAGTCATCCTGGTCAGCTGGAGTCTTAGGAGGGAGACTAGCAGATCTCTGCACCCCATCATTCTCAGGGACGACGTCTGAGTTGCTGAGACTAGCATCTAGGCTCCTACCCGTTGATACGAATTCTTGTTGTTTGGATGCAGGAACAACTTTCTTGTGCAGAATCTCCACGATTTTGAGGGCATCCTTGATTACTGGTGTTGGATCATCTTTTGGCTTTGGCGGTAGCATATCCGTCGGTGGCTTCATCCCCGCCTCCGCCTGCTTCTTCGGTGGCAGAACCTCCGCCTTCTGCTTCGAGGAATCGTCCGAAGCCATGTGGCACCTTAGTGGTCAACCTCCGCTCTCGAAAACCTGCAAATCTTGAAAGCAACAAGAACAATATGACCCCAAGGAAACAACCAAAACCAAAAATGTTATAACAATGGCTAAATAGATGCAAACTCCTACTTCTTTAAGTCAAGCTATCAAAACAAAATCGAAGAAGCAAAATCAAGGATTTTAGAAAGAAAGACCGTGAATAGTAAGTAGCAGAGCTAGGTGAGACAGTAGTTGACTTTCAGAAATATCTGTAGATCAAAGTCTCGAAGCGTATTCATTATGATAATCGGTAAGAGCCTAAGAGGGATTCGATCTTCTCACAAGTTTTTGTCTTTTTAAGCGAACGATTCGAAAGATCAAACATTTCTTAGAGAAGAAGAGATTTATCTTACCTGTGTATCCCCGGGGAAGAAGAAGCAACTTTGGGTCTCCTCCCTTGCAACTTCAGTCGATTGCCAAATAGCCAAAATATGAATGAGACCAGAGAAGAAGAACAAAAACTTTATTTGTTTTATAATTTTTGTACTGTCTTTGAGCCTTTGTTGTTTGTTTCTTTTTTTGTTTTTTTTTTCTTGTAGCGTTTTTGTTTTTGGTTGTGACTTTAACAGTTTTATAATTTACCGAATTACTTTGTAGGATATCAAAAAAGTCATCAATGATGAATTGAAATTCTAGATATTCAAAATCATTAGCTGACAAAAAAAATCATTAAACTATTTTAGAAAATTTTCTATATTAATAATATAAGTTTTTTGAAATCTAAGAAAAAATCGTATTTGAAATCTCATACATAATTTTAAATTAATTTAGTGAAAATCTCTTTTAACGGTTCAATGGTAACATGTTGGTAAGTCTTTTTTTTTTTTGCGCAAATCATGTTGGTAAGTCTAGAAAGTGAGATTAAAGTAACAAGTAGGATTGACCGACCATTCTCTAAACCATAAACCATCTTGCACTTATTTTACATTCAATCTCTTACGATTGGCATGCAGTTAATGGTCACATTGCTGATCTTTTGGCTAACATTTGTGATGAATTATTTGGGATATTTGTGGGATGAGCCTCTTGCAACAAAAGGGATTTCAAATATCTCCAAGAGTGTTCAAGTGATTTGTGACTCAGTTTTGTTTAAGCATTTGGATTTTGGACCTTTGGTTGTATTCTTTTATTTTTAGTTTATTAATCTCATTTTGATAAGAAGAGAAAAGTCTTTTAGATGTGTGATATTAGCGGGTGTGACAAATATACAATCTCCACAATGAAAAAGAAGTGCAAGGCCCTCTCTTGAAATTACGTTATCCGATTGCTGGCAGAATTGATTGATTCTTCTCTTTCTTGATATAGATTTGATAGAATCGTTTCTCTTGGCGATCAGATTCTTTTTGAGCATTTGGAGTTTTGGTACTTTGGTTGTATTCTTTTATTATTTTTTAATCTTGTTTCCAAATCGATCAGTTCTAAAAGATAGTACTTATAATTTGATTGAAGAAAGATATGTGATTGAAGTGACAAATTACATAGATTGAATTCACGAGATAAGGCTGGTAACAAAAATGACATGTAGTAAAAGATTTTCAATATTTACGTATCTTATTCAGTTTTATGTTAGCTAATCGGATTATATTATACTAATGCATGTGGAAGTTAATAATGTATGAAAAGAATAAGAAGAAATTAGTGACTTTTCAGCAAAGATTGGTGATTGCAATAAAGAAAGACTGGCAAGAGGGGAAAAAAAAGACATAAAAATTCTAAATTATTCTCAATGTAAGATATAAATGTGCAACTAATTTACTAGCAACAATACAGTTGTGAGTATAGATGTGTGAGAGATGTAATGCCATCGAAGTTATGTCTACATGTTACGAACAACAAAATCACGTCTTCCATCTCGCACGTGATATAGTATAAGTTAGAAGTATTTGATTAGATAATTCATTATTGTACTTTAAAATTCTAACTATGGTTAAGAACTACTATTCTTGTCTATATAACTACAAATGGGAACCCATTAGTTTCCAGATAGCATTGACTTTTCGAGACAAAAGGATCGTTGAGAAATCAATATCAGTAGGGTCCATGAATATGATATGAAATTTAATAGTAAATCAGTAGTTTTGTCAATTAATATAGACAAAGTCTTTTAATATAGTAAGTCTTTTAATATGATCTAGGCCTAGCTTTTGCTTGATCAATCATGGTTGACCAACTATATCGACTAGCAAATTCCGAGGGTTTTACCATGGTCCTTATAAGTCCTTAACTATTTTACCTATTATAAATCAGCTTTAACAAACCAGATATGACACCAATAATATATAACCAGAATCAACAAAAGCATAAAAGCAGAAAAGTATTTTTTCAGTAATTTGGTTCCGTAGGATAGAAACAACCGTGTAACTTTGTTGTGGATAATGCAATGAACTTCGTTTCTTAGAAACTGGTTGATCATTTGAAAGTGTCATACACCCTAGGTTGGGTAAGAAAGTGTTTCCAAGTTCGAGTAAGTAACACTAGCGTGCATAGCTCTTACTTCCATTTTGCAAAACACTATTCAAAAACAGTATTTTGTGATATTATTGATATGGATATTTGTCATGTTTAACGTGGATGGTTTTGACAGTATGATAATGTTATCACATATTAAGGGTGCCATGATAATGTTTACATGGGGGTACATGAAATTGCTGTGAAACCTGTTTGTCACTTTGATAAAATTCACGTTGCGTAGACGGTAGACCAGGCACGTAGTTCAGAGTGGATCATCTAGTATTATTTATTTTTATCTTATTATAATCGTTTATTAGGAAGACTTTTGAGTGCAATAAAGAAATGGAGTGATATATTTAAGCATTCTAATTATTTACTTGAGATTTGATATCTATTGTTAATTAGCGCGACTTTTCATTGTAATTTGTAGTCGTCATAATTAAAGACCAAGATAAAAAAAAAACAAAGACCAATTCGTTTTGAAGTCGTAAAAGCTTATAAATTGGCAACAAGTCATTCTTTATTATGCTAGTCGGTAACTGAGAGCTGTCTTGTTTTGTCTTATTCCTATGGTATTTATTACTACAGTAAAACCTCTGTAAAATATTAATGTTGAAACTTAAAGAATTTATTACTCCTTTTGATTATTATTTTATCATATAAAGTTATTATTTTATCGATAAAATAATTATTATTATTTTAATTATTTTATAGAAATATTATATAAAAAACAAAAGTCTTTATAGAAATATATTTCTTCGATTATTTTATTCAAATTTTCTTTATAATTTGTTATTTACATATTTTATATTATATTATGAATTTACGTGAGCAATTGTGGGTTTGAGAACTCTTCAGGCTGCATGCACACGTCACCAAAAATTGTTGATGCAATAAAAAAAATTCCAGATGAACTCCAACGAAAATCCAAGTTTTAGAAAAGACAAACTACATTGGAGCTATATTTTATTAAATTGCCTTAGATATATACTATAATTATTAATTTACCTTATTGTTGGGACTATATTTTACATAGAGTATCAAAATATTATTATCTTATCATTTTATCATATTTTGCTATTTTTTACATTACCCTAAATTGGGACCAGAAAAATTTATTATATTATAGTATTAATTATTTTATCGACTATTATTTTATAGACGTTCTGCTGGAGTAATAAATTTCCTACAGTTGTGGGAATAGAGATATGTTCTTGTTTCCTCGGATAATTGCACGAACATCAATAATGGGATCCCATGTGCTATCATTTTTTTCAAAGTAAAAAATCTGTTTTTAACTCGATTTCTCATGTTTGACCAATTAAAAGCAAATATCACTCCCGGTCTCCCTCTATTAGAAAATAATAACTTCAATGAATTAAAACTTTATACTTTGTTTGGAAGTCTCTTTATGATCGAAATTCGACTCCGTAACCAAATCAATGACCTTATTACTACTAGTGTATTAAAGTCTAACATGAATTGTTGAATTACCATTACAGTAGAAATTCTATAAATTAATACTCTATAAATTAATAAATTCTATAAAATAATAATTTTCTTCGGTCCCAAATCGGGCCAATGTAAAAATTAGCAAAATTCGATAAAATAATAAGATAATAATAATTTTGAAACTCCTATGTAAATATATAGTCCCATTAATATCATAATTTAATAATTACCATAAATAAAAATTTATGTAAATACATATCTATGATAATATACTAAAATATAAGTATAACTTTCATTTCTTTTCTACTAAACTCAAATATATTTAGAATTCATCCCTAATTTTAGAATGAACCTATATAAATATAAAAACTTTTAAAATTTCTTATTTTTATTTAATTTAATATTTATTTTACTTAATTTTTTAATAAAACAACTATTTTATTCAAGATCGATAATTTAATAACTCTATAAATTAATAAAATATCAAAGTCCCAACTTTATTAATTTATAGAGTTTATACTGTAGTAGTATATTAAAGTCTAACATGAATTATTGAATTACCACCATTATCCATTAATGATAGCCACGTCTACATGTTAGTGACAAAAAAGTACTATATTAAAGTCTAACATGAATTACCACCATTAATGATAGTCACGTCTACATGTTAGTGAGAAAAAATAATAATTATGTCTTACTTCCAACTCGCAATCTAATTTGTCATACGCTATGATGTCGTATGAATATGATATGCATTTTATACCACTTTAAAACGTGATCGATGCATCATTGGACACTATCTTTGGACATTGCCCACATGGAAGACTTACATTGTTAAAATACCAAGTCTTTTTGTGAATAACAATTTATTTTATCCCTTATTTTATTAAAATCTGTAAATGACACAAAATTCAAAAGTAACGTGCTTTCTATTTATTTTATAAAGAAGTATCGTGCTTTCTAGTTTATAGCTGTATATATTGCACGACTTTTGACTCTATTTAATAAAGAAAAATCAGGGTCAATAACCATAACAAAATTGTAATTAGATGATTATTAATTATTTATAATATTCTGTATGATTATATAAATTCTAAAATTTACCCTCTTTATATACTTTTTTAATTCTTTCATATATGAGTTCTGATTTCTTAAGACTTATTTTTTTCTTTATCATTAATGTCCTCTTTCATTGTATATGCTTTTCATTTTGATCTTTTAAAATTAATGATTAAAAAGTAACAATTTCCTGAAAAACATAGTTTTTTTTACATTTAACATGTTTTGAATTTACAAGAACTGGACAATTTTATATAATTTTTTTTATATGTGATGATAAAGTAAAAAGGAAAGAAAATCATTTTATATACAACCAATCACATTCTATATGTAATAATTTTTTTTTAAATATCAAAAAAATACATAAATTTGGATGTCACATTCGTTAATATTTACAATTTGAAGATACGTAAATATGGATGCCATTTTTACTCATAAATTTTTAAAACTTGTCTGTAAGACTTTTTAGACTTTGACTATATATTGATAATTAACTCAAAAATTTAGTTAACTAACATGTCATATTCTTTATTTATGAGAAATGGTTATGTGAAAAAGACCCATTTGTTTTTTTTAGAAAGACAACTTGTTCAATCTATTAAAGTCCAAGTCTTTTAAAAATTATATAAGAAAGACTAACTTGTTTTTAAATTATTGAAGTGCCAAGTTTTTACAGAGACGTTTGATTAAAAATAAGTCTTTTATTTATGAATTGACAAAAAAATATCTGTAAAATAATTTAATAACAATAGATAAATCAATTACCGAACAACAAAGAATCCATCTACAATTGCCTCTAAGCTTCGGACACTTCATCCTCCCAACCTAAGCAAGTCCATTAATGGAGAGACAAAAATAATTCATTACTCATATCCACAAGAAGTTCATAACAAAAGATTGGAAACAAAGAAACTGCTCAAACACCACTCTTAGTGATCTTGGAAGAAAACTAAAACTGGATTCGTATAAGAAAATATTTAAAAATCATCTCGTAAAGATGCTAGAAAAAGAAATCGAAAAATCTAAAATATCTTATTTCTTCCGTTTCAGAATATAGGATGTTCTAAGATTTTTTTTGTTCTATAATATAAGATGTTGTAGATTTTTTAATGTATTTTTAACAAACTTCAAGAACCATTATTGAAAAGTAATTGGATTATAAAATTCTATTGGTTAATAGTTATTAAAAAGTTATTTAATTAAGAAAGTAAAACAATTGTTGAACAATAAATGTTTCTTAATTTGTGTGAAAATCCTAGAACATCATATATTCAAGAACGGAGGGAGTATCAGTTTGCTACTCCGTTTATTTCGCTTAAAGTGATTCAGGGTCTGACTGGTTTAACCGCTGCGGTTGCGGTTGCGGGAGTTTGCGGCTGCGGGAGTTTGCGGAAGCGGGAGTTTGCGATTAAAAGCTGTTTGTACGACTGGTATAGCAATTCATAGCGGTTGCGTTTGCGGGATATTTTTGACTGGTTAGCCAGCGGGTGCAAGAGCGGTTTAACCAAAAGTTACTAAAATAAAAATAATATATAATTATTCAAAACATTTATAACCATATTAATAATTTTTTTTTTGAAATATATTTTTTGATGAATTTTTAATTTGAAAACTACCCTTTTTTTTTGGTTTTGAAAAATACACTTTTTATATGTAAAATGATTATTCCTAATTTAATAAAAACGAAATTCAAATAAGAAATATAAAATATTAATATTTGATAATAATTTTGTATCATTTTAACATCCTAATTACCTGTTTAGTTTTTTTTAAACAATTTAATAAAAATATAAGATTGTTTATATAAAGTTTAAATGGGGTGAGATTAAAGTTGTTTATGCAAAGTTTCAAAAATATTTAAATTTTTCAAAAGATAAACATTAAAAATGAAAGATATATTTCTCCACTTTTAAATTTTTAATAATTTATAAACTTTAAATATATGTAAAGTTTTAATTTATTTAAAGTTTCATTTGGTTTGAATGTGTATGAGGTTAAGTTGTTTATATAAAGATCCAAAATATTAAAATTTGTTTCAGTTTAACATATACTATATTTATTTGAAAAAAAACTTATTAGTTTATTATTTTTTTAAATTTTCGTTTATAATTTGTAATTATTTATTATTTTTTTGTTTAAATCACGTCAAAACATACTTTTTACATTTTAAAAGTGTATTTTTCAAAACAGAAAAAATTTAGGGTATTTTCGAAATTTTTAAACATAATTATGGTATTTTTCAAAAAAATATACCCTTATTCCAAATTTGGAGATATTATGTTTTTTTTTTTTTTTTTTCAAACCGCAACCGCCCGCAACCGCAAACGCTTGCGGAAAGGAGCTTTTGATTTTCAGCGATATAGAGCGGTACAGAGTGGTATAGAGCGGTTGAAAGCGGTTGTCGTGATTGTTATAAAACGCTAAGAACCGCTACGAACCGCAAACGCTGCGTTTGCGGGTGGTAGCGGGAGAACCAATCATCACCTCATAAGGTAAAAGTACACAATTAAGAAACACATTTCTTTTTTTTTTGTTAAAGAATTAAGAAACACATTTCATTACCTCCTTTTTTATATCTTATAATTATAAATTTATTTATCTCTTTAAAATATAATTCAACCAATAGCAAAAAAAAAGATTACAGAATATAAGTAGTTATACAAAAATATGTTTATTAAAATTTTGTATTGAGAATTTGAGACATGAGAAAATCACTTAATGCCAAACATAAATATTTAATTTGAGTTTAAGTTTCGAGTTCGGACATAATATTACCATCTAACAATCACAAAGTGATTAGAAAAGGAAATATATATATTAATTACTCATACTAAATATATATATATATATGTGATAAATTATTGGAAATTGATGTAGTAGAGAGAGATGAAGACGGAAAGAAAAGGGAGAGAGAGTGAGAGATGTTGAGCAGATGTTGACTTGGCTTTGTGGTGAAGGCAAAAGTTCGCGAGAGAAAACACCACCAATTCACCGGAGCCGATAACCTCATCTGTTTGTTCGCCGATCATGACGACGACTTCCGAAGGTTTCTACTCTCTTCCTCCTATCTTCTTCGTTTTCAATTTTCTTTTCTCATTTCGTCGGTTAGTTCCTTCCTTTTTTTGGTCTACACGATGCATAAACTTATGAAATCATGATCAAGCTGTATCTGTATCTGGGTATCTGCACTGGTTAATTCACATATATGTTCTTACTGATTTGTGTGTATGTATTTAAGTTGATCTGGAAATTTGACCAAAATCCGACCAAGCTTCACCACAATCTTGTATTTTTTTGTTAAATCCTAACGTTATTTCATTTACTTTTGAAGTGTTTTCAACATACAGTTTTTGTGTATTTTTAGCTGGTTTTTAGGAATTTATGTTGGAGCATCACTGATTTTAAATCCTTAACTAGTACTGTGAAATTTAGTAAAACGTTAAAAAACCTCAGACTATCAATTTGATTGATAAATGACTCATCTCTCATCTCAGAACTGGTTGTGATTTGTGTCTTCTTTACTGCATTGACCATACTATTTCTTTTTTCTTTCTTGTGATTGCAAAACCACCTTGTCGTTGAGAGATGATGTACAAAACGAACATGAAGATCTTAGATTAGTATTTGATCCAGAGTTTGCAAAAGAATTAGAAATTCTCATTCTTTTATTCAGGCATGTCGATTTTTCATTTCGGGGTTTTTTCTTCAAGCTACAAATGCTCTAATGCAAATTTATTTCACAGGTCCGAGTCACGAACATTTGGCTCAAGATTCAAGGTATCACAAACTGAAAATAAAGATAGTGGAAGCTCTGAAAATCCATGGCCCTCAGAGAGTTTTGCTGGCTGGTAAAGCTGGAATCGGGAAGACGAGGCTGGCAAAGTTGGTAGGCGAGTTTGCATACGACCATGATGGCCATATTGCCACGAATAAAAGCATTTGCTTCTTGACCCTCTGCTTGCATCTCAACAAGAAGTACGAGAAGTCGGATGAATGGTCGCTTTATGAGAACATAGCTTCCCAGTTATCTGTATACTCGGATTTCGAAGAGACTGAAATAGATGACAGAGACGAGGACGAGGAGGAAGAGAAGAAGGCCAGAGACTTGAATGACTTGAAGAAGAACATAATCAAAGAAATCGAGAAGAGGGAAGCGTCTGTAGAAGAAAATAAGCAGAACTTCCCGGCTAAAGAGGATAAAGGGAAGAAGCCGCCCGAGAAAACACCCGAGTCTGAGGAAAAAGCAAAGCGGTTGGCTGCAGAAAGAGCCAAGGATAGATATCTCCTATTGATTCTTGACGACGAAGGAAGCGTGACCAAAGAAGACGTGGTGATGAACGTTTTGAAGCTTCAAGAGTTTCTTACAAAGGAGGTTCTTAAAGAAGATCCCACACGTCTAAAAGTTCTTATCACAAGAAGACAAGAAGAAGAAGACAAGGTGGTTGTAAAGGCTGATGTGGCAGCAGACGCAAAGAGAGATGGGTCTGAAGATGGCAGTGAAATTGCAGTGGTTGTTCCTCCGGTTGCTGAAAGCTCTCCCACTAATGGTAATGAGCCTCAGGCCGATTCGAAGCCTTCTAATGAACTCGACATGTCCAAGGATTTAATTGACATCATCGATAACGCTAACCTGGAGGATATATTTGCCACTGCTACTTCGAAAGAGTGGAAGGACGATAAGGGATGGATAGCTGAGATGGTGAAACAGAGCAAGAACTCGCCAGCTGCTGTCTTTGTGCTGGCCAAATCGTTAAAGCAGATTACTCGGAACACTTCCAATCAAGGGAAAGAAGAGATTGACAAGTTGATCAAAAAGGTTCTGTCGTCTGACCGGTCTCTTTCACTCGAATCAGGTTCTTCTTCTCCTGAGAGAGATGTAAATCCAGTCCTGTGTCTTGCTTATGAGCTGTTGCAAATCGGTTTTCCGTTGAAGGATGCGATCTTGGATTGTTTTTGGCACAGCTTGGACTTCTTTGAGCACTGTGGCTGTGTTTACTACCGTGACCTGATCACTCAGTGGATACTTGAAGGCTACTTTGATCCCGTTAGGTCTGTCGAGAACGCGTACCAGGATGGTCATAAAATCTTGATGGAGCTTATAAACCGTGGAATGCTGAGGATACAGGAGAACAACGTGGTGGTACCAGAGAGAGCGATGAGCACTTTGATTGATCCTCGACGTCGTGGCCTTTTTGGGAGATCCAAACTTAGGTTCTCTAGAGTCTATCTCGGTGACAAGAAGAAGGGTATAGGGAAGATCACTCAGATAGATGACATGATCAAAACCGTGCAAGCCAAGAAAGGAGACAGCGTTTCCACGATCCTGGTTAGTGGAGATCGTCTGCGTCGTGTAACTCCTGAAAAGTATTTCGAGAAGTTGGGTGATCTTGAAGTACTTGGCCTGTTCGAGCCTACACTGGACCCTTTTGTCCCGGCGTTATTGCAAAGACCGAAAAATGTAGGTGAGAGAGCACTGGAGAAGCTCAGGGTTCTTGTGATCAGGGACTGTGATTTACTCGATAATATTGAGGAGCTCAGGGCTCTTAGAGGGCTAAATGTTCTTGAGGTTTCTGGTGCTAGCTCCCTGAAGAAAATCTCTGATGACTTCTTCAAGGCCTTGTCTAAACTCCAGAGTCTTCACTTATCTGGGCTGAGGATTAAATCTTCCCCTCCCAGCATTTCTGAACTGACGGAGCTTCACTGTCTCATCATCAGGAACTGTCCTTTGCTGAAAGATTTGCCAGACATACAGGAACTGAAGAAGCTTGAGGTTGTTGATGTCTCTGGTGCTCATGGACTTCAAACCTGTTTCGACAACACACCGGGAGAGAAGAAGAACAAGAGCAAAAACAAGAACTTCTACCATCTTACAAGACTTCAGCTCCTTGACTTCTCAGAGAGCCAAATAGAGAGGTTGCCAATATTCCAGGACTCTGCGGTAGGCGACAAGCTTCACTCCGTGACTCGGCTCTTGTTGCGTGACTGTACCAAACTGAGAAGATTGCCTAGCCTGAAGCCCTTGTCAGGCCTGCAGATTCTTGATCTTTCTGGCACGACGAGCTTAGTGGAAATGCTTGAAGTGTGCTTTGAGGACAAGAAGGAGCTCACTACTCTTAATCTCACCGGCACGAATCTTAGCGAGTTGGCTACAACCATCGACGAGCTGACCAATCTCAACAATCTCCTCCTCAAGGATAGCAAGAACCTAGAGTCTATCCCACCTATCTCAAAACTCACAAATCTCGAGGTCATTGATGTTTCCGGCTGTACCAAGTTGCATACCATTGAGGGAACATTTGAGGGCATGCATTACCTACGTGTAATAGACCTCACTGACACCAAAGTGATGACCCCACCGGAGTTGCCAACGGAGACCAAAATCACTTGTCCAAAGCGTATTACTCTGGCTGATGGAACTGTTTTTGACGGTGATACATGGAGCGAAATAACGGACAAGATTAAAAGTAAGAGATCTGACAAGGCCAGCTCCTCTGAGGCAGTTGCTGAATCCCAAGAAATCATAGAAAAGAAGTCTGAAGAAACAAGAGAGACTCAACCGAGTGAACCTCACGCCAGTGATAATACCAAGAAGGGAGATTTCACCATGGAACGTCTCCTCCAGGTCCCCATTAAGAGGGATATATACAAGAATATACTATCACAGTTTGATTCCATCAGTCAGAAGGAAGTCGTGAAGATCCATGAAGCCAAAGACCTACCTAATGCTGACTTTGTGTCTTTTGTGGACATTAACTCCACAAGCCTCAAATCCATCTTGAGCGAGGCCAAATCGGTGAAGGTTTTCTCCCTAAAGATGTGCCGGGATATCAAAGAAATTTTCTCTGCAGAGGATGAGAAAAGTTTGGGACCACTGGAGACTTTGTCATTGTCCATTACAAACCTTCCATTGCTGGAGAAGATAAGCTGTGGTGTTAGCTTCCACAACCTGAAGGAGCTGCGCATAGAGTGCTGTCCGAATATCAAAACGCTTTTCCTGGAAGCAGCTCAGATGCCTAGCAGCCTAGAAGTCCTGCATATAAAGTATTGTGAGAAGCTTGAGAAAGTGTTCAACGAAGGCGAAGTGTCAACTCTCACTACCCTTTGCCTTTATGAGTTGCCTTTGTTATCAGCTGTTGGAGCCAAACTACCTAATCTCGAGATATTCGATAACAAGAGTTGCCCAAATCTTCTAGTGCTAAAGGAAGATCTCACGGTGAGTGCAACTTTCTACTCTGTCACTTTACATTGAACATATGTTTTAGTTTTAGGATCAAAGATCCCATATATGCCCTCTTGTTCTCATTCTACTAGAATTGGTAGAGACTAGAGAGTATTTTCGTTTTTGCCTTTTGCTTGTATAACGTTCTAGTACACTTCAAAACTCATCAGAATATGAACATAATTTTAATCCAAATTGTCAAATTCAGTTGCATCATATTTTTTTTTCTGGTTTGCAGGTCAGAGGTGTTTGAGTCGTCTTTGCACCAAATATTGTCTCTTTTCAGCTTCATCTTAGCATTTTACACTGCGTGTATTTGCAGGACTGGGTTGAAGTAGATCACAGTGACGCATCTGGATCACTGAGATAGATGGAGCAACAAGATCTACTTACTCTGCACTAAGCATCTGGATCGTTGCATCTAATGATTTACCTACTTTTTTTTCTGCGTGTGTCTGAACCGTTGTGTGTTGAATAATGACCGGCTTTGAAACATCCTCTTACGGGCTTTCTTTGTACTGTTTCCTGTTTCTGTTTCTAAGATATTTTCTGCAGTAAAATCCCAGGCATTGTGTTCTGTTCTTGTCTGGGTGAACAAGACCTTTGCTTCGATTGTTTATCGTTCTCAAACATTATATAACTGTCCTATTTGAAATATCTGATGGTTCTATGGCAAGCTGACAAATTACGCTAAACATTTGATTACACAGTAGGAATGTGTATTTATTAAGCAGGGTCAGAGACAGATACATAATCTCTAAAGATGTGTTACAAATGCTCTTGCCGCTAACAGGAGATATGGCAATGATGAGAAACTATGCAACTTATCTTGACAATATTCGGTGATGTCTATGGCTGTGACCTCCAGACTCCATTACCATCTGTGGGACAGAATGCGACTTTGGGGCATTTATATTTCTCCAACAGTTTCATGTGTGGAAACAGTGCCTGCAAATCTTTCCACTCAGCCTTGAATTCATGCAAATACTTCAGACGTAAGATCTGAATGCGGCAGTTGTGTTCTGCAGTTGGAAGTTCGTCACTGATTCTGCTAAGCTTCCCTCCTCTGATGGAGAGCTTTTCAAGATTGTCAAGATTTTTGGGATTTAACCAAATTGGAGGGTTCTTTTCAGGGAAACATTCTAGCTCCAACTTCTTCAAGCTAGAAGGAAGCTTAGAGGTATCTATTTCTGAATCTTGTTGCCATTTCTTCCCCCGTTTCTTGGTTTCGTTTCTCTTTGCCATAAACAGTTTTGCTTTACTTGATCCATGTTCCTTGGGATTGGGAGCTGTCTTTTTAGAAGAAAGCTTAGATGTTGATGCCGTTTCATTTTTCTCTTTTTCCAATGCGCAGTCTTTTTTCAGATCATCTGGCTTCTTCTGTATTGGAGCCTTCGGTTCTTCTGAAAAACTCACTTTTTTAGCTAACTTATTCTTCTTCTCTGACTTCTGAGCCTCTTCTCCTCCATCAAGCTTCTTTAAATCTGCCTTGTTCTTTTCCCCATCTCTTTTTTCCTGCACCTTGCTGCTTTCTTTGTGGTCACCTGGCTTGCTCTGGATCGTATCTTTGGATTCTTGTCGTGGACTTGTCTTCTCATCTCTCTCGATAACCTTGTCTTCTTTTGATCTCTCTGCTTTTACCTCATCTTTCGTCGTTTCTTCTTCTAGATTAACCTTATCTCCTTTCTCTTCTTGTTTGTCATCTCCTTTGTTATCATCTGGCTTGCTCTTGACCGTGTCTTTGGATTCTTGTGGTGGACTTGTTTTCTCACCTCCCTTAATAACCTTTTCTGGTTCTGAGCTCTCTGCTTTGATCTCATCTGTCTTTTTTCCTTCTTCTAGTTTAACCTTCTCCTTCTCTCCATCGCCTTTTGCTTCTTGTTTCTCACCAGTTTGGTGATCATTTGGCTTGTTTGGGATCGTGTCCAGTGATTCCTGCGCTTTCTTAATTCCTTCAGCACCATTTTCTGATTTGGAGCTCTCTGCTTTTACTACATCTTGCTTCTTTCCTTCAACTGGACCAGCCTTTCCTTTTTCTCCATCATTTTCCTTTTCCAATTTCCTTTTATCATCTGGCTTGTTCTCGATCTTGCCTGTTGATAACCCTGAAGGACTCTCCTTAACTCCTTCAACGCGTTTTTCTGATATTGATTTCTCAGCGTCTACCTCATCTTGCTTCTTTCCTTCCTCTATATCAGCCTTCCCTTTCTCTCCATTTCCTTCCTTTTCCACTTTGTTTTGATCATCCGACTTCTTCTGCTTCATCTCTGTGGACTCTCGAGAAGGACTCTCCTTAACTCCGTCTACCTCATCTTGATTCTTTCCCTTATCTCCATCTGCTTCCACTGTGCCTTTCCCTTTCTGATTGTCTGGCTTGTTCTCGATCGTCTCTGTTGCTTCTCCAGAAGAACTTGACTTCTTCTCTCCCTCGACAACCTCATCAGATTTCAAGCTCTTTGCTACTTCCTCGTTGCTCCTCTTTCCTTCTTCAACATTAGCCATCTTCCTATTTCCTCCATCTTCTTTCTTACTACTTCCTCTATCTTCTGCTCCCACTTGGTCATCTTCTCCTTCGTTTAGGCCTTTCTGTTTCTCCTCTGTTGCAACAAGCCCTCTTTGGTTCTCCTTCTCGTTTGTTGCTTCTTTATTCTTTTCTGTTTCATCACTTTCTTCAATCATTTCTCCTCTTCTGTCTTCATCCGGGAATCGAGCTCCCCATGCTATTTTCAGACTCTCAAGTCGCTCTAGGCCTTTCAATGACTCCATCAGATTTTCCACCTTGAAAAGGAATTTGTTTACGGTTATACTTAGCTTCCTCAAATTCACCAAATGTTTAACCGCACAGTTCCTTTCATCTTCGGACTGACTAATCACAAATCCCTTAAGAACTTGTAATCTGGAGAGATCCGCAACTCCTTTAGGCATACGGTCTAGCATATAGCACTCAGACACATCCAAGTAAATCAGATTCTCAAGTGAGCCTATATCATCAGGAAGAACCTCTAGATTGTAGCATGCTCTAAGATCCAAGATCACCAACTTGGGGAGCGCGCAAATAGAGTTTTCAAGCTTCTCGATCCTCGAGATCCCTTGGAAACTTGCAAGCCTCAGGTTCTTCAAGGACTTCATGTTCTTAAGAAACTCTGTGCTTTCAACTTCAATGTGACGCTTAGCAGTCCGTTCCCATCTTCCTAGATAAAGCACTCTCAGTGAAACCATCTCCGGAAACCACTTGAATGTGAAATCAGGATACCGCTCCGATGAATTGAAAACCGTCTCCAGAGACTTCGGTTTCATCACAGATGTTTTTGCTTCGTGCTGCAACGAGGAACCTCTTACTAGGCAGACCTTTTCATTAGTTGATCTTCTCATGAAAAGCTTCCCTTTCGAGCTGTAGAGATCAAACAGATCCATAAGTTTGGCCAAGTAAACAACTGCGGAATGCACATGAGGCTCCATCTTATAGCTACTCGGTCTCAGCTTCCTCTCATCTTCGACCGGCTCGAGTAATCCTTTTCTTGAAAACTCATCAAGAATCCTCGTTACAGAGTTTTCAGAATCATCACATAAGATGAAACCTTCTCCGATCCACCAGTACATCAGCATTGTCCTTTTAACCTCTTTGTTCTCTGGGAACACGGCGAATGAAAGCAAACATCTCTGCTGAGTGAACTCAAGGCCTTGAAACTTCTCCACAACTTCTTCAAAAGCTAAGGAGTGTTTGAAATCTTCAGAAACGTGGAGGCCTGGCAAGAATATGTCGCTCCCTGTCTCATTGATCTTACCATTTTCCTCACCGGTTTGAGAGTCCGTCGTGCTTAACCCACTGGATGATTGTTTGTAAAGCAATGATGGGATCTCGCACTTCAAGTTGAAGATCTTCCTTCTGATCTCCTTGAGATCGTACGAGCGGGACCTGATCGAGTCCGTCTTCTGTAGTATTGCTCTGAGTTTATTTGAAGGAAAGTCATGCTCCAACGACTTGCTAATGCGTGTTTGAAACTGAGTTAGATTCTGAAACGCAGCCTTCATTTGACGAATGTCACTCTGCAATCTCAGGATCTCGAGCTCTGCATCTGCTTCATCTTCGGCAATGTTTCGCCTGCTTCTTCTGCTGCTTCCGCCTTGACTGCCTCCACTGTCGCTTGCATGGCTTGAAGCCGGTTTACCAATCTTTTTAACTCTTTCTCTGACCCGAACCCACCAAGATTGTTTTTTCTCTTCAGTTGGTGGTGTTTCGCCTGGTGGTTCATTCTTGTTGTCAACAGTAGCTTTCTTGGATGAAGAAGGTGCGTAACTTAACTGAGACTGTAACTCGTCTAGGACGTTGATAATCTTATCGATAGTACATTGTTGCGTCATGATCACTAAACAGAATGGGCAATGACAATGGAAGCAAACGCCTGCAATTCAATACAAAGAATGCAGATTTGATGTGTATGATGATGATTAAACTGCGTTTGATGCATTTAGGTGTTATATGTTAGTACTTGATTTCTTCTACAGAACAAAACCATAGGACTAGTCAAGATCTCATCCAAGCATATGCACAAAATGGTGAAAGATTTAAACTCATGTACTAACCATTATGAACGTACTACAAAACTAGTTTTGTGCAGGAAAAGAAAACCTATAACGAACAAGCTTTTATGATCCTATGCTATGGTTTCATACATTTTGTTTCTATACAAAATTTGGTTACTCCATAATTTTGCAGGTGTGAAGGAGTATAAAGTCTCCAAATAGTTTAATGTCGATGATTAACCAAATAAAGAAAACGTTTTGGGAGAAAAAAAAGAAGAAAAGGCAGAACATTGTACCTTAAAAAGTGTTTTAGCCTAAAAAGGTGTCACTCAGGCTTTGTATCGAACACTTTATGCGCGATCTTCTGTTTCTGAATAAAAAACTCGAAAAAACTTTCCTTTATAGAACCATTAGATAGCTTCTTCAGAGGCATCGAAGCTGGCTTGATAAGGCTGAAACAAATACAGAGGAAAAGCATCCGATAGAATTGTTCTTTGTTTCCTCATTAGGCGAATCAATGGAAGAAAACAAACTCTCTGAGTTAAAAAAAAAGAAAGAAAGCAAAGTATCCATATCCATGTGAAACACATGAACTTTAAGCTATGGACTTGACTCATCTTCTCCTAAATTTAAACCCTCTCGATATCTCTAAATTTCTTCTTAACTTTTTTGAAACCCTATATGAATTTTCGGATTTAATTGCCAGTGACATGGAATACATTTTTAAGTTGACTAAAAAAATGCAAGTATAAGTAAAAAAATAAGAATTTTTAAAATATAAGTAAAATGCAAATGATATTGTTGCGTGCATGGATGCGGAAACGTATAATATTTTTTTTTTTTTTTTTGACAACTGGAAACGTATAAATTTAATCAACCAAATGCGCCTACAAATCAATGTTTCTACTTTCTACGTATCTTCGACGACAAAGATTCCACTTTTAATTTCAAATCATGCACGGCATCTCCATCCCTAGATCTAAACAGGGTTTTAAAGTAAATAGATGATTTAAATAAAGTTTTAAGCCAATAATATACTAAATCCGAGTCTTACCTTAGTTTCATTTTCTAATTTAAAAACCGTGCACGTGTCAAGAGCATATTTAAAGACGTTTTGAGAAAAAAGAAAAGGAAAAAAAATTCATTTCTTTCTCGTCTCTCCACCGTCTGCAATCGAATCTGCAATTTCGTTGATCGGATTTGGTCGAGATATTAACGGAGAGGTGTTTGTTTCTATCTCTCTCGCTCCGTGTGAGTATAAACTTCTCTCTATCACCGAAGCTCTATCTTTCCCTAATTCCGCCTCCGATCGGAAAAAACGATTCACACATCTTCCGATTTCATGCCGACGGACTCGAAAGCCAGTGGGTGTCTTTCCACTGGACACGTATCGGAAAAGGAAAGTATTTTTCTTTGATAAGGAAAGAGTATCAATCATCTATTGTGTTGACTCAATCACTATAATTACGTTCCTGCAATCCCTGTAATTACGTTAGTATATTCTCTGCCTCTCATGTATATATACGGGAGCTATGTACAAGAGTAGATACCATTCAATATAATCATCTTCTTCTATTTCTATATTCTTCTCTCTTCTCCCGCATGTTTGTTATTTTGTGGCCATAGGTGGATATTTTTTTTGTAATTTTAGGATATGAACTTTTTGACAGTTCTTGGTTGGGGCAAATGCGGTGTCGGAAAATCGTCCACCGTCAATTCTCTAATCGAAGAACAATTCCAGGTATTGCTGGGATTAGTTTCCCTAAACTCCAGTTCAAACTTAATTTTATTTTATTAGTGTGCCTGATGAGATTAAGTTTTTTGGATTTTGTAAGCAGAAGGGTTGAGAACGATGATGGTTTAAAGAACAATGGGAGAACTCACTATAAACATTATGGACACCCCTGGGCTTGTGGAAGCTGGATTAGGGATGTGATTTCGGGCTTAAGCCCGTGGGCTTAAACGGGTTACAACTAAACGGGTCTACCCGAGCCCGTTTCAAACACACAAATTATTAAACGGGCGCACCCGATTAGGCCCATATACTAACGGGTCTTCAGTTTTAGATTCGGGTAGCCCGTTTAATTTTTTTTATTGAAATTCTATGCTGAAACGACACCGTTTAGTTCTCTTCCTCGACTTTTGTTTTCCATCGGTGAAAAAAAAACAGATCTAGCTTCGAGACCCACCGTTTCTCTCCTCTTCATCACCGCCTTCTCTCCTCTCCAGTCTCCACCCACCGTTCTCTCCTCTTCATCACCGTCGACTTTTCTTTTCCATCGGTGAAGCTCAGCTCTTCTCTCTTCTCGTGAGTTTAAGTGAGTTTTTCAGTTGATTTAAGATTTTTCGGTTTTATTGAAATGGGTTTCAGTAGATTTGCGGATTTGTTGAAGTGGGTTTTCTGGGTTTTTCTATTGGCTCATGTGATTGTGTATTGTGTATGAGCTTGACTGTTGATTCTGAGAAATGGGTTTTGTGTATTGTGCATGAGCTGTGGGAGAAATCAAAAGCCGATCTATCAATTTGATGTTATTCAGATGTTTAGCTGTGTTGAGATTTGATAAAATGTGTAACTTTTGTGTAAAGAGTTTTGATTTGTTGTGACTTTTGTGTAAAGAGTCTCTATCTCTCGGAACAAGTAGGCTTGCGTTTCTTCTTGTAACTTATACATTCAATCTTGACAAAAACCATTCTTTTTATGGAGAATTGTAGAGTTTTGTGCTCTTTCCTAACACAGAAACCACTTGTTATTTTGTAGTCTTGGCATTGAACTATGGATTTTGAGTCTCAAGAAACAAGAAGGAGTCAGTATATGAACGATGAAAATGTTCATTTTGAGGTTAATGAGGGAGCTGAATATGTTGAGTTTGACGAGGAAGTGTCAGAAACAGAAGCAACTGAGGATCCAGAACACAGTGCGACTCAAGCAACTCAAGCTGTGCGTAAGAGACGCAAAACTTCACGTGTTTGGAAGGATTTTGAGCCTGTTGGGATTGAATCAGATGGGAAAGAAAGAAGCAAGTGTATCCATTGTGAGGCAAAGTTTGTGACCAACTCTAGAACCCATGGAACTCATCATCTGCTAAGACATTTAGAGAAGTGTCCCAAGAAGCCTAAGGAAGGAGATAGGCATGTCTATGATCATCAGGTAGATCGTGAAATGATGAGCGAAATAATCATCTATCACGATCTTCCATTTCGGTATGTTGAATATGAGAAGGTGAGAGCAAGAGACAAGTATCTCAATCTTGATTGCCAGCCAATATGCAGACTGACTGCAACAGCTGATGTTTTCAAGAGGTATGAAATTGAAAAGGATAAGCTTAGAGAGGTGTTAGCAAAGCATGATGGTCGGGTGTGTTTTACTTCAGATTTATGGAAAGACACTTGCACAAATACAGGGTATATTTGTCTTACAGCTCACTTCATTGATTCTAGCTGGAGGTTAAGTAGTAAGATACTAAATTTTTGTTATCTCAAGGCTCCACACACTGGGGAAGAAATGGCTAATAAGGTTATGGAGTGTATGAAGGATTGGGGTGTAGAGAAAAAAGTCTTCTCCATTACTCTGGATAACGCTGGCAACAATAATAGCATGGTGAGACTTCTTCAGGGTCGATTTGAGTTGGTAAATGGTGGTGGCTTATTGTGTGATGGAAAGTTTGTGCATGTCAGATGTTGTGCTCATATACTCAATCTCATAGTGAAGGAAGGTTTAGAGTTAGCAAAGGATTTGTTGGAAAACATCAAAGAAAGTGTCACCTATGTGAAATCGTCTCAAGGAAGGAAGGAGGCTTTTCATGCATGTGCACTGAGAGAAGGATTTAAAAAATCAGGATTATCGCTTGATGTTGCTACAAGATGGAACTCTACTTACGAAATGCTTGTAAGGGCCTTAAAGTTCAGGAAAGCGTTTGAGTACTTGTCAGTTTATGACCTAAACTATAAGTCATTACCATCTGAAGAAGAATGGAACCGTGGAGAGAAACTCTGTGAATTCCTAAAGCCTTTCTATGTCATCACCAATCTGTTTTCAGGTTCAAAGTATCCTACTTCCAACGTTTATTTTACACAAGTTTGGAGGATTCAACTACTACTAATGAAGTTTTCCAGTTGTGATGATGCTGCTTTGGCTGATATGGCTGAGAGAATGCAAGTGAAGTTTGACAAGTATTGGGAAGATTACAGCCTTGTTTTGGCCATGGGAGCTGTTTTAGATCCTAGAATGAAGTTGTATTTGCTTGAGAAAGCTTATGAAGCAGTGGATCCTCTTACTGCAAAGGTGAAAGTCAAAGAGCTTAAAGACAATTTGATTTTGCTCTACAATGATTATGTTGCAAGAGCTCGTCCTAGTTCAAGAGTTACAACAATACCAACTCCACAAGAGTTAATCACTGAATCTCCACTTGAAGATGATGACTTTGACATTGTAAGTATATGTTCCTGTTTTTTTTTAACTTATGGTGATTTCTTGTCAACTTGTATTATGCGACATGCTCATTAAGTCATTATGGTTATTCAGATTTGATTTCATAATCTCAGGATATTTTTGATCTTGAAAGAAGCATCGGAACTGGTGTGAGCAACACAAAGACACATTTGGATATTTATTTGGAGGAACCAAGACTTGATAGAGCATCTTTTCCAAGTTATGATGTCTTAGGCTATTGGAAGGACAATCAACATCGATTTGGTGAGTTAGCAAAGATGGCTCGTGATTTGCTGAGCATACCAATTACTACTGTAGCTTCAGAATCTGCCTTCAGCATTGGTTCTAGAGTATTGACTCCATATAGAAACCGGTTACTTCCTGACAATGTGCAAGCTCTACTTTGTACCCGAAATTGGTTAAGAGGTTTTGCTGAATCTGAAGAAGGTAAACTTTACTTGTTTCACTTGTTTGATTGTTTTGAAATATGAAGGTTTTGCTCTGATGTGTGACTGTGTGAGCCTTGTATACCTCAGACGAAAACAACAATCAACCTAATGAAAATGCTATAAGCGGTTTAAGAGCAGGAGAATCAAGCATGCCATGAATCGGGTAAATTTTGTTTTCACTATTCTGTTTCATAGTTTTCAAACCATTGCATAAGTACAGATTGTTAGCATCCTCTGTTATGAATTGATACAAAGAGGTTTACATGATTATGTACTAGTACAAATGGTTTAAAGTCTGAAAACTTTTGTGACCGTCTGTTTGCAGAGTTATTTGCTTCAGGATGATGGTGAATTGGTGATTGATGAATGATTGATGAAGTAGAGAATTTGCTATGGATTTTATGTTTATTTTGTCTCAAAGTTAAAGATTTGCTGAGATTAATAGTTGTACTAAACTTTTATATGATTTTTGAAAAACCCTCTGTTTTATTACTTCAAATCTTTAATTTTTTTTTTCTGAAAAAAATACTAAATGGGCCTATACGGGGTTGAACAATTTAGCCGGGCCTAAACAAGCAGGCCCAAACGGGTTCAAAAATTTAAAGGGTCTAAACGGGACGGGTCTAAATGGGTCGGGTTTATTCGGGACGGGCCTAAATGGGTCGGGCTGACCCGAAATCACATCCCTAAGCTGGATATGTCAATCACCAAGCTCTGGACTTAATCAAAGGTTCAATACTAGTCTTTTGAAATCTCTCAGCTGAATTAGTCATGTTGTGTAATTGTAAGTGACATCCCTTTTGGAGATTTTAGGCAGGTTTTTTGTGAACAAAATCATAGATGTGTTGCTCTATGTTGATCGTTTGGATGTGTATAGAGTTGATGAGCTTATCTGGCAAAGTGATATGGTGCAAAACGTTGCTTGTTCTCACTCACGCTCAATTCTCTCTTGAGAATTTGAATTGAAAAGAGAGATATTGCTCTCTTGAGAATTTGATTGAATTTGAATTCTGTAAAAAAAAAAAATTTGTTAAGAACCAAATAGAAGGTTTTAGGGATGGAGGAAGAAAAAAAAAAGAAAAAAACCATACAAAGGTTGTTAATATTGATTTTTGTGAAAATTAATAATAAAAAATAGTTTAAAACCAAAAACATGGTTTTAGGGATGGAGATGGCCTTCAACTACTAAAAGGTTTGGTGACATTGCTTAAAATTAAACTTCAAAACAGAGCAAAAGAAATTACAATTAACACACATACAAAACAGCTTTTTTGTTTGTTTATTTGTTTATGACTCTCCGTCAACGAGTTTAGCTCGAGCATCTCCTTTATTGATCTGAAACTGATCAGCCAAACCAAAGTGAGCCATCAACAACCAAACAAAGTTAAGCAGCTCTCCACCTCTGCTAAGTTGCGCCACATGCTCCGTTGCCTCACAATGACTTGCGGCGTAAGATAACAACTCAACCCACACTTTGCTCAACACTCTCCATTTCCCATCTCCTCCATTACCACCACCACTCTCATCCAATCTCTGAAGCTCTTTCGCCAACATACTCGCATCGAAAAGCACCGACTTGCTCCGATCTCCCTTCACATTCATCGGCTCGATATCATTACTAACCGACAAAACCGTCTTGCTCGCTCGTTTCATATCTCTCAAGTTCTTGACATGCCTCCCTTTGAAAAACCTCTCCGCTTCCGCTAAAGTGTCTCTGAATCTTATCGTCCCGATCCCGGCAACTTCCGACATCAGCTTCGGTTGCATGATCAGCAAATACATCATGTAGTCCGACACAATCTTGCTGAATTCCCGGTCATCGCAGCTCTCTCCGCTCCGTCTCTCCAACATCTCCTCCTCCTCTTCTTGAAAACAGAGCTCTGTTGCAATATGCCAAAGGAGAAGACTTTGATCGTAATCAACATTCTCCACGTAACGCATCAATCTCTCTGTCTCCGCCAACTTTGCATCCCTTAAAGCCCATTCTCCTCTCGCCGATGACACTTTCTTCGCAACCTCAGGCGTTTCCGCGTAACCGGACTTATGTTTCAGCTCGTTGAAGATAAACTCCCACTGGTTCTTCGTCAACGGCTCGCTCGACACGAACCTGATCTGGTCTATATGAGATCTAACGCTGAAGATCCGATCTATATAACCCCAAAGCTCTCCGAAAACATAAGGTATCCCCAAGAAGATCGTAACGTATAACGGATAAACCGTGTAACGAATCATCAGATTCTTCCTCGACAACTGCCTCATCACAATCCTGATCGATCTATCGACGTTCTTGATCCATCCAGACAGCATTTGGACTCTTCTGATTACGTTATCGAACGTCGAAACCAAAAGTTCACACACGGACTCGCTCAAAACGTTGCGGACTCTCTTCCGATGGATTCTTGATGCTTTGGTTTTCAAACAGTAACCGATGAAGTTGAATCCGTAGATCGTACCTGACCATCTTCTTGACAAGATCCGCGTCGTGAGCACCTCGTGGACACGGTTTCCTCTGCATTTGTGCTTCTTCCACTGCGGTCTACGAAAGGAGAGTAGCCAGTTGAACAAAGGGTCGATGGAGCTCTTCTCTTCCTCGGGGTCGTCTTTAAGCTTGCTCAACACGGCAAATGTCCAGTCAGAGAGCAAGAACATGACCATGGAGGCGACATCAAGCGCGATACCGACGATGAACAATGTGTAAGTAATCACAACGTCCGCTCCATGGAACTCCACGGACTTGAGAGGTCTACGATGGAAGAGAAAGAAGGAAGAAAGAAGCGATCCAAACGCGATGGCCCGAGAGAGAGTACCGGTTATCGTGTGAAGAATCGCGGTTTTCGTGTACATGGATTCGTATAAGAAACCGAGCTCAGATTCGATGATCCTTAGGGCTTCCTCTGGTTTCAGCTCTTTGAAGAAATCTCTGCTTTCGTCTCGCTCACGGAAGCTGAAAATTAGGTCAACGACGAGACCTTTGAAAGTGTTGAAGAATTTGAAACCGTATTGGACGATCTCGAGATCGGTAAGGTGGTCTCGGTCCGGCCTAACGAGTTTCGGAGGTCTCTCGTGCTTGTCTGGTTCGTCGATGAGGACGATTTGGGTCGGGAGGTTTGAGTCTTTTCTCGAAGCGTATTCTTCCATGAGCTTAGCGTAGTTAGGACCAGTGTCTCCTGGTTTAAGCATTCGGTCTTTGAATTTGTCTAAGCTCGCTGCGTATAATGCGCGTGTCCTCTCCGTGTATTTTATCACTCCGGTGATGAATAGTAATGTTATTGGTGGCCATAAGATGTTTTCCATTGATTGCACCACCGCGTAAACACCTGAAATAACAACGTAAAAAGATAGTAGTTGAGAATAAACTTATATAAGACGTAATTAAGCAATTGTTTGTTTAGTCATATCGGTTTTGTTATGTTGACTACTTGGTTATGAGTTTTCGTAATTCGTTATGCATCCATGTAAGTAGAGTAAAATTACCACAACAGAAAATGCTTCCAAATAGCACAAACTTTGTATAGAGCTTTGGATTCTGTACTTAAAATTAGTACCAAAATTACCACACTTGAAAATGCTTCCAAATGCCACAAACTTTAGGTTTGTGAAAAGTTTTAAGATTTTAGCATCTTTTCTTAAACTTTCATGACTCATGATTACTATCGGATTCTTTTATTTATTTTGGCGCAATTTGAAAAACAAAACATATAAGGTTTAGTACTTTTTAAGTATTGTCTTTGTAATCGATTACCTTATTTTTAGTAAAAAAAATGATTCCTTATTTCATCCCTTTTATTTTGTAAAATAGGTTTTTTTGTTAAGTTAATAAAATAGTCTAGATTTTTGAACTAATTAAGATCCTCTGATTATCAAAAAATACAACCTAGTTTATATATAAAATCTCTAATTAGATTCTTCACTGAAACGACGAAGTGGCCAGACGTAAAATTATGAGTCTGTAAGACTATAATTCCATTATTGCACGAATCTGTAACCAAAGTAAGCCTATATTGCATTTGCTATTTGTTACTTGATAATTCTATCTCCATGCAATGCACACATATAGTAATTCTTTTTTTTTTTCGTTTCTATTTCAGATAATTTAAATCGTATCCACGCCGTTACTTACCTGCAAGCGCTTGAGATACGAGGCCAAACAAATGACGTGCCCATAACGCATTATCCTCGAGGGCCAACGCAGTAATCGTGTCCGGACCACCAAGATGCAACAACAAGAACGGTGCCCACAAAGCAAGTAGCTTCTTGTTCTTCGGAGGATCACCACGTTCCAGTTCCTTTCCTTGGTTCTTAGTGATCTGAGCCACCGCATAATTAGCGGTCCAATCTGCTAAAAGATACGATGTCCACAGAACTGCGGCGAGAAGCTTCTTCGATGTGCGTTTTCGCAGCGGTGCGAGAAAGATAAGAGATGTTTGAAACAACAGAGACAGTATCACAAGTCCCCTGATGTTCCATTTGTCTAAGATCTTTTTGATTGTTAGTGGAATCACTCGCATTGTTCTTACTCTCTTTTTCTCTGTCTGGAAAAACTCGTTAAGTATCAAATTTTCTGTATCATGTTCTTTTACTCAGGGGGTATATATAAGTGAGTAGAAGAGTAATTGGTAGTAAATATTTGATATTTGACCGGAATTTATAAACGAAGCTATTTAGTAATACGTGAATTATCTTCTGCCACTGTTGATTAGATTTTGAATTCCTTTCTTATATTCCACGGTAGCTCTTTAATCAAGGGCTTTTTGTGTCAGAATAAAATATACTTTCCTTGTTGATAATAAAATCAAGAAAATCACACTTTAGTCTCTTTTGATGTTGTTGTTAAACACACTTTCGTCTTGCACAATGCACACACGTTACTAAGAATGGTGCACGGATCTTTTCTTTTTGGCTTAATGTTGTTTACACAGTTAAGTGTAGTACTTTTAAGCAAGAGATATTCGTGAGTGTATCTGATTAGATAAACAAATGTTAAATTTACAATGATCGCTTAGGAATACTTCTTTTCATCAGCATATATTCTTGTTACTCTTTTTATGTTATTACTATAGTGCTTTCTTTTCATCAGCATATATTATTGTTACTCTTTTTATGTTATTACTATAATGCTCATTGTTGGTAGCTAAAAAAAGTAAAGTAAGAGTATCTCTAGGGTGTTCATTTTTTCCTTTTTTATATATTAAGCCTGGCTAGACTCGGTAAGAACGCACCGTGCAAAATACTACGAAGTGGACTCTTATCTTGGTTCAACGGGAACGGATACAAGGTATGAAATCCAAATTTGGGGTTTCACACCATATATCCTGAGTTTGGAGTGCCTTCCGGGAATAATTACACCGCCTATATTTTTGATTACTTATGTCTATTAATAGATTTTCCACACAAATGTGATTTGTTTATAGAGAGGATCAAATTCAGGTTTGGGAGTTTCACCCTTCACGAGAGCTTCCCCTACCACTAGACCACATGAGTGCGGGCAGGATGTTTATTTTTATTACAACAATTTATTTTGAGTAAAAGAACGTTAAAATCTAAATCCCAAACACTAAAATATAAACTTAAACCCTTAAATCTGAATTCTAATCAAGGATAAATAAGCTCAAACTTATATATTTTGTATTAGAAAAATATAGTTTTGAAAATACACACTCATATTTCTTAAAATTTCTCATATTTGTATGCATAAACATTTGCAAATAATTCTTTATTAAAAAATATATATGTAAAGAATTACTCCTGAACTGAGGCTCGGTGCTAAAGCCCATGGAAGAAGGAGATATAGCCCACTAAAGTTTATTGTAGTCGTTTCTCTACTTCTTTTCTATCCGAAAACAGATCGGAATCGGAATCACGCGGCAAAATCGCAAGTGGAGGAAGAAACAACGGAACAAGTAAGAGCGCAAATACATTATCAATGGTTAATCACTAATCATGAAGCTTCATCGCTGCTTTTCATTATTTGAGGTTGTTTCACTTCATTAGTAGTTTATCTGGTGAAGAATCTAATCGAGATTTGGGGTTGTAGGGTTTGAGAAATTGTACGATTGAGACGTCTCAATCGTGTAGAAGATTTGATCTTCTTCTACTTATCCCCGAGTTTTATTACTGAGAAGATGCTGAAATCGTGAATGAAATGGATTTTAGGGCTTGACGAATCGTGTGATTATATAGTTTCACCTACAAAGGAGACTACTTTCATATTCATAAGCAGTTAGAGCATGCCCAACGCAGGATGCTTAACCATGGTCTTAGGTAAAATGTTCATTTAATTAAATGAAAAATACAAAAAAAAACTTAAGCAGCCGTGTATCTAATGCTTAAATAAGGATTTTAAGCATCTGATGCTTAGTGACACGTGGCATCACATGATTGGCCAGAGAAACACGCTCTTTTTTCTCATTTTTCTTCTATCTCTTCTCTCTTCTCTGTCGATGGCGATGGTGGCGACTCAAAGGTGATCGAAACATCAATCGATTTTGTTACCAAATGACTCAGAAATCATGATTTTTTGTTGGTGGGGCGTTCCGAAACAGCATGTGATGATGCGAATCGGCAAAAAAGAAATGAAGATCAACCAATTTTCAATCAATGGTTCTTCCTTCTCTTTGCATGGTAAGATATCTCCAAAAATCGGATGTAAAATGTGCTTAATTAGGGTTTTCGAGCAACTATAAGCTCTGAAAATGGCGTTGTTGATTGGGTTTCTACCGTTTCTATGTTGTTGATTGGGTTTTAAAAATTTAGTTTCGTTTGGAAGATGATGAGTTTTCATTTGTTTTTTATGTTAAATTGATGAACTTTTTGATGTTCTGTTTAGTCATAACAACTTCTGTTTTCTCTTTCGTGTTTATATTTTTCAATTGATTGATTGCTGTTATTTGGTTCGTTTTGCTGTAGCAAGAGTTACTGAAACAAGTTCACGAAACTCAACTGTTCAAGCACATTGATAAGTTTCTATCTGTTGTGGGTTACCAAGACAATCTGCCATATGCTGCTGCCAAGGCTGTTTCTCAGGGAGCTCAGATCTTATGGGGAACTGAACTAGATGAGTTGTGTTGCCACGAGACTTGTGTGAAATGCATCAAAGGTATGTTGGTTCTTGAACTTATGGATCACAACAAGGATGCTTGTCCAAAACTATCTAATGATGTCTTCTTAAATTGATTTCGGACTGTTTTTTGGAAGTGGCGGACACATAAAAACGGATCAGAACTAAACCGAACACCAGAATCTTTCTAAAATATTAAGTTTCTATTTGGATGAAGCGGCACGAAACTAGACTATTGTTCTCATTAACAATTCTACACCTAGATCAAGTTTGGTTAGGCTAGTTTAGTGAACTTAGAAAAACCATATGATAAACCGTCATTTTCAAGCTAGCTTTCAGGTGCATTCTTGCCATAAATCTTGTTTCTCTGTTTTTGGTGTTTTCAATTAAGGTCACCATGGTGAGGAGACAGCGACGGTAGGTTCTCTTCTGCACCTAAGAAAGGTTCTTCCTTACTTACCCAAATTTATGTTTTACTTCTGCGAAATTTATTATAGTTTGACTGTGCAGGAAAGGGTTCCTCATCAGTAGTGGTAGACATAGAAGCAGAAGTAACAGATGCAGACTGAAAATGCCACCGGGAAAGTTATAGCACATGTTTTTCAGTAAACCGAGCAAAGGAGATTTTGTAGAGACAACAAACTTATGCAGAGAGCTGTTTGTTGGATATAGAAGTAATATAGATTTACACAGTGTTATGTATATATATTTGTGTTGGGCATTATTATCACAATCTTGATGTATGTTACTTGAAATTGTTTGATGTTTAAAGTAAGTAGTCCACCATGTACGCTTGTTTTGTGATCTTACCATATGACAATAATTTTTTTCTTTTTCTTAAGCACTCCAAATAAGAATCTTCCATTGGAGAAGAAAAAAACAGATAATTCTTAACAAGGTGCTTAACAAACTTTTCATAATAAAATGGGTATAAAATATATGCTAAGCATCTCCATTAAGCATCATGCCCTGGGCATGAAGCACCACCGAAGTTAGACTCTACACTACGAGTGCCAGATTATTCAAGGAATGTATTTATTATTGAGGTTTTTAAGTAGAAACATCATCACTTGGCAACGATCAGTTTGGCTCTTGCATCGTCTCTATTGATCTGGAACTGATCTCCGAGACCAAAATGAGCCATTAAAAGCCACACAAAGTTGATGAGCTCGCCGCCTTTGCTAAGCTGAGAAGCATGTTCTTTGGAGTCACAATGAGTCGCAGCAAAGCAAAGCAACTCAACCCAAACTTTGCTCACAACCTCCCACATGCTCTTCTCTCCTCCACTCTCCAACCTCATCATCTCCTTGGCAAGCACGCTCGCATCGAAAAACACAGACTTGCTTCTGTCTCCTTTCACATCCATAGGCTCAACGTCTGTGTTCACAGAGAGAATCGCTCGGCTCGCTTCTCTCACGACGTCTTCTTTCCCGCGAGTTGATTTCTTGATGTGCCTCCTCTGGAAAAACTCGTTCGCCTCTGCGCATGTGTCTCTGAAACGTATCTTTGCGATTCCGGAAACAGCTGACATGAGAGTCGGCTGCATCATGAGAAGGTACATCATGTAGTCTGACAAGATCTTGCTCAACTCTCGGTTAGTGTAGTAATCTTGCTTCTTCTCTTTGGTTTCTTCTTCGCCTGTTTGGCTTTGGTAGAAGAGCTCTGTAGCGATGTGCCACAGTAGAATGCTCTGGTCGTAGTCTTTCTCCCTCACATAGCGGAGAAGCTTCGTGTGGTCTGTTGGATTTCTGCTTGATGTATCGACTAAAGTCCAGTCTCCTCTAGCTGAAGATATGCCCTTTGCACTTTCTTGGTCTTCAGCGAAACGTTGTTTGTGTTTCACCTGGTTGAATATGAACTCCCATAGCTCTCTCGTGAGGCGGTCGCTGGTTGTGAATCTTATCTCTTCAACCAAATCTTTGGTGCCGAAAAAGTCTAGGACCTCGTTGATCAAAAGTCCGAGAAGGTGAGGAAGCACAAACCAGAAAAGGATAAACCATCTAACCGTACGGATCATCCGGTTGTCTTTGGTCAAGTTTCGGTCTATCGAGTTATGCAACCGGCGAGTTCCTTGTGTTATGGATCTGAAACAGAGCTTGATTCCTCTTGTGGCATTGTTGATGACAATGTCTATGCACAAAACGTTAAAGATCTTGTGAAAGAAAATGTGTATCTTTCCCTTGGTGTGATGGATTCTCTTGGGACGTATCTTCAAGCAGTATCCAATCAAGTTGTAAGCATGAACATACTCAGACCATCTTCGGAACATGAAGTTTCTGTTGAGCACTTGATGTCCATCTCCGGATGTTTTCCACCTCAGTGTCCTGAAACCGAGGATCCACTCAGCGATCCTGTTGAGGACTCTATCTGCCTTGGTGTCTTTCTCGTCCATGTCCTCTTTTAGGAGCCTCAATCTAGCGATGGTCCAATCAGATACACAGAACATGAGGAGAGCGATGGAATCAAGAGCTATTCCACATATGAGCAACGCGTACGTGAGAGCAACATCGAACCCATCGTATTGATCTTCCTTTTTCATTTTGAAGAGGCATAGAGACGCGACAAGGCACCCCAATGCTATAAACCGGAACACAACCCCGGTCCAGTTGTGAAGAATCTCTGCTTTGGTGAACAAGCTGTCGTAGATGAGGCTGAGCTCGACTTCTATGATACTTAAAGCTTCTTCTGGCTTCAGCGAGTCGAAGAACTTCCTGCTCTCGTCTCGTTGTTTGTTGGTGAAGATAAGATCAACGATAAGACCTTTGAAGATGTTAAAGTACTTGTAAGCGTACTGAACAACTTGAAGCGCGGTGAGATCATTGATGGGCCTAACTGGAGCATTGCCTTCTCGTCCTTTGTCTGGATCTTCCACTACAATCACCTCCGTTGGCATGTTCATGTCCCTCTTAGCTGCGTACTCCTCCATGAGCTTGGCGTAGTTAGCACCAGGATCAGGCTTCTGAAGCATAGAGTCCTTGAACTTGTCAAGACTCGCTGAGAACAACGCAGCTGTTCTCTCGACATACTTGATCACTCCGCCCACAAGCATGATCACTGTTGGGATCAGAAGCCTGTTCGGTATAGACAACAGGATCACATAGACAGTAGCGATGGCTTGGCAGACGAGGCTGAACAAATGTCTGTCCCAAAGCTCGTTATCCTCTAGAGCAAGTGCTGTGATGGTGTCTGGACCTCCAAGGTGCAAGAGAAGGAACGGTGACCAAAAAGCTAGCAGCTCGCGGTTCTTGGTGTGTTTTTCAGATTCTTCTTCTTGGCTGTCTGAGATTTGTCCGACCGCGTAATCAGCGGCCCAATCGGCAAGGAGATAAGCTGACCATATGAGCACAAGGAAGAGCTTCTTTGCTGTGCGTTTCCGGCTCGGTGCAAAGAAGATGAGGATAGATTGGAGGAAGAGACTGAGTATTATGACTCCACGAATGTTCCATTTGTCCCAAAGTTTCTTCACATGAGGTGGAATCATCTCACCCATCTTGTCTTCTTCTTCTTCGTTGGACCACGATGCTTCACACTGTGAATGTTTTAGAGTAGTGTCAAGGTTAGTGAACGTTAGTTTAAGGATTTCTTTGTTTTTTCTATTGTTTTAAGACTAGAAGTAGAAACAAAGACCAGCAAGTGTTATTGTTACGCTTACAAAGGTTATTAAACTATACCTTGCTTATAATTAAATATTATCTTTCTCTTTTCTGTTTCTGTTCTTGTTTTCTCTTTTCTTGATTCCTTGTCTTTGTTCTTTTCTTCTGAACATAAATAACTACTAAAAAAGGAAAACTAGAATGTATATTTATCACATGGTTTGTTTGAACGGACAAGGTTGTATTGTATCTAAACTGCTTTTAACATATAGGTTTTTAAGCTTTCTCTAGAGTTAAAGTTAAAAGCTTTACTTGAAACTGTCTACACTTTCTCTGTTTTCTGCTTCTAGTACTAGAAGCTTTCTCGATAATTCCTTTGAGTTTAAGAGATCTTTTGGATTGGTTGTCTGAACTCTGAAGAGAAGAAGATATCGGCCATGAGTGATGCTTCTCGGTTGCAGAGCAAATATTGATTTAAACCTGAGAACTTGAGAGGTAGGGCTAAAAAGTTGCATAGTCATCTCCTTAGCTTCATCTTCATTTTTCAAGTTGAAAGTTGGAAAAAGGTGCATATACAATATGTTTCCATGTTGAAGACAATCCAAAATTTTGAATAAAAATCTAGTTTAACTTTATTATTTTATTATATCGCTGTAATAATTAGTGAAAAAAATATTTAGATATTAACAAGGGGAAATTATATATTTCAATAGTGGAAAGTTGTATCTTTATAAAGATTATATACCTAATTTATAAAGATTATTTACCTAATTAAATAAATCTTCATGCTCATTTAGCTAGTTGACCCTGGAAGAAATTAATATTTCACACATGCAATAGAGAACGCCTTTGTTTTAGGGATCCCACATTCCAGCATCGGAGTATCGGACCCATGTTATATGTTAGTACATGTGGAAAAACAGTAACTCAAAATAATCCATTTTCTTAGTTCTAAGTTCTAACTTCTATAGATTAAAATATTTTTCATAAATAGAGGAAACTAAAAAATACTCCAAAAGAAACTAGAGTAATACCACAAAATACCCATCAATACTTCAAAAATTAACTGACACATTTATGTACTGTTTGGCCCCACATGTTTATTGCTAAAATTATAGAAATACCCTCCTACGCTTATTCATCAATTAAGTTTCTGTTTATTTTTTTTGCAAAGCTGCGGCGGCGACGGCGGATAAATCACGAAGAAATTGATGAGATAGAAAAAAAAAAGAGAAAAGGAGAAGGAGAAACAGAAGATGAGCCGAGGGTTAGAGATTTCTCTCTCTTTTCTTATTATCGAAGTGACGGCGCCAAGCTGAAGCATCACTCCCCATGTGTCGAATTTAGCCTCGCCGCGAAGGAGATCGAGAGCATGTTGGTCATCGTCTCCGATTTGAAGGATTCCTTATTGAGGAGGACTCCGATTGAGTAGACGGCGACCGGCATTAGGGCTTTGAGCATCTGGATAAAGGAGACGAAGAGGTAAATGTAAGTGGAGTTGGAGAGTCAGAGGTAGATGGAGTACAAGGCACCGATCGGGACGACAGGAATAAACCTCACGGGACACTGAAACTAGCTCGACGAATTTGAAGACCTTGATAAGGAGGACGGTGAGGGAGGAGCAAAAGGCCATGTGGATCATGGTGAGAGTGATCGGGAATGGCCAATTGTACATCTTCTTGTCGAGGATGTACGACGATGATGGTGAAGCTGAGGAAGATCCATGGTGGAGGAGGAGGAGGACAAAGGAGGTGGTGCGCAGGATAGCGTCGGCGAAGGGGGTGGCGTATCTGCGATAATAATATCGAGGTGAAAATAATAAGCTAATTCTCTTATTAGCAAGTTAACTAGTTAAGAGTTAGCAAGTTAATTATCTTATTTTATATTTCATATTTCCTAAATTTTGACAACTTGATTAGCTTGATAATTTTTGATATGATAACTATGTTAACATAAAAATTAATGTGTAAATTAACAGGTTTATATTTTTGTAGCATGATAATTTGATTAACACAGTATTATTTTGAAATGATAACTATGTTAACATGAAAATTAATGTGTAAGTTAACAGATTTTTTTTTCCTTTTAGCATGATAATTTGATTAAAATATGCTAATTCGCAAAATGTTAATTGAGTTAACAAGATAATTCTCTTAGTTTATATATTAACTTGATTAGCTCGATAATATTTGATATGATAATTATGTTAACATTTTAATATCGATTGAATAGTAGTTCTGAATAAAATATGAACAGTATTTTTGAGGTGAGACAAATAGTGTTTCCGATTTGCTATATCAGAAAATAAGTTTTTATGGCAATGGCATTTTCTGTAATTATAAAAAATAAAAAGGTCAAATTTGGTTTAATTTTTGTTCTCTCTCCACCAAAAACTAATTTACAACTATGTATTGGTACTTGCTTAATTTTGAAAGTATCCATGGGTATTTGCCCATATCACTCAAGAAACTATTAAAACGTCAAAACTTGAGAAAAATGAAGGGTGACCAAAAGAAATTATTAAAACGTCACTAACACTGAGGAAGCAACTTGTTTTTGTATTTGCTTGCGCACAAAGACAATTCTCCAATTTTCCAATATTTGCGAGGTAATAACTGATTTTTCTGAAAAAAACAATTGGTATAAGTCTGTAACATTTTAAAAGAAGAGGGGTTTTTCAAAAATATGCCAGCTAATAAGAAGAGAGAGAGAGAATCAACGAGTCATTCGTCTTCATCATATAAATACACTCACTTTTTCCCGTCTTCTCTCAGACTCTTTTCTTTTTTTCGTAAAACATCTTTTCTCGTTTCCACCTGAGGCAGAAAAGCTTTTCGACTCTCTCTCTCTCTCTCTCTCTCGCTCGCTTTTTCGCCATGAGTCTGTTTGGGTTGGGGAGGTGAGTTTCGTTTCTCTGCGTAAATCTGTGTTCGATTAAGATACGTTTGCGATTATTTTCAATCTCAGATCTGTTTGAAATCATAAACTAGTGATCTTTGTTTCTTTTGTGATTCAATCGTTTTGCGTAGATTTACATTTGTACTGGGAAGGATCACGGGATCTCGTGGCTTTATGCTTCGTTTCTTCTGATTTTATTTGGCCTGATCGAATTAATTTGGATTCTCTGTCGTTTTGTGATAGCGAATCAGAATTTATTATGATCTCAAGTATGAACCTCACTTTATTTTCATTTTCATTTGGTACTAGATTCAGGTTCATGATTGTTTTTTTTTTTCTGTGAATTGATTATCCGAGTGTGTGTTGAAGTTTTTTTGCTCTAATTCTCTGGATCCATGAACGTGATCGTCTTGTCATGTATTTGGCTGAATCATACAAGCAGTGTTTGTAATCTGTTCATGGACCAGATTAGAATTTTTCCTGATTAAATCACAGGATTTTAGATCATTGGTGCTTTGAATTGTGGCTTTAAAAATCTTTTAGTCACCTCGTTTATTTTCATATCTATGTTCCCCAACTTCGATTTTTTTTTTTTTTTTTTAACTAAGCATTGAATGGTGATCGGCTATGTTTTGGTCTTCAGGGGGCTCATGATTGTAAGCAATAAATTAAATGGACCCCAAAAACTGTGATTCATTTCTGTCATCTGCTGTGATTGTTCTCTCATACACTGGATTATATATACACTGGACTTTTATGGTTGGACTACAATTATCTGTTTGATGAACATCTTTTCCCTTTTTCTTTGCCTTTTTTCCATAGAAATCAAAAGACTTTCCGTCCTAAAAAGAGTGCGCCTTCTGGAAGCAAGGTTTGTAAACTATTTGACCTTCCTCTGTATGTGGTTGCTTTCTTTGAATTTCTGCAGTTTTGGTGTTTTGGAGCTGTCATTAGTTGACATGAAGTATGATGTTTGATGTTTGATTCTGTTTCTTTCTTGCTGTGATTATAGGGTGCACAGCTTCGAAAGCATATTGATGCGACCTTAGGAAGTGGGAACTTGAGAGAAGCTGTAAGACTTCCTCCAGGAGAGGATGCAAATGAATGGCTTGCAGTCAACAGTGAGTAACACTCTGTTTTACTGTAAAACTTAAGTCTTTGGGATGTAATGCAGAAATAGATATTGCCGATTTATAGCTTTGTTGATAAATTTTTGTTTTTTCGCTTTGCAGCTGTGGATTTCTTTAATCAGGTGAATTTGCTATATGGCACACTTACCGAATTCTGCACACCAGACAACTGTCCTACAATGACTGCTGGCCCCAAGTATACCCTCATCGCTGTGATTAAACTTTTTGGGTCTCAACTAGTGTGCTGCTTGATTACGTTTGTTAACTTGCTATTCTGTCTTTGCAACTGTAAAAAGTAGAGAGTATAGGTCATGTTTTGGGATCTCTGTGATATTTTCTCATGAACTGCTATATCATGCTAAAGGTACCATTTCTGGTTTGATCTCCCTGCTAAAGGATGATTTCAAAATCTAGATAGACTTCACCTATTTTGAGTGATGAATGTTGCCTAACTTATGAACCTACTGCTCTCATCAAACCAATACTATGGCTGATTGATGTTCTCTTTTGCTATGGACTCTTTCTTTTTTCACATGCTTTTTGTTAACACAGTCAAAAATCTTATTATATATATATATTTGCAGGTATGAATATAGATGGGCAGATGGTGTGCAGATCAAGAAACCCATAGAGGTTTCTGCTCCAAAGTATGTCGAATACTTGATGGACTGGATCGAGACTCAACTCGATGATGAGACCTTGTTTCCTCAAAGGCTTGGTAAATAATAGATCAAATATTATTATCAACGTATCTACATCATAAACGCTGATTTCTGGTGAAACTTATTTTCGTTTTTCCAGGAGCACCATTTCCTCAGAACTTCAAGGATGTGGTGAAAACGATCTTCAAACGACTGTTCCGTGTTTAT